AAGTGAAACTGCGATGGCCACATTGCCATTCCCTCCCCCCCCCCCCCCCCCCCCCAATTGCATCATTTTAAACCAAGTAAATCATTACCAGGCTTGTCACCTGTACATATTGCAATGCTACTACCCTAACAGTCCAACACTGTATGTATGTATTGTATGTATGTATGTATGTATGTATGTATGTATGTATGTATGTATGTATGTATGTATGTATGTATGTATGTATGTATGTATGTATGTATGTATGTATGTATGTATGTATGTGTGTATGTATGTGTGTGTGTGTATGTATGTATGTATGTATGTGCATGTGCATGATTGTGCTCTCTGCTGTAGCTGGGTGGACGGCTGAAGAATGTCGTGAGCCGTGCTTCGGAGCACTGTCGCCGTGACACGCTGTGGAAGCGCATGCTCTACGGCCAGTCGGACTTGTTGCCTCGGCGAACTGGCCGTATGAGCACCGAGTCTACAGATGTCAAGTGGGAGGTCAGTCCTCTTCTGTCTGTCTGTGCACATATAATATTATGTGTGTGTGTGTGTGCGTGCGTGCGTGCGTGCGTGCGTGCGTGCGTGAGCGTGCGTGCGTGCGCGCGCGCGTGCGCGAGCGTGCGTGCGTGCGTGTGTGTGTTGACATGCACACGCGTGTGCATGTCACATGATGTGTGAACCCACCTGATCCAGTCATGTTAGAGCAAAGATTCTTTTGCACGGTGCCAATGCTATCCGAAGAGTTCTTGTGGGATTTGCCAGGTATTGTGTATTATTGCAGGGTACATGTACATGTACATGTATACAGAGATGTTCAAACAATAATAAGAGGATGAAAAAAGTGTTTTAACTCCCGAGTTTCACGCACTAAGCGATCATCAGAAAACAGCAATGAGTAAATCTGGATCAGTACTGGTTTATATACCCACAAACTTGCAAAGTGTAAATGACTGCATCATGGTGCAAATCTAGCAGGTGCGAATGACAGCAGTGGTGAAATGTATCACTTCAAGTGACAAGCACTGGAGCTGGTTGTCCCCTACTTGATTAGGTGATGGCTGTGGATGGTTTGAAGTTCCGAAGGTAGTACTTATTCACGTGGCGACACGTTGACACAAGTTCGTACAAGTGGGTGCGTGCGCGATTGCTAATTTTTCCGCCGGCATAGGTTGCACCTTTTTCTTTTGTTGCTGTAGGCCACTGCTTTGCGGTGTACCGCCCATTGAATGCTGCATGCCTTCCCTTCATCCTTTTTGGCCCAGACGTACTGCGATAGACGGGTGTCCTTCTCGTGTTGTCTGTGGCGGATTGGTGATTGGTGGTTATAGTAGCGCTTTTTGAATGTTGTTGCTGTTAATCCAGTATGCTCCTTCTTCTCCGTACCTGTGGTGACTCTTGACTTATACACAATGCTCTCCATTGGACACCCTCCGTCCAGTGGACATATTTTTTCTTCCGACAGTTACAAGTCCTGGTGTCATTGTCACCTCCGTTGGCTTGTTTCTTGGGTCGTAGAATCGTGTTATTGTGTTGTTTGATGATGGTGGCTATATTCTGCATACAACTGTCGCCAACTTTTACCGAGTTACGGTTGAAGATTTTGTTGAGACTTGAGCCTTTAGGGAAGTGTTTGGCCACTAGCTGGAGGAAGCGATGTCCGACGTCAGTGGCGACGTTCTTGCTACACGGTGGATTGAACCATATGATGTTCCGGTGACGATTCCTTTTCTTCTTCTTTTTAGGGGACAACCAGCTCCAGTGCTTGTCACTTGAAGTGATACATTTCACCACTGCTGTCATTCGCACCTTTTAGATTTGCGCCATGATGCAGTCATTTACACTTTGCAAGTTTGTGGGTATATAAACCAGTACTGATCCAGATTTACTCATTGCTGTTTTCTGATGATCGTTTAGTGTGTGAAACTCGGAGTTAAAACACTTTTTTCATCCTCAATATTATTGTTTGAACTAGCTCTGTCTTTCAGTATTGAGCACTCTCTTGGACAGCCTGGAACCTCTCTGTTTTACAGAGATGTTCACATCGATAGTGAAAGCTAGTTCCGGTCAGATAATCATGTTGCTTCCTGTTGCTCTTTTTACAGGCAACCGTCTCAGCTGGTCTGTCGGCAGAGGAAATGGAAGAGCTAATTCCCAAAGTAACCTGTATATCGCTAGTTGAAGTCGATGCAGCTTTGGCACCATTGTTTCTCGTCAACGGCTCTGGTATAAGTCAATTACTAGCGTGAGTACCCGTAGCTGAATGACTGTCGAAATTGCTATACTATGATTGTGTGTGTGTGTTCATGAATGTGTACTTGGATCATCGCATGTGCATGCCTTCATGACTGTGTGTGCATTCATGACTGTGTGTGCATTCATGACTGTGTGTGCATTCATGACTGTGTGTGCATTCATGACTGTGTGTGCATTCATGACTGTGTGTGCATTCATGACTGTGTGTGCATTCATGACTGTGTGTGCATTCATGACTGTGTGTGCATTCATGACTGTGTGTGCATTCATGACTGTGTGTGCATTCATGACTGTGTGTGCATTCATGACTGTGTGTGCATTCATGACTGTGTGTGCATTCATGACTGTGTGTGCATTCATGACTGTGTGTGCATTCATGACTGTGTGTGCATTCATGACTGTGTGTGCATTCATGACTGTGTGTGCATTCATGACTGTGTGTGCATTCATGACTGTGTGTGCATTCATGACTGTGTGTGCATTCATGACTGTGTGTGCATTCATGACTGTGTGTGCATTCATGACTGTGTGTCCCTGTACATGTATGTGTGCATGCATACATACCTGCGTGTCCCTGCATACATACCTGCGTGCGTGGCACATTCATGAATGTGTACATGACTGATGCAGTGGCAAAACAGCACCTAAGACACCGCTAGTGGCTCCAACTACATAGTGAAACAATCAATAAAGAGGGTATTATCAAACAACAGTGAAACCTGAACTGCGTGCGCAAAAGAAGTATGTATGTGCGTATGTGCGAAAGTTGTCACTGTTTTGACATTGTAGTACCGTGGTCCCCACTGTTGTTTGATAATACCCTCTTTATTGGTCGTTTCACTATGTAGTTGGCGCCACTAGCGGTGTCTTAGGTGCTATTTTGTCACTGCTCTGACCGCCAGAGTGCCGGTTATAAGGACTCGCTTGCGACTGTGTTAATCATCATCGTATTCGACTTGAAAAGTAATGGTACGAAAGGCCTAGTAGAAACTATGTGGCTTCTGTGCTTTGTGTGCTGAGATGTTTCCCTCCAACCAAGAATCTGTATAGTACTACAGATGTAAATTGTTGCACCATCCCACCCCCATAGAGAGGCAGGGCCATGAAAAGCAATGAACTCAAAAATGCTCAGGACGAATTGAGATAGTTAGGCTCGGGCGGAGAGGCAAGGATTAATTTATAAGAAGAAAAGAGGACCAAAGAGCTACAAGTTACGCTATAATATCCACTAACACCACCAGTTACTTTACAATCAGCTCATGCGATAACATTGCACGACGCTAACCAACAGTGCCGCCGTTCTACGCCCAACTGGCAATCAGCTTGTCTTGGTTGCGCTCACCTTCCTCTCCTTATGTTATTTCTATAACTTAGAACCTTCCAAACTGGAAGGCTGTTGGAGTGCGCATCCAAGATGTGCTAGAGCTGATTGCCAGTTAGGTGTAGAACGTCAGTACCGTTGGTCACTGTCGTGCAATGTTATCGCATGAGCTGATTGTTTAGTAACTGGTGGTAGAGGGGACGGCTCGATACCGGGACGCTTTGACAGCCAAATTTGTATAGACCCAAACCGATCATCAGCGTTGATTTTTCACTCGAAATATGTTTGTGGAAGGAAACTGGCATGTTGAAGTTTGCTCTGGGGCCAGAGTCAATCGAACTGAGCCACTCCTTTGTGTTGACCCATTGCCTCCAAGTTGCCCAATTCTTCGCTGCAAACAAGTTCAAATCAGAGGTGGCTCCAAACCGGACACGTTTTAGAGTGCACGTCAAATTCACTCTGGGTCTGAAATTAGGTAATTGCTATCGCTCCACGACGGCCAGTACAGAGTAACAATAAGCCTTGTGTGTGCTTCCATTAGTTTTGATTGGTATGCGGTGCTTTATTGGCGAGAGGCGAGCCGCTGTTTACCTGCGACAAGAAGTTGATTTTTCGAAAGTCGTAAACTCAAGTCGCAGTGCAAAGCAACACGTCAAAACCTCACCTGCTTGATATGGCGCTTCTGGTCATCGCAGAGCCATGAAGTTTTGGCTCGGAGTATAACACATCGTAGTCTCACTGTGACATATGTTTTCTAATCAAAATACCAAGAGAGAAAGTGAATATTGAGTCCATTCCGGTTTGCAACCTGTGTCCTATTTGCAACCTGTGTCCTATTTGCAACCTGTGTCCTATTTCCAACCTGTGTCCTATTTGCAACCGTCGCCTCTACATGGTGTTAGTGATATTATAGCTCTTTGGTCCTCTTTTCTTCTTATAGACTTCTTATGGAAGTCGTAATACGCAAGTACATGTACCGTAATTAATGCAAGATTAAACAATAGCTGAAGTCGCAAGCAAGATCAAGAATAACCAAGAGAAGGTTATTTATAATCATCATAAGGCATCGGAGATACGTCTCTTCAGTTGTAACTGGTGAACAGACATCACTGCGGTACAAAGCGTCACAGCAAGTATCAATTGTGAAATCCAAAGGTACGTTTGTAAAAAGACTTGCGTCAAGTGAACACATGAAGAATGACTCCGGGAATTGGTGACCATGCAGAAAGTCGGCAAGCTCAAGGCTATCCTTCACTGCATAAGTACTGTACATGTCGAGAACAGGCTGTAACAACCGGCAAATCCATCTCGACACTTAATACTGTGGTGCACCACACGTGGACAGAATTGGATGAACTGGACAACCAGCCTTGTGGATCTTGGGCCATACATACGCGGTCGGGCAGAACCTATTGGACTAAAGGAGTCCGATTGCGTCTGTGTAATCTGTTTTAGCAGTACCAACTCCTTGAAATAGTGGCATAGATTTTCTTCTATCTTTAAGCCGTCTTATCTTCTATCTTAGCCGTCTTATCATATGTATCAGTCGGTACGATGACAGCAAACTTCGAACTATATTCATTCACAATGTCAGCCAGAAAGGTTATTTCGAAGAATTTGCATTTCGTCATAGTACGAGCATAACTATAATCTGAGTATAATGTATATAAGTTATCTGACGCCGTGGTTAACAACCCTAAGAGTCAACACAAATCAAGATGAGGAATCGCCGAGCTGAGCCTTGTGTTGCTGGAGTGGGAGCATTTCCTTACCAGACTCATCCCGGAGATAAGCAGCCAGCCCCCACGTTGCATCATGGCATCCCTGCCATTGTTCTAAATACTGTAGTTGTCGGTTGCGTTGTCGATATGATCCAGGACTGTTCCACTACATATCTGGCTTCACCGTCCAAGTCGGTAACTGGTGGAGGAGGTGGCTGCACTCGGTCGGGTATGGTGTTCTGCACATACATGTACCTGTGTAGAGCTGACACATTGAATACTGGGTGAGAACAGTATGGGGCAAGTCAAGATAATACGCATGCGGTCCTACTCTTCTCAGCACATTAAAGGGCCTAAACCACTTTAGTTGGAGCTTGTTGGATGGCTGGTTTCTGGCTTCAGGTGTCATCATGAAATCCCTGTACGTTGAGAGCAGCCTCAGAGGCATCCACTAGCGTAGCCGGGTGCTGTTGCAGTACGACCTGCTGCAACGGAAGGGATACGGCCTTGGTGAACAACATCGCTCTGGAAAGGTCGTCCAGCTCTGGCACCCGGAGGCTCAGTCGGCAAAAGTTTATATAATCATCCAGCATGCCCTGTTGCGCCGAGTTGAACAGCTTTAGACGAGCTTGTTCTTGACCATGCAGCAGGCCGTGCGCCTCAGCGAGAGCAGCGTTGAGAGAAGCCCAGTCCGCGTATGTTTGTCCTGCGTCTAGTGAGGCGATTTACCAGATCTGTGCGTTCCCACCAAGGTAGCTCGCAGCAAAGTCCGCCATTCTGCATGGCTCTCGGATGGCAAGTGACCGCATTGACAACTCTATAGAAAATATCCACTCTCGAAATTCGCTGGCATCCCCACAGAAAACAGGTGGCTCCCTGGTGAAAGCGGCATGCTGGGCAGGAGTGTAGGGCTCAGTGAGAGCTGGGCAGGAGTGTAGGGCTCAGTGAGAGCTGGGCAGGAGTGTAGGGCTCAGTGAGAGCTGGGCAGGAGTGTAGGGCTCAGTGAGAGCTGGGCAGGATTGTAGGGGTCAGTGAGAGCTGGGCAGGAGTCTAGGGCTCAGTGAGAGCTGGGCAGGAGTGTAGGGCTCAGTGAGAGCTGGGCAGGAGTGTAGGGCTCAGTGAGAGCTGGGCAGGAGTGTAGGGCTCAGTGAGAGCTGGGCAGGAGTGTAGGGCTCAGTGAGAGCTGGGCAGGAGTGTAGGGCTCAGTGAGAGCTGGGCAGGAGTGTAGGGCTCAGTGAGAGCTGGGCAGGAGTGTAGGGCTCAGTGAGAGCTGGGCAGGAGTGTAGGGCTCAGTGAGAGCTGGGCAGGAGTGTAGGGCTCAGTGAGAGCTGGGCAGGAGTGTAGGGCTCAGTGAGAGCTGGGCAGGAGTGTAGGGCTCAGTGAGAGCTGGGCAGGAGTGTAGGGCTCAGTGAGAGCTGGGCAGGAGTGTAGGGCTCAGTGAGAGCTGGGCAGGAGTGTAGGGCTCAGTGAGAGCTGGGCAGGAGTGTAGGGCTCAGTGAGAGCTGGGCAGGAGTGTAGGGCTCAGTGAGAGCTGGGCAGGAGTGTAGGGCTCAGTGAGAGCTGGGCAGGAGTGTAGGGCTCAGTGAGAGCTGGGCAGGAGTGTAGGGCTCAGTGAGAGCTGGGCAGGAGTGTAGGGCTCAGTGAGAGCTGGGCAGGATTGTAGGGGTCAGTGAGAGCTGGGCAGGAGTCTAGGGCTCAGTGAGAGCTGGGCAGGAGTCTAGGGCTCAGTGAGAGCTGGGCAGGAGTGTAGGGCTCAGTGAGAGCTGGGCAGGAGTGTAGGGCTCAGTGAGAGCTGGGCAGGAGTGTAGGGCTCAGTGAGAGCTGGGCAGGAGTGTAGGGCTCAGTGAGAGCTGGGCAGGAGTGTAGGGCTCAGTGAGAGCTGGGCAGGAGTGTAGGGCTCAGTGAGAGCTGGGCAGGATTGTAGGGGTCAGTGAGAGCTGGGCAGGAGTCTAGGGCTCAGTGAGAGCTGGGCAGGAGTGTAGGGCTCAGTGAGAGCTGGGCAGGAGTGTAGGGCTCAGTGAGAGCTGGGCAGGAGTGTAGGGCTCAGTGAGAGCTGGGCAGGAGTGTAGGGCTCAGTGAGAGCTGGGCAGGAGTGTAGGGCTCAGTGAGAGCTGGGCAGGAGTGTAGGGCTCAGTGAGAGCTGGGCAGGAGTGTAGGGCTCAGTGAGAGCTGGGCAGGAGTGTAGGGCTCAGTGAGAGCTGGGCAGGAGTGTAGGGCTCAGTGAGAGCTGGGCAGGAGTGTAGGGCTCAGTGAGAGCTGGGCAGGAGTGTAGGGCTCAGTGAGAGCTGGGCAGGAGTGTAGGGCTCAGTGAGAGCTGGGCAGGAGTGTAGGGCTCAGTGAGAGCTGGGCAGGAGTGTAGGGCTCAGTGAGAGCTGGGCAGGAGTGTAGGGCTCAGTGAGAGCTGGGCAGGAGTGTAGGGCTCAGTGAGAGCTGGGCAGGAGTGTAGGGCTCAGTGAGAGCTGGGCAGGAGTGTAGGGCTCAGTGAGAGCTGGGCAGGAGTGTAGGGCTCAGTGAGAGCTGGGCAGGAGTGTAGGGCTCAGTGAGAGCTGGGCAGGAGTGTAGGGCTCAGTGAGAGCTGGGCAGGAGTGTAGGGCTCAGTGAGAGCTGGGCAGGAGTGTAGGGCTCAGTGAGAGCTGGGCAGGAGTGTAGGGCTCAGTGAGAGCTGGGCAGGAGTGTAGGGCTCAGTGAGAGCTGGGCAGGAGTGTAGGGCTCAGTGAGAGCTGGGCAGGAGTGTAGGGCTCAGTGAGAGCTGGGCAGGAGTGTAGGGCTCAGTGAGAGCTGGGCAGGAGTGTAGGGCTCAGTGAGAGCTGGGCAGGAGTGTAGGGCTCAGTGAGAGCTGGGCAGGAGTGTAGGGCTCAGTGAGAGCTGGGCAGGAGTGTAGGGCTCAGTGAGAGCTGGGCAGGAGTGTAGGGCTCAGTGAGAGCTGGGCAGGAGTGTAGGGCTCAGTGAGAGCTGGGCAGGAGTGTAGGGCTCAGTGAGAGCTGGGCAGGAGTGTAGGGCTCAGTGAGAGCTGGGCAGGAGTGTAGGGCTCAGTGAGAGCTGGGCAGGAGTGTAGGGCTCAGTGAGAGCTGGGCAGGAGTGTAGGGCTCAGTGAGAGCTGGGCAGGAGTGTAGGGCTCAGTGAGAGCTGGGCAGGAGTGTAGGGCTCAGTGAGAGCTGGGCAGGAGTGTAGGGCTCAGTGAGAGCTGGGCAGGAGTGTAGGGGTCAGTGAGAGCTGGGCAGGAGTGTAGGGCTCAGTGAGAGCTGGGCAGGAGTGTAGGGCTCAGTGAGAGCTGGGCAGGAGTGTAGGGCTCAGTGAGAGCTGGGCAGGAGTGTAGGGCTCAGTGAGAGCTGGGCAGGAGTGTAGGGCTCAGTGAGAGCTGGGCAGGAGTGTAGGGCTCAGTGAGAGCTGGGCAGGAGTGTAGGGCTCAGTGAGAGCTGGGCAGGAGTGTAGGGCTCAGTGAGAGCTGGGCAGGAGTGTAGGGCTCAGTGAGAGCTGGGCAGGAGTGTAGGGCTCAGTGAGAGCTGGGCAGGAGTGTAGGGCTCAGTGAGAGCTGGGCAGGAGTGTAAGGCTCAGTGAGAGCTGGGCAGGAGTGTAGGGCTCAGTGAGAGCTGGGCAGGAGTGTAGGGCTCAGTGAGAGCTGGGTAGGAGTGTAGGGCTCAGTGAGAGCTGGGCAGGAGTGTAGGGCTCAGTGAGAGCTGGGCAGGAGTGTAGGGCTCAGTGAGAGCTGGGCAGGAGTGTAGGGCTCAGTGAGAGCTGGGCAGGAGTGTAGGGCTCAGTGAGAGCTGGGCAGGAGTGTAGGGCTCAGTGAGAGCTGGGCAGGAGTGTAGGGCTCAGTGAGAGCTGGGCAGGAGTGTAGGGCTCAGTGAGAGCTGGGCAGGAGTGTAGGGCTCAGTGAGAGCTGGGCAGGAGTGTAGGGCTCAGTGAGAGCTGGGCAGGAGTGTAGGGCTCAGTGAGAGCTGGGCAGGAGTGTAGGGCTCAGTGAGAGCTGGGCAGGAGTGTAGGGCTCAGTGAGAGCTGGGCAGGAGTGTAGGGCTCAGTGAGAGCTGGGCAGGAGTGTAGGGCTCAGTGAGAGCTGGGCAGGAGTGTAGGGCTCAGTGAGAGCTGGGCAGGAGTGTAGGGCTCAGTGAGAGCTGGGCAGGAGTGTAGGGGTCAGTGAGAGCTGGGCAGGAGTGTAGGGCTCAGTGAGAGCTGGGCAGGAGTGTAGGGCTCAGTGAGAGCTGGGCAGGAGTGTAGGGCTCAGTGAGAGCTGGGCAGGAGTGTAGGGCTCAGTGAGAGCTGGGCAGGAGTGTAGGGCTCAGTGAGAGCTGGGCAGGAGTGTAGGGCTCAGTGAGAGCTGGGCAGGAGTGTAGGGCTCAGTGAGAGCTGGGCAGGAGTGTAGGGCTCAGTGAGAGCTGGGCAGGAGTGTAGGGCTCAGTGAGAGCTGGGCAGGAGTGTAGGGCTCAGTGAGAGCTGGGCAGGAGTGTAGGGCTCAGTGAGAGCTGGGCAGGAGTGTAGGGCTCAGTGAGAGCTGGGCAGGAGTGTAGGGCTCAGTGAGAGCTGGGCAGGAGTGTAGGGCTCAGTGAGAGCTGGGCAGGAGTGTAGGGCTCAGTGAGAGCTGGGCAGGAGTGTAGGGCTCAGTGAGAGCTGGGCAGGAGTGTAGGGGTCAGTGAGAGCTGGGCAGGAGTGTAGGGCTCAGTGAGAGCTGGGCAGGAGTGTAGGGCTCAGTGAGAGCTGGGCAGGAGTGTAGGGCTCAGTGAGAGCTGGGCAGGAGTGTAGGGCTCAGTGAGAGCTGGGCAGGAGTGTAGGGCTCAGTGAGAGCTGGGCAGGAGTGTAGGGCTCAGTGAGAGCTGGGCAGGAGTGTAGGGCTCAGTGAGAGCTGGGCAGGAGTGTAGGGCTCAGTGAGAGCTGGGCAGGAGTGTAGGGCTCAGTGAGAGCTGGGCAGGAGTGTAGGGCTCAGTGAGAGCTGGGCAGGAGTGTAGGGCTCAGTGAGAGCTGGGCAGGAGTGTAGGGCTCAGTGAGAGCTGGGCAGGAGTGTAGGGCTCAGTGAGAGCTGGGCAGGAGTGTAGGGCTCAGTGAGAGCTGGGCAGGAGTGTAGGGCTCAGTGAGAGCTGGGCAGGAGTGTAGGGCTCAGTGAGAGCGGCTGAAGGCGACAATCATTGTTTATACGTGTCCGCTTGGGCTGTCTTGAAGCTACGCACGGCCGTGAATCTGCAGGCGCTTGCGATGAAGTTGCCAGTGAACAAGAGTACTTGCACATAAAAGAAAACCATCCTCTGCTACCAGTGTGACCGGTCGACATTGAGCGATGGAAAGACAATCTTTATTGGTTCAGCAGTGTGCTTATATACGGCAGAGGTGTGAGGAAATAGATGTGAGCAATGAGCCAGGTTCTACGTGTGAAGATATTCACATGGTGAAGTGTGACTTATATACCATAGGTGTAAACTGTTACACACACACGCACACACACGCACACACACGCACACACACGCACACACACACACACACACGCACGCACACACACACACACACACACACACACACACCTTCTAACATTGTTGTGTATCTTGCAAAACACTCACGTGCTATTGTGGTCTTCATAGTATGATGCTATTGAATATTATCGTTTTCTCCAGGGTACTCAAGCAACACTATGGTGATTACTTGCGTACATACAAGTCAGCAAATGGAGCAATCACCCACGCTGTGAGTAGTAGGGCCTTGTGAACTCCTCAAGTAAGCCAGTCACCGTCGCTTGACGTTTGTCGAATGTGCTGGCTTGGGCACTCCTGCTGCGTGTCAACATCCGGACTGGGATTGGTGTGTGCGAAACTGTGTACATCAGGTCCCTTCAGGGCCGACTATGCTGGTAACTTAGTACCGATAGGCGATAGCACAGTGCATTCTTGGCCGATCCACTCCACTTGCACATCTCCATCCAAACCATAGCCACTGTCATGCACAGTCATTCACAACTTCATCGGCTTTTGTTTTAGATGCTCAATACTCTTTCGAAAAGATGATGATATTCCTGTGTTGTGTGTATGTGTTTGTAGGTAATCTTGAACTCTGAATGGCAGGATATGGTTATCTTGTTGACGTTGAAGGCTAGTTTTCCTTCCATTGTAAGTCCTCGAGACCCTTTTTTTCTCCCGTGATGATTGTGATGGCTTGTTGAAATTACATCACGTTACTGCGTATCTGCTTGGATGAACACTCTGTGTGCTCTAATGCGTAATATCAAGAGTAGATAAACAAGAGTGTGCAACTCCCGGATTGGTTGGCCCATGGCGGAATTTTTTGTTGACGTAATCTTTTCTACGACCCACGCTCTGCGAGTCTTTTGGAAAGTTTTGCCTCGTGCACTTGGCCGGGCTTTCCATTACAAGGTCGGTGCCCAGCACGTGCTCTCACACTGCTCTGCGGCAAGATGCGCGTTTTCTGAAGAAGAAAAAAAAGGTGACGTCAACAAACAATTCCGCCGGGGGCGGGGGTATCTGCAGATTGTGCAGGAGAGATCCGGAGTGGCACACTCTTGTTTATCCACTCTTGATAATATACATGTAAATACTGTTATCTGCCTAATATTCGCGACGGATTAATGTTCGCTATTTTCGTGAGGAGAGCGAAACGCGAATATTAATCATCGTGAAATCCAACCTCAACAGTGGGTGTATGTAAGTCGCCCCAGTGCTTCGCGAACTTTTGCCATCGCAAACTCGCTGGTTCTAAGAAATCGCGAAAATTTAGTGACGCGAATATTGGGCTGTTTACAGTACAGTCAACTTCACTAATAACGACTGCGGATATAACGACAATTCGCGAATAACGACATAATTTTCATGCCCAGAGCAAAGTCCCATCCAACTGTGACACATATAATAGACTTCGGGTATAACGACACTTCGCGAATAAGGACACTTTTCTGATGCCCCGCCGAATGTCGTTATAAGCGAAGTTGACTGTATAGCAATGAGTTGACTGGGAGCTAAATTGCCATTATGAAAGGGTTTGGCGACCGGTAGAGGTTGTTAGCTGAGGACTTGTCAACATCATTTGTCTGAAGAACATGGTACATAAGTGAGCAGGGTTTTTTCACCCCACGTGTAAACACTACATGAACAGGAAGTAACTAACTTGTTCCAAAGTTTAGTTAAAATTAGATCTTCTGCCGTCCCTCTTGGACATGTCGGATTACCCACGACCCACCAAGTGCAACTTGTTGTTTGTTCGAGTTCAGGTTATTTGTAGTATTAGTTATTTGTAACTTTTTTTCTCCCGTCTGTTGCGTGTGGTTCCTCCTGTGTACATGTGTGTCTGTGTCTATACCTGTGTGTGTGTGTTTGTGTGTGCGTGTGTGTGTGTGTGTGTGTGTGTGTGTGTGTGTGTGTATGTATGTGTGTACATGTGTGTGTGTGTGTCTGTACGTGTCTGTGCATCTATGCATGTCCGTATGTGTCTGTGTGTATCTGGCATGTCTGTGTGTGTGCGTGTGTGTATCTGTGTGTGTATCTGTGTGTGTGTCCCATCACCAGGCAAGCCATGCGGTGTACCGGCGTGCGCGCACCATGGCCCCGCCGCCGACCATCGAAGCGCTGGACGGTGAGCAGGGCGACGCCGATCACGTTCACATCCAGAGTGTCATCAACACGCTGGCCTTCTGCTCCTGGTCTGATCTGTTCAACCCTTGAGAGACAACGAGAGCGAACGGTGGAGTATCCTACCCAGTGCATGCGATCCACTAATGTCTACTACTCTACACTGCATTTTTGCTGCTGCAGCCTACAGTGCAGACTGGCTGGCTGCGGTGTGCTGCACCCCATGCAGGTGATCCACTAATGTCTACTTCTCTACAATGCATTGCTGTTGCAGCCTACAGTGCAGACTGGCTGTGGTGTGCTGCACCCGGTGCATGTGACCCACAAATGCCTTCTAACTAATCAATTAGTAAAATTACTCTATAATGCATTGCTGCTGCAGCCTACAGTGCAGACTGGCTGACTGCGGTGTGCTGCTGCCTTGAACCAGCGCTTTGAGCTTCTTCTCTTTTTTTTAACGTCTTGCTGACTGACATACAACAGATCTGACCAAATCAACACTACATGCCGTTATACTGCAAAAAATTATTTCACGAAAATAGAAAGATTTTACACGGTGGGGAAACGTATGGCTGACTGCTGTCTACTAGTTCTACTCATAATATAACAAGATCCTAACGATTGCCATAGTCCAAGAATCATTGTCTAACCGCTGCTCATCACGATGTCATCGCTATCACTCTTGTGCTGCTGTACGCTATTGCTCTACCGACCTATTTTCTTCTGTGCGTCCGAATCACTTGCTCTGCCTCGGCAACACATTTTAGAAGTAGTTCACGAAACAGTATGACACAAACACTTGCACGTACACATACACATCATCATCAATATCATTGTATGTCTGTGTCGTTCCCGGGGCTGGCCCGTGTCTCTTGTTCTCGTGGTATCGATTCTATAGCAGTTTCTGATTCCAACTTCATCTTTTTTCCCTTCATTTTGTACTCGTATCATACTGGGCTGGCCCGTATCATTTTGACTTCCTCTCCCTAGTTCAAATAGGGTATTTTACTATTTTGTTTGTCTGTTTTTACTATCCTTTTCTATCAACTAACGTACACTTTACGAAAAGTGAACTCTGTTCCGTTCTGTTGTTAGTGGTACATGGTGCAAGTACATGCACGAGTACAATGTCATGTACTGCTTGAGAAGTACATGTATGTAGATATCTTGTGTACAAGTCGGAAGTTGGGTGTGTGTCACGTGTTTTATAGTGGACGTCTGATGAAGACGTAATCCCCCTTCTATTCCTCTCGAATGCACATGCAAGCATGCAGGTGTGCTTAGTACCCATATCCAAACATGCTTTCAACATGTGGGATTGCATCCGTGCTTTGAACCATCATATCCGTACTAATCAAGCATAGATCTACAGTCGGGGTCAAAGAAATCCGACCCGTGAATCAAAAGTAGCGTCGTGTTTCCATTTAAATACATTGTGCACATTCCAAAAATAAAATAAAAAGATCTGAGGGCCGCAGGGGCATGAGGGAAGCTGGCCCTGCTTTTGGCACGCGGGTTGGATTTCTTTCGCCATGACTCAGGACTGTATATCTTACCAGCTAAAGTACATGGCACAGTCATGTGGCTTTAGCCAGACACTATTCACATACTCTCGTTTAACCAAGCCTTCATGCAGGAGCAGAGTATGGTAAATATTATTGATGATAGCGCATCATGCCCATTATCAAGAATAAAATAAGCGTGTGTAGGCGTTACTCTTGCTGATATGACTGTGCAGGCCAGATCAATCCACACTCATGACTGACCCGGACAAGAACGTTAACTACGGACAATGTATATAGAAATCGCAAGGCGGCAAGTACTGAACTGGTTAAACTGATAAAGGGCCAGAACGTATACCACTGGTATACCGGTAGACTCCAAAAGTTGTCCGTACTATAGAGTGGACTCGTTTCCCAAAGCATACAGATCATGTGCTCAAAGCAACACTGGGTACAGAGTACACGTATTGAGAATTATTCTGCAGCAGCACAGCCCGAAGGTCTTCTTGTCTACCAGAGAATACTACGTCTACAATAGTGAGTACAGTACTGTCGGTTGCCGAAGAACTGGGGGGGGGGGGGGTCAGCCTCCTAGCCTAGACCGTTCTTATTTTCATGTATTACAGTCTGAGTCTATGCACGGTTGAGTCACCCCGTATACATTGGGATGCTGTGCTTGGTAAACTTCTACACCCCGTATACATTGGGATGCTGTGCTTGAGTCACCCCGTATACATTGGGATGCTGTGCTTGGTAAACTTCACCCCGTATACATTGGGATGCTGTGCTTGGTAAACTTCACCCCGTATACATTGGGATGCTGTGCTTGGTAAACTTCACCCCGTATACATTGGGATGCTGTGCTTGGTAAACTTCACCCCGTATACATTGGGATGCTGTGCTTGGTAAACTTCACCCCGTATACATTGGGATGCTGTGCTTGGTAAACTTCACCCCGTATACATTGGGATGCTGTGCTTGGTAAACTTCACCCCGTATACATTGGGATGCTGTGCTTGGTAAACTTCACCCCGTATACATTGGGATGCTGTGCTTGGTAAACTTCACCCCGTATACATTGGGATGCTGTGCTTGGTAAACTTCACCCCGTATACATTGGGATGCTGTGCTTGGTAAACTTCACCCCGTATACATTGGGATGCTGTGCTTGGTAAACTTCACCCCGTATACATTGGGATGCTGTGCTTGGTAAACTTCACCCCGTATACATTGGGATGCTGTGCTTGGTAAACTTCACCCCGTATACATTGGGATGCTGTGCTTGGTAAACTTCACCCCGTATACATTGGGATGCTGTGCTTGGTAAACTTCACCCCGTATACATTGGGATGCTGTGCTTGGTAAACTTCACCCCGTATACATTGGGATGCTGTGCTTGGTAAACTTCACCCCGTATACATTGGGATGCTGTGCTTGGTAAACTTCACCCCGTATACATTGGGATGCTGTGCTTGGTAAACTTCACCCCGTATACATTGGGATGCTGTGCTTGGTAAACTTCACCCCGTATACATTGGGATGCTGTGCTTGGTAAACTTCACCCCGTATACATTGGGATGCTGTGCTTGGTAAACTTCACCCCGTATACATTGGGATGCTGCTGTGCTTGGTAAACTTCACCCCGTATACATTGGGATGCTGCTGTGCTTGGTAAACTTCTAGCCTGATCGTTCTTCGTCGCCCGACAGTACTGTAGTCAGAAGCAGAAGAGATGACACCCCCCCCCCCCCCCACACACACACAGAAGAGATGACACCCCCCCCCCCCCCCCCCACACACACACACACACACACATAAAAACAAAACAAAAACACGTTCAATGTTCAATGTTCGACTTGAGTGATTCAGACAGAATTGAGAGCAGTGATTGCAAATTCACTGCACCACGGGAAATAGGACAAGACAGAAATGCCACAGATGAGCAAAGCGAGCAGGCATCCACAGCTCTACGTAATGTAAAGTTCTATGTACACATCAGAAAAGAATAAGCAACATGCATGCAGAGAATACATACTTTTTACATGAAACTGTTCACACTTTACTACAGTATATATACACACGCAATGATGAAGAAGTCTGGATGGAGAACGTTCTCGTAAAAACTACCAAATTACCCTCAACGGTTTCGAGGCTTCAAATGGCCAATGGCAACGGCAGCAGCAAGAACTAGTGATCACGCGCCTGCACGTACAGAAAATAAGAACTGCCGCTGCCAAACAGTACACACACGCACGCACGCACACACGCACACACACACACACACACACACACACACACACACACACACACACACACACACACACTCACTCCAAACAATCATGCTTCGGTGTCCATAGTGTCTTGGGCAGATGAGTCGTTTCCGTATGCATCCACCGCCTCTGCCAAGTCTCCATCAGCAGCCATTCGTTCCTCTGAGCAACATTCAAAGAAAAGAATCACAAGCAACTATCACTAAGATGGTGTAGCTGATACATCCACTCTGAGTTGGATTTCAGCAAAATTCTAAGTTTAATAATACATACTCACATTCACACACAAAAAATAACTCAGGACCAGCCGATTCAAACACAGGTGTGCAGGTGCAGAAAGGCTAGTGGAAACTCACGGACAACGCTTGCTATGGCCCGCTGAGTGCGCCGCTGTAACTTCTCCAGCCGTGCCGTGCAGTCACGCTTCAGGTCCCAGTCGGGCTTGCGCGGCGCCAGATTCATCAGGTCCACTTGAGTGGACGCACTCTCCTTGCCAGCTGTCACTTGATCTTCGACTTTCTCTGCGACTGAACAGGCATAGGAAGATCAACAACAATAATAATCAGTCTGTTGTATCTAGACCCAAGAATAACACAAGAACAAGAACAGGAAAAATACATGCATGCACTTTTTTTTAAAGCCCGACTAAGAGATTTATACGCCGCACACGGCACCCCACATGACCCACAGGTATTTCACAGTCATATGAAACAGACAAGAACCCATCACCACAAAACACAAAGCCATGTACTACGATGATCTCGAAAGCCATGTTACTGTTGAACATACTGTCAGGTACTTGAGGTCTTGGCAGCTCTTTCTCTTTCAAATCCTCCGTAGTTGCTTTGTAATTTCTGAACTTGAGAACTGGCTTTGAGCTGCAAGGCGCAAAAAAAAGAAAGAAGAAAAGAAGCAGACGGAAACCCCAATGGAAATCCCAACGGAAATCATGTTGCATATCACGTATCACACTATGTCAAGTAGGTACATTTGTCAAACGTGCGGTCCAAACTCAGTGAAATGACCCAGTATACATACGGCATATTTATAAAATGTGACTAGATTCACAGTTATTTTTTTGTCCATCACCACTTTCTCTAGAATTTGTTCGTGACATCTCAATAAAACTTTCGTAAAATGACGCTTCAGCTGGTTCTGTTTATTGCAATCCTTAGATTCACAGTGACTACAATTATGGATTGCATGCTTACAAAATACAAACAAAGTCTGTGCACCTGAGATTGTGTGAGTGCTTTGACAGACTTACTCTTCTGCAGCTTCATCATCAGCCCTCTGACGCTTGGCTGCTGGCTCATCGTTCTGTACAAAGGCATCATGAAAGCACCAAGCACATGGTTTCAGCACAGTACTATGCGTGTTTCTCAACACAATTGTATAGCCGGTGGTAACGCGGACGTGCAAACTTTACTTTTTACTATGAGCACATGGTACGCTCAACAACCTAAGGCTATGGCGACTTGATATCCGTACAATGGTACTAGCTGCTCCATACTGTTGGCTTGTTTGCTATGTTCCAATCCAACAATCTTTTTTATCCTTTCGACTCCTCAGGCAAAAACATACCATCAACACCGGCATAGGGAAATAGTCACACTCCCATTATTCAAGAAAAGAAAAAGCAAAACTGATCATGTTACAACAGCTACAATGTAGGGTCGGATTAGCACTTGCACAGAATCCAGCAGCTAATTTTTCTCGTGATATTCAAATGACATCCTCGATGATTTTCGTCTGCGTGCATCTGTGAATGCACACTACAGTCCATTCACAAAAAGATGGGCCCTGGCTCTGGCGAGCTCCCGTATTAGGCGATTTTTCAAGATTTTATCGTACACAGTGCAGTGCTGTGAAATTCAGGGCTCACGGTTGGGATGCCAAAACTCGATTACGTGGGAGGACATCTTGAAATCTGATCACCATAGAAATGAGCTCGCGTGACTCGAGCTATGCACGCGGCATGCAGTGGACGCCTACGCGGCGCGGAGCACAGCATGCAAGGACTCGAGAGAGACTTGCAGTGACCTGGTGACTGACAAGAAGAAGTAGAACTGAGGAAGACGGAGACCGGCTGGGGACTTGCGTTTCACTTTGGTTGCCGTTCACTGTCGTTGTTATTGCTTCTTTCCGAGCGTGTGTGTTGCGAGCAGTGCTGGCCTCGTAAGCCGAAGGCTTCAGACAGTTCGTTCGAACGCTGAGTCCTGCGATGAGAAGTCGCGAGTTCTACCGCCGAGTCTTTTATTTGCTGAGAAAGGGATCGACATCTATGTCGTCCGCTGATGCACTGGCGCAGGTGAGGAGAGGTAGAGGACAAGAGCTCCTTGATGGAATGAAGCAAAGACTCACACCGTGTTCTAGTTCGTTATCTCTGTTCTCAGAGCGTTTTGTAAATGCACTTACACGAGTGAAAGAGCCGTGCCACGCTGCTGTGAGAAGTGACGATGGAGAGTTGTGAATTATTTGATTTGCCACTCTGTTTCGTTGCAAGAGGACGAATCAAATGGCTTCGCCGTTGTACTGGTCATGTATTTTCGGTTCGCCATAGCTGCTGAAGCACACAGCAGTAGAGCGCCGATGAGCGAGACAGCAAACGGTGAATAATATTTCAAGAGTTTTTCAGTCACGGAGGAAACATTGCGAAAAACGCCTTGCTGCTGCCTCGCTGGTGTAGTTTCCGCATCGTACAACGCATATGCACGGGCTTCCTTCCTTGTCGTCGCGCACGGGAGTTCGCGTGCGCCCCTGCCGACTTAGCTCACTTCAAAACAGTATAAGGTAGCACAATATTGGCCGATTTTGACAATCGATGGCTCAAAATCTTCAGTGGATACTAAGCTACAGTTTAACCGAAGCGATTTTTTTCTAGATGAAGGGATCGCTGTAGAGCATTCACGGACTTTGTGACCATATCTTTAGTTTCCCAGGGCCAAAATCAAAAATTCCTTCGGTTGAACCCCTAGTTCACATCTTGCCTGGTTCCACCCAAATTTTCAGTGTTGTACTGTCTACCCGTGCTACCTTATTCTATTTTGAAGAGGCATGTGTCGCACTGAAAATGCGCTGCGAGATGGCTAGAGTTTGTGTACAAGGGGTGGTCGAGCTGTGGTCGCGTGACAGTCGACCTGTCGTCGCGTGAGCTGGCCAGAAACAAAATGGCGCCCACGTATTTGTACACAACCGTGAGCCCTGAAATTGGAAAAAGGGTACCTGAACTGGGGTTCGAACCGTACAATGCACTGTTGCAAGCAGGGTCAAACGGCCTGGATTTTGATGGGTTTTCCCAATTCAGTGCTCGTGGGGCAAAACCTGGCCGAAATCCTATTCTTGCTATGGCTTGCTTTTTGGAGAAATAGACTTCAGAAACATAATTGGAAGAGGATTCCATAGGGGATTGCAGAAAAAACCCCAACGTTTGACCCATTTATGGCCAAAAGCTAGAAGTCCATCTTTTTCTGAATGGACTGTAGGCAAATGTTGTCAATGTTTGTACGGTGCAGTGTAAGGCTTGGATTCAATTAGAACACTGCTAGTCGCTGGTCCCAATAATGAGAGTAGATCAATGTATTATCCAGATCAATTCTGTGTGGCTGAACAAACAGCGTTTTATTTTGTACTATTGGATGTGCTCCAAAACAAGAAAGGAAATTCGGTTGAAAAATACATTCAGACGCTTACCGCATTGGCTCCTCCAGCCTTCTCTCTGAGGGCCTTCAACCTCGCTTTTCTCTGCTTCGCATCATCCTCCATGGCTCACTGTCAGTGTCTAGGTTGGTTACTGGGTTTCAACACATTCACATTCGAATATTCATTTGCTTGATTCGCATTCATTCCTCAAAATAATTATGTTTCCAACAAGAACAAAGGCTCAAAGCTTCACTTTTTTGCGACTCATTTGAAATGCCTTTCATTTTGACGCCATATTCTGTCATGGAAAGTGGTTACTATGGTAACCAGATATAGCTCCGCTGATGAAAAAGTGTTTACGAAAAAGTGCTGTTCGTGGGGCCGGGCCGGCCCGCGGTCTCTCCCCCCCCCCCCCCAACATTTATATACATACAGTCAAGAGTACATTATGTACTCTTGATACAGTACATTGACATTGATACTATATATAGCAGACTACAAAAAAATAGCAAGAATACATAACCGGGGTTATGACTGCGTCTTGGTAATAGTTGGAGTACATTACTAGTATCAGGGACCCCTACTACTACCAAGACTGCTAGGGACTCTTGGTATTACCAAGGCAAGAGTACATAAGCCGTTTATCATTATGTACTCTTGGTATTACACATAGGGCTCACCTGAGCATACGCGTACGCACATGGTCGGTTTTCAACTATAAATTTGTAACTACCAGCACATGTACAATGTACATGTATTCACGATGACAGCAGTCAGGAGCACTGTTTCCCGTGCAGTGCAGTGCGTCCTCGCCCTCTTCACACTGTCACCGTGAAAACATGTTACCTTTCAGGCCAGGCTTGCATACTACATGTACATGACTGTAGTACAATGATCATGTAGTAGCAACATAATTCTCATAACCACACTGGGCCAGGCTGCACGGTTCTGCTGGGTTGCACTCAGCCACAGATCAAACATCCAATTCCCAAGTACATGTACTACTACAATGTAGCAGTACATGGAATTGACAGGTGAACGTCTTTCGCAGCATGGAAGTCCTTCAAAAGGGGCTTGTACCGAATTTAAAACTCTTTGCTTGGAATCAAGCAGGGTCGTAAAGACACAGCTACCAGCACATCACTCAATTCAAGAAAAACAAAAAAAGAATACAAAATGAGTAAAATCATCAAAAATGGCCTAAAAAGTCTCTTGAAAATAAGCTCTCTTGCACACACACGTACACGCCTGCGTGTGCCCACGTGTGCATACTAAGATGCACTTGCCTTAGTTTCGTTGATGAGCACCTGCATAACTACTCGAACAGAAACTCGGGGAACTAAAAGCCATAGGATACACAGCACTGGCATTGATAAGTGTATACTGACTGCAAAGGAGATACCACTGAAGCACACATGGCAGCAGCATGACACCATGCGAACTCTGATTTTACCACCACATCACATCAATACTATAGACATTGTGTAGTCCATCTGCAACGCGTATTCAGCTATGCGGACTGATCTCCGGACATTGCTATCGTTTCCGAAGCCGGTATCAGATGATCCATGGATGACATTGAAAGCAGGCACTGATGGTGGCACGTTGGCTGTAGAGATTGAACTGGAGCGTACGCAGTACAACATCCAGGAAACTCGGATTTACTCCTACAGCTACACAACAAGTAGCTAAGAGCATCCATATGCATTTCACGTTGTTGCTTGATCACCGAACTTTGCTATCGTTTCCTGGACCAGTATCAAGTGATCCATGAATGATGTTGAAGCCACGCGAAGATTCCTCAGATTTGAAGAAAGCAATGTGACTTTTAGGTTATTTCCTTCAACAGTCAATTGTTTTCTTGTTTGACTGCGCTGTGGCTCCTTGTCCACAGACAGTGATGTGCGAGCAATCTCCGCCAATGAATCGGTCCTGAAGGCAACCATCATCTCCAGGCGAAACAAGCCATCTTTGTCCAAACCAGCCATCGTGTGGTCAAAAACTCAGACGCCAAGCATCACAAGATTCTCAAACTCAAAAAAGTTTTGCTTCACGTAGATTGCTGGATCGAGTATTTCTCTGTCTACGACTCTGTCTACGACTCGTAGAACTGAGAAGTCAAAAAAAGTCACATCGAATATTTTTTCGCTGTGTAGCTTTTATTATGTATACAAAGTGCACGTACATGTAGTTTTTTTTGCGAAATGACTTCATGATCATGATCTGAGCGTGTGGTTGGGTTTTGTTCAGTTCTTTTGACTCTTTGAAAGGTTTGAAACTGTTTGCGAAAATGTCGAAGCGGCCTTGGGAACCAACAGACGGTGCGTCTGACTTCAAGCGACGGAAAACTGGAGAGAGTCATGATACTCCACCGTCGAAAGTCGTCCATGTGCGAAATGTGGCAGATGGCACGAAAGAACATGACCTAACTACCGCGGTGAAAGATTTTGGGAAAGTGTCGTAAGTAATTAGTGGCTTCTTTTGTATGTACGACTCCTGCATGTGTTGGATGTATGAAGAGAAATCTCTGCTTTTGTGCTTCCTTAGGTATGTTACCCTTATGCCTAGAAATCGACAAGCTTTGGTGGAGTTTGAGGTTGGTCGTAATAAATTCATTTAATTTTTTTACATTACGGATTGTTGGGTCAGTTTGTAGCGCAGCTGAACTCAGAAGGTATCAATATTTTTTTATCTCACCTAGTTGAGGACTAGTCGACTGCACACAGTCTACAGAATGACAGTCACACTGTAACAGTTTGGCGCAGGGGAGCTGCTGAGTGCTGGTAATAGGCAATCCACACGACTGGTATTCTTACCTTTGAGAGCCTGTTTCCATGGAAATCTGCCTGCGAATAACCAGGATTTGCCCGTGGAATCCAAACGTTCTCACGTGCATTTTGTCTGCGAACACTTTCATTAAAGGCACCGGAACTAAAACTCCTGATACAGTCGACCTACCCTTATAACGATATTACCCTTAGGCCATGGTAAAAATTATCTTTGATTCTCAAGTACGCGCGCACCGATTTTTGGCGGCGTACCGATGATTTTTTTATTTCTTTGCATGCATATGCGCACATGAAAACGGTCAATGCGAAAGGCGTGAATCAGGGAGTAGTAAAATACCGGTATTTTTCTACTCCCTGGCCTTAACCCTTTGAGGTGCCACTGAACGCGTGAAAATGCGCAATTGCAGTTCACTCCACCATTTCCATCATAACTTACGTTCTGTTTGCTTGATTTTGACAGTCTAGGGCTCTTTGAAACGCTCTTTCCGCTGCCAAGAGAATGAGGCCACGCTCAACTCCGTGGGTGCCACAAAGCCTGCTCCAGAGCGCAGGGAATCGCCATAGGTCGGGCCTCGTGTTGAAAGAAATACTTCTAAATTTCATCCCAATGCCATTTCGCTGTCGTTTCTTGCACAGCTCTGGATTTTTTTGCATCTCAATCAGTAGTTTCGACGTCATGACACCCACACGTCATCAGCTGGCTGCACACCACGTGATCCACGGGAAATCCCCGAAGAACGAGGCAAAAAAATGATTTTGAGACGTTTGAACAATTTAGTGCCGCGATCAAACTTTCGAGCGCCATATCTTTATCATCGTTTCTCCTATCGCAAAAGCGATTACACCATTGGAAAGCTTGGAGCTTCCTCTTTGATCTACATATTTCGATATTTGCAACAGGACAAAAATCGATGGAGTTACGACAGTTTTACGGTACGTAAACAATATCAGTCGTTAATGACTGATGCACCGCTAAGGGTTAATAATAAAATAACTATAATAACCTGTGACGTACATACATGTGACCCTATCTTTGGAAATAAAAAAATTGTGGGAAATAAAATAAAAAATCGCTCGCTCGCACCGATTTTCACAGGCTCATGACCTGAGAATCAAATTTATTTTTTACCATGGCCTTATAACGATATTTTTCTGTCAAACCAAATCACTCCATTGACTTTTGTATACAATGCCTTACCTCTATAACAATATTGCTATAACGATATTACCCCTATAACAATATAAAATGGGCTGACCAATCGACATTTTCCATTTTATAACAATATCCAGCAGGGAAGATGTAGAGTCCACTGTCAAGGTAGGGCAAGCTTCACTTGATAAGTCGCTGGAACATGACGAAATGCAATGGGGGCACCAGTGAGCACCTTGCTGTGCAAATAATGTGCATGTACATATGTTTTTGACGCTATGAAGAGTATAAAAAATGAACTAAATTCATGCATTATGACGTATGTGTATGAATGAACCAGTTACCCTTATAACAATATTACCCTTTTAACAATATTTCTTGGTCGGACGCAAATATCGTAATAAGGGTAGGTCGACTGAAGTTCGATGACAAACAGGCTGCCCAAGGAAATAGTTCCAGTGGCATGCACCGAGTCGTGAACGGGGGGGGGGGGCGGGGGCGTAGAGAGGGAACAAGACGCAGGCAAAGAAAAGACAGAAATAAAAATCACGCCCGCTGCAGCTCTGTTGACGTCATCACATTCAAGCCCAATATGGAACTAGGCCATGACTTCAGTTGTGCAGCGTGGAGTCTTATAAACCTACCAGAAGACTAGCTGCAATGCACCACTAATCCCAGTGAAGCTTCGGTTCCTAATGTCATGTAAGCCTTCTGAGTCTCACTCACAATGGATTTGCAAGCGTCACATTGTTTTATGCCTCGTTCCCTACGTGTATGCATTACTGAACAGTGTTTGAGTGATGTATCATAAGGCATCAGGACAGTACACGTGTAGGCAATGTTACTAATGTTAGCTGTTATCCCTGTCAAGCTGCTTGAACAAGAACACTACATACATGTACATGGGCTGCTTGAGTGTGTGCTTGTGTATGCTCTCGTGTACCAATGCCCTTACGTCCATGTGTTGGTTGCAGCAAGTCGAGTCAGCCATTGCTCTCGTGCAGTATGCAAAGGTCAGTTACCATGTCGGTTGCAATGACACTGTGCATTTTACAATTATTTCAGATACCGGGACTGATGTTTCTTTTGTCTTTTTGTTCGCTGCATTGACTGAAGCCTCCTCGGTGTTGTTCTTTACGAGTTACACACAATGGAATACGTTTCAGAAATACTTTCATTGCACTAGTGCCTGCGTGTGCCTGCATAGGAGGAGGCTCCCTGTTTGTACATGTATCAGGGTTTGCCTTATTGAATGTGCCTGTCGTGTCTTTTCATTTGTGTACTTGCCTTGGCCTTGGCTGGAACGGCTATGTATGGCAGGACCAGGAAGTGCCGCTCAATGGCCGTCCTGCTTTCTTCAACTATTCCGTCAGCCAAACCATAAAGAGGTACGTTGAGTCAACTGTGCACTTCTGCTTACTGGTACATTGTGGGGTTCAGCATGTCTGGTGAGCAAATCCTGAAGGTCATCGGGGTGGCGTTGCTGTCAACTTCCCTATTAAAGCAAGAATGTTGTGGGGATGGTGCAGTGGATTATGATATATCGCTTGACTGAGATGTCTGCTCTCAGTCCCCATCGTTGTATTATTCTAATCCAGACCCTTTAGCAGAGGAGTGTTCCACAAGGGGATTCTCTGTTGTCCTGTTCAGTCTTCCTGCTGTGCAATCTTGTCTAGCAAGTAATGTGCAATGTGTGTGGATGCGTGTGTGTGTGTGTGTGTGTGTGTGTGTGTGTGTGTGTGTGTGTGTGTGTGTGTGTGTGTGTGTGTGTGTGCGTGTTGCGTGTGTGTTGTGTGTGTGTGTGTCCCATCAGAGCTGGCAATGTTGGAGCAGCCTATCAAGAGTATGGCCCAAATAAAGTTTTGTTATTTACAGTCCTCAACCCCATGTATCCAATCACAGTCGTAAGTGTGGTTCGCAAGCCTGTTGCACAACATTCTAAAATGTCTTCCGCGAGGGAAGTCTCTTTCTAGGGAAGCTGCAGTGTGCAATAGTGCCCAGAGCAAAGAGCACATCCTCATAGACATGGTTATGCTGATTATGCTGGTTATGCTGGTGTGCTTTGGGATACGTCCAAGTACAGTTGCGCTCGGTGAAATCCGATCCTGAGTGCTTCTTTGGCGCCCTCAACTTGCACGGTCCTTGATGGCCCAGAAATGGCACGAATGCGACTGGACGCACACATAACTTCTATTCTTCATGTTTATTGAGAGTCTAGCCATATGGTTGGACAAGAAGGCAGGAATGCCTGTGTATCGGGTGAAGGTTGGACAAGAAGGCAGGAATGCCTGTGTATCGGGTGAAGTAAAATAACAGCAAACAACCATGTACAAGCACAGTGATGTAATCAGAACTGATCCAGGGCATCAGTTTCACACTTCGGCTTGGATTTCACCAAGTGCAACTGTACATGTACTCACTCCACTCTGGCACAGCCGACGACGGAATACTGTAACAAAAAGAAATGGTGGGGGGGGGCACATGGGCCGCTCTGTGGCATGCTTCTAAGAGGGCACCTAGATTCTGTTCTTTGATCGCAGAAGATTCTCTCTCTTTCTATCTCTCTCTCTATCTCTCTCCTCTCTCTCTCTCTCTCTCTCTCTCTCTCTCTCTCTCTCTCTCTCTCTCTCTCTCTCTCTCTCTCTCTCTCTCTCTCTCTCTCTCTCTCTCTCTCTCTCTCTCTCTCTCTCTCTCTCTCTCTCTCTCTCTCTCTCTCTCTCTCTCTCTCTCTCTCTCTCTCTCTCTCTCTCTCTCTCTCTCTCTCTCTCTCTCTCTCTCTCTCTCTCTCATAATTGCATGAGGGGAGTGCTGCTCTGTACCCGAAGCAGTTTGTTCACTTCCTTGTTCACTACCGTACAACACAACACGGTGGTGTTAAAAGCTGCATAGAATGCTTTACGCGTAGCTGCGCTTCTGTGTGTTTTATCTCTGCAGGATGTTCTGCACACTATTGGTCAGAGACATGGTGAAATTCAGAGAATTGCAATCTTTCACAAGAACGGTGTGCAGGCTCTGGTTGAATATCCTCTCTTGAATGAGCAGTTTTGTGTTTGCATTGTGGCATTTGTGCTGAGCTTGCCACCTGAGTGCCAGTGGAAGAGTGATGTACACTTCAATGTGTGTGAAAAGTGATGTACATTTCAATGTGTGTGAGTGATGTACACTTCAATGTGTGTGAGGAGCCAGAACTAGTCTGAACTACACGTACCGTTCAGGTTTGCATGCAAGTGTATGCGTGTATATATATGTACGAAGGGCGGTGGGTAGGGGTACTCGATCGTGTGTGCTTTGGTGGGTGTAGAGTGACATTTTACCTTGACTACGCCTTTGCGTGTGCACATATGCGAGTGCCGAGCAAGCAGCTACTGCCAAGGTCGCTCTGGATGGTGCTGATATCTACGCCGGATGTTGCACTCTCAAGATTGAGTTTTCCAAGGTGAGTTGAACTCTGTACGTGTACCTATTGTTGGCATAATTACGTGTTGGCACTCAAGAAGCATTTTGGCCCAGTTTTCTTTGTGTTTACCTTCAATCTACCATACTTTCCCTGGGGCCTGGCCACACATGCATTCAAGAGTAGCAGTTCCGCTAAAGTAATGCCTCTGGAGTGGAAAATACCGTGGCAACTGCAAAAGCGGAACTACCGCTTCAGCGTAAGCTCGATTCCGCTGCCTCCAACATGTTGGGAGCATCACTCTCGCTTCTGCGCTTTCGCTTCAGCGGAAAACACCATGTGGCGGTGTTGGTGGCGGCAGTACAGTGTTTGAGTGGAATACATGTGCATGCAATCTTAACCTTTTATTATTATTTTCACATTTGAAATCCCTCCACATTTTGACATTTTAACTATAATACCATGGACATTTGCGTGAGAATGCGGAGAAAAGACAATTCTTCTTCTGCCCTGGAAATGAAAAATGCTGCTGCATGAATCACGTGACATACGTGAATCGTGAAAAAAGCTGACTGCACCAAAGCTCATGAGCATGTACACATATTTTCGTTCTGAGTAGATCAATGAGTGGTTGTCAATGCGTGGTTATGGACCTTGCGGGAACCATACCTCGCTGAAACGCCGCGGTCTTTCCCCTTGTGAACAACAAATGTTGTATGTGTTTATACTTGCCCGCTACGCAGACTGACCGTGTCAACGTTGCGTTCAACAATGAGGAAAGCTTTGATTACACCGGTGCTGTGCCGAATACTGGCCGCCCATCACTGGCTGGTGGACTGGGTCGAGGTGAGTTATAGCTGCAACTTGTGTGTGCTGTTTTGAATGGTTCTGCTGCTGCTGCAGTAGCAGCCGTCGCTGTTGCTTCTGCTGCTGCTTCCGCGCAGGCAGAAGGCCCTGGCTGGATTGCACACTCGTGGGATGGTATGCAGTATGGCCAGTGTTTTGTAACCAACCAGTCTGCACTCTGTTTGTTGTAAGCACAAGTAAGGGCCTCTTCACACTAGGTACAAAACAGCCTATAAGTTACATTTACATTGAAGTTTCCAAGACAACTACAAGAATCTGGCGGGAAGCCATAAAACCTAAAAGGCAAAAAAATTCCACGTCTGCATTCAGACTATAGTCTGTTTCAAAAAGATTTACAATCAGGTTTGGGTCTTAAAAAGTATGAAGATAAGGGAAATTTGGACAACAAAGTACATAGAATGGCTGGTTAGGACACGGCAAATTGTTCTGTGAAGGTTTCGGAACAATTGGACCAACCGTTAAGGAGTTAGAATTTCGGCCAGGTTTCCGGCCTTTTCCCATGGTTTACAATTTGCCCAGGAAGCCAGTATCGATTTTTTATCAAAACCCACGATTTATCCTTTCCTTTTTGGCCTGTGGTTATGAATGCTGTCTGCTGACCATGAAGTTGTGAGTTCAAATCCCAACCTATCCTCAAGTCAAACTTTTTTTCATTGTTTTGGTGATCAAGCTGGTACAAGACAAAGAAGATGGCTGCACCAAACGACTTGTTGTTGGAGGTCGCGCTTCCTGCCGAACTGACTTGACACTTGACTGGCTCACGCCATGTGAACACACCCACAACACTGCAATGGTGTGAGTGAATATGGAAGTCATCGCGCTGTAGCTTTTTGAGATTTATTTTTAGTATTTCAAGATCGCCAATTTATTTGAATTTAGCAGTCAACGCCGTCTTCTATCAGCGTTCACAAGCGTCTGTTTTTCTCAAAATGTCGTCGAAGTCACACGGATAGCTTTGCCAAGTCATGGCTTTGGGAATGAGTCCGTGTCGATGTCGTTTTCGTCACACGGTGAGTAAATAATGCGATGCAATTTAATTGCATCGCAGCTCAAAGAAACTATTTTGGTCACAAAACGGATTGGGACACATGCCGCTCGTCAACATTTACAACACTTTCGTTTCGACATGTCCTCTCTGACTCCATTATCGATACGAGGAAGAACTCGTTTGTTGTTAAACCAGACGTACGTCCATGACTGTGTCAACGTGAGTGAGTTGTCATTTTTCCTGCTTTCGCGCGGAATATTTCTTCGAGTTCACAGTGAGTTTTTCCAGGCAGCGCTCGAGTGCTCATACGGTAAGACGCCAAACTCCGCGGGCGATCGCCAGGGTAGTAAAATCTTTTTGAAACGGACTGTACACATTTTACATGCAACATACAGGGTAGCCTTTGACCCTACGCAATTGCGCAAGGGACCTCAGATGCATGAACGCAGCCGGCAGTCGTACAACGTTTGTGGGCTTGTACGGCTGCCTGGTGAAAGTACGATAAATGCAGGAAAGTTGCCTTGTACAAGGGTTCGCACCCTGCCTGAAAGGATTGGGTAGCTTTTTAAGGTGGAAGCCTACCCAAACCATGGTTTGCCGCAAAAAAAACAGCCTTAACTTTGGGAATGGTTATGGGAATCCGTTCAAATTTTGGGCACAGTTCCCTGACATTTGCCAGACCAGAATGGCACTATCTCTGTGAAAATCCAAGCTATACGACGTGTGTATACTGAGATTTCTCACTTTTTGCGTATACGCGCGTATTTCGGTGCAGGCTGCAAGTCACAGAATTGGTCACTAGATATCACACATTGTTCCAAAGTAACCCTTATATCCAGAGGGAGTTCACAAACCTCAAAAAACAAGGGATTGATAACAAGTATTTGAGGGGAAGCTGCAGAACTTAGAAGTGCGAAAACGAACAGTCTTGATGAACAACGTTGGATGGACTGAAATGTCAATATTTGGTTTACTATTGTAAATGTTGAAGGTTTGCAAACTGAGATTCAGTAGATACAAAAAATGCTATAGATTATGTGTCTATGACAAGCCGTTCTGAAGCTATGCTGCACCAAACTCTTGCGGAATGGTGAAAAAGAATAATCACAGTCAAAATCACAGTCGGAAGCCACCAGCCTCGTAAGTGGTGCCTTCTTGTTGGCTACCAGCATCTGCCAAGCCCTTTCTGACCGCCCTGCGCCTTTTCCTTTTCGACTTTTGCTCATCCGAAGACTTCCTCCGGGCATGGTAGTCCTTCTTGATGCCCCACATGGCCAGCTGTCGGCTGTTTGCTGACTGCGGGGAACACGGCATGCGCTGTAGTATCTCCTGGAGTGCCTCATAGCCGTCATTTAAGATCACAACAGCCAGATTGACAGCAGTCTTCACTGTGGCTGCACTGCAGAAAGTCTCCTTGGGACAAAGGTGCCACACCGTGCCGTTAAAGGACTCATTGATGTTCTGTGTGGCCCTCGCGCGTAGCGATCAAGTAAAGGGCGGTCGGTCAGTCGATGGTACACTGGCTTCATCACCTCTATGACGACAGGTGGAATGGTGTCGTGGTGAATGTAGGGCCCTGGCTTCTCAGCTTTCACCTGCTGCCACTTACACCAGGATGTTAAGCCAGGTGGGCAGAACTCGTGTCGGGGATGGCTATCTGAGGATGCTCTGTGGCAGAGGGAGGCCCACATGGCCCGTGCCATTTCAGTGACATTGCCTGCATGCCTGCCGAATCGTAATAGTTCTGCAGCGAATCGATGAGCTTGTCGGTTAGGCGGCCCTTCCCACTGAATGACTTCCATCAGCAAGCTTGTCCTTCCCTAGACGTTGCTTCAAGTCACGGAGACCTATTCCTAGTCTCTTCTGCACATGGCCCACGCACTCCTCTTGATGACGGGCACCTCACCACATATGGCTTGCCATCTACAACAGCATTGTAGCCTTTGCTGTCCTCGTCACCGATGTACGTTGTGTAGCGTAGGTCTCTAGCTGCCTCAGATCGAGCCCACAAACTACGGACTGCAGCAGTCTCCATTGCAGGAGAGGAAACATCAGTGTTGCGTTGGCAGCTATTTTGGTGGGTGACCTTTCAGGCAGCATAATCTGCCTGTGACAGGGTTCCGGCTTCCAGTCTCGCATGCCTGTTGACGCACACTGGGCAGGACTTGGACAGCACTTCTATGTCCAAAACCTTCTTGGTGTCAAATGAGATCACTGTCCGCACACCATAGAGGGATGAGTGACCTCGGCGCATCCACATTCCATCGGTTGTGATGGTGACGTCTCGGGGATGGTCCACGCCGTCAGCCAGCCTGTGGTCGCGCAATTCCTTGGCCCAACGGGTCATGCTCTCATATGCTGCTTCCTCTGCAGCCAAGTGCAAGACAACACACACACAACATGGCAAGCGAAACACAATGGCTACAGTTCGGCACAAAAAACGATTAGGACAACATTAGACAGACAATCAGGACAAGGACATCACAAGACAAACCAACGGGCGGAGTGGACATAGACCGGACCACGACGAGGGAACACATGACGAGGTCGACGATTGGGTGGGGGGCCAGTCCAGTTGCGGTAAGGCGCGTGGCGTGGCATGGTTGGCAAGGCAAGTCGGTGGGGTGGCAGAACGTCGGCGTCGAAGTAGCGGTGTCGAGTAGGGCGTATCGGTCGTGGTTGCGGGCGTGGTCGTAGCTGTCGGGGGTTGTGTGGAATGTGTCGTCGCGGTGGTTGATAAGTTCGGAGGGTTAGGCGTTGGCGGATTGCCGTTCCAAGTTCCTCCGCCGAGGGAGGGCGTGGTACCAAGTCGAGATGTCGACGTGCGGCATCCAAGCGCGACGGCCTGACGATTCCGGGTGCCGGGGGTGCTGGCGGAAGCACTGGCGTCCGACACGACGGCGGCGATGGCGCTTGTCTGACCCAGTCGGGAAACCTCGGCGGCGACCCCCATGGGGAAGGATTCCACGGCTCGAGCATCGCTCGGTTCGGGTGAGGCGGCGGTGATTGGGGCGGTGGAGGAGGAGGAGGAGGAGGCGACTAGGGTGGCGAGCAGGGCCGCATGGCAGCGGCCATTTGGTCTTCGAGAGAGAGAGAGAGACATGCTGTTGGCAACAGGCCCTGGCAGGTCAAGAACTGCACAAATCTTGTCCAGTGCATCCCGTCCTCGTCCCACCAACCTCATGGCAAGTGTTGACCGACGATTGATGTCAAAGAATTTCGCTTGGTCAGGTTTCTTGCCCATGGCCATTTCAGTTCTCACATTGCACGTATCACACTCCAAGATCCACATTGGCACAAGTCCTACACATTCGCTCTCTTGCAGAGTAAGTTGCCCTTTTCGACAGTTAGAGCAGACTGCAACCTCTGACAGCAATTCGTCCAAACAAGAAATGTCAATGATGCGATTTCCAGTAAGTTCACGGGTGACATGCGTGTCTTCCTCGGAATCAGACTCAGTGTCGCTTGATGAGCTGTCAGTAGCCTCACCATCATCTCCATCATCTGATGAAGAGGCTTGCGCAACGACGAGATCATCCTCAGGCTCGTTCTCTTCCACAAGAGCAATTTCTTCGGCCGTCACTTCCTGAGATACCTCTTGAATTTTGTGCTGATTTCCGCGATAGGCTCTCTTTCGCTTGCGACCTCGGCCTTTACTCTTGTTCCCCATCACCAAAGAGTTCTTGATAAAGACAACAATCGACTATTCAAATGTAGGTAGACTAGGACAGATGCGATACTCAACTCAAATTATTTCCAAAACATTCACTTTCGAAAAAAATTTCGATCGCGGCCCTGAGTATAAATAAAAATATTTTACTACTCTCTGTCGACAGGACATCATGTCCTGGCGCGGCCCTGACTTCTCAACCCCGGCAATTTGCTACTCCAAACCCACCTGGTAGGCCTACAGAATCCCAGTTTCAGCAAAACCCAAAGGCTACCCACATCAAACTGACAGGAAAGCGGGAAAGCACTGTGAAATGACAGCTCAATTTCTTTGAAATTCAAAAATTCTAATATTGCACTGCGCACTTTGAAGGCCCATAACTTGAGAACGGCTGATCCGATTTCGCTCAGATTTTCGGGATAGACATTTGGGACCATTACCTTTCATTTGAGCCATCGATGAGCCGATTCTGAGCATTTTTGATTTTTCGTGATTTTTGGGTAGGCTGCCACCCTTAAGCTTCCTGCCAGATTCTTGTAGTTGTCTTGGAAACTTCTATTTAAATGTGACTTATAGGCTGTTTTGTACCTAGTCTGAAGAGTGCCTAACCCCTAACGTAAAGCAGTAGCCTGGCATTTTTTTTGAATTTCTGAAAATTGCCATGCGTCTGCACATTTTGGCCCCCTGACTGGTCAGCACATAGAGAACGAAACGCCTCCTGTCCATTGTAAATGTCTATAATTCCAATGAAACTACGGGTTTGTGTCAGCTGCAACACACCCACCCAGTATGACATAACATGAACAAAAGTAACACTGTAGTACGACACATACCATTCACTGGTATTAATATTATTATTGTTTCGTAAACAGAGTCCCCCTCTGAAGCCTTTTTTTTCTTCATATGGAGACCGGTAATTACGGAGACTCCCTTTGTCTAGGGCCGGGTTTTCTTTTTTTGTGTGTGCTTGACACTTTTTACCCCGTATGGTGAACATCAGAGCAATGCCTGGCATCTTTGTGGTGTTCTCGAGTCAGCTCTTCAGCTGTGCCAGGTGAAACCCAGCCAAAGCTGGTGGCCTGGACGACCAGTTTCCAATACATTGCTGCACTTGTACTTATGTACGTCCGGCGTTTAGCAAGGAGCTGTACGGCACATGTTGGTTGACCTTGTCTGGAAGTGTGTATGTGAATCTGGTGTCCATGCAGTAGTGTGCTGCCTGTCAATACCAATGGACTTTGTATCTTGTCAGCATGCAGTACATTGCACATCACTGGACTGAACTATGTGTCGCACTGTCATGCAGTGCACTGCACATGACTGGACTGGACTGTGTGTCGCATCGTCATGCAATACACTGCACATCACTGGACTGAACCATGTGTCGCATCGTCATGCAATACACTGCACATCACTGGACTGAACCATGTGTCGCATCGTCATGCAATGCACTGCACATCACTGGACTGGACTGTGTGTCGCATCGTCATGCAATACACTGCACATCACCGGACTGAACTGTGTGTCGCATCGTCGTGCAATGCACTGCACTGTGTACCGGTATCTTCTCATCATACAACACACCGCACATCACCGGACTGAACTGTGTGTTGCACCGCCGTGCACCGCACGGCACTCACTGGGCCGTACTGTGTGTTTGATCAGCATTCTTCACGGTACTGGGTGTGCAAAATGAGCGTCTCTTGGCGTCATTGGGTTCCGAGCTACCATCACAACATGTGCACATTCTGACTTGTGGCTGTGTGTATTCTCGTTGCATTTACCGGTATGACCTGCTAGCACGCACTTCACTGTGTCGTATTGCGATGTCAATCAACTGTCTGCACGCACCACACTGTGGACAGTGAAATGCCAACCGCATGCACTCTGTGTGTCAGTGGATTTATCAGCGCAGAACATGTGTGTTGGCAATCAAGCACTGGACATCACTGGACTGTGGCGTGTGAATTGTCCACGTGCACTGCATAGTGCATACACCATGCAACCAGGTGGCATTCCGTTCTGCACACATCATCATGTGTCATACAGCATCCAGACTTGAGCAAGACAGATAGCTAAACAGTGCACCACCCAGTCCATGCACTCATCTACCAACAGCATCAATAGCAGCAAGACCTTACTGCTTATAGAGCAACACCAGCACCAGAGTACTATTGCTGCTGCCACAACTGCAGGCACAGGCTGCAGGAACTGCTGAGTCCTGTGAAAATTGCAGACACTCATGGAGGCGTTTGCTATGTGCCACGCCAGGCATCCAGCCACCTTGCAGTCGTGCGCCACTGATAGGAGTGGCCAGGACACGCACTTGACTAGATCACATCATACAGCAGACACACCGTATGGAGACCAGATGCAAGCACTGATGCAAGTCCACATTGCAATCCAACCGAGGATGAGCATTTCCAGCATTACCAGCTTTGTCACTCCATTACACCACACCAGACGAAGTGCGCTGCCTTGTGTGGTTGTTGACTGCGGTCATTGTTTTCGTTGTCCTTTCTTCTAGGTACCATTTGCGAAACCTGGTCAGTTGCCATGGGCTTGGGCTGATGCGAATTTCCAGTTGCCAGTCCGCTTTTGCTCCACCATCAGCTAGCTTCCGCGCAGCTCTCTCTCTCTCCATCTCGCAGCGTAACCTCCTCATCTTGGTTGGTGTGTATGCATGTGTTGAGTGCACACACGCACACTCACGCAACACCATCAGCTGCACAGAGCTTTTTTTTGGTAGGGCCCATTGCGTTGAATCGTACCTCGCACTCACGCTCCATGCAGTACCAGAGCAGTGCAGACATTGGCATCCACAAGTTCAGCTGCACTCACCTTTACTGGTGCAACCACATCTCCAGACGGCCATGTGGTGGTGTGTTCCATCGTACTTCACTCACGTAGTACATTACTAATCCACTAAACAACGTACAATACTTGTACATTACCAATCCACTAAACAACGTACCATACTTCTCGCTGTCTTTCCAGTATTGGATATGGGCATTTTATATCTTGCTTGTGTGAAAGATTTCCTCGGCGATAGATGCATTTTGAGCATGCAAATCAAAACGACTGCATATTATAGCGATGTTTGTCATGGTGGCCTCCTCAACTACAGCTTTGTGCCACTTCTCTCTCTCTCTCTCTCTCTCTCTCTCTCTCTCTCTCTCTCTCCCTCTCTCTCTCCCTCTTCTCTCTTGCCATCTTTCCCAAGCGTTCATACTCGTTCACCGCTGAGCTGCGCAGATACCGATCTGAGAAGAATTGCAGGCTTGACGTTGTTTGTGTGTGTGTACGTGCGAATGTGTGTGCGCGCTCGATTCACATGTCTACTCCTGGCACTGGCATCGTTGCCTGGTTTCAGCGGTACACGTAGCTGGCTACTGCACGCAATGAAAAGTCTGTCCTCCAAGACTACACATACACCTCATAATTTCTACAATGTACTCAAAGTACCGATACATTTTCGGCACTCTCTTGTGACCTCTTTTGGTTTTCTTGTTGAATATTTTTTCTCCCGCTGCCTTTCTTCTTATGGTCATCTGCTCTCGTGCCAAATTGGCGTGAAAGGTGCGACAGCATTTCCTATCGTATTGTTCGCTATTTTTATGGGACGAGCGTAACACGAGTTTTAACCAATGTGAAAGTAAACGTGAACAGTGTGTGTGGGTGTATGTGGGTGTGGGTGGGCGCCGTTCTCCATGAACATTCCGCGACTTGAATATTGAGCAGTTTGCAGTACTGGAAACTGCTGTTCAGACATCCGCTGTAGCCAAACTGTTTCCTGTGCGCGCGCGCGCGTGTGTACATGTATTGGTTCTTTGGTTATAGCTTCTTTGTTATTTTGTGTTTTTTATGTCCTGTTGTTCAGGTGCACCATACGGTGCTGCGGCTGCTCCCGGTGCGTACGGTGGATACGGTGGCTTTCCGGCGCCTGGCACAGCTGCTGGTGGCGCTCTGCAGCCATCGCCAGGCCAGCAGTTTGGCGCGCCGCAGTTTGATGCCTACGGTGCTCCCACTGGTCAAGGCCAGTTCGGAGGAGCCGCACGCTTTGTAAGCTGTCTTTTATCTCCTACTACTGGCCTGGTGTGCATGTCCACTATCTTGTATGCATTCGACTTTGTTGCGTCATGATTTAGACCTGCTTCGCTCAGATTCCTGAAAGTGCCCGCTCTACTCTCTAATACCTGGGGCTCTGGCTGTCCCCTGATTTGGATTGGGGTGTTTCGCCAGTTGTAGTTACTGATTCATGTACATGCTAGTATATGTAGCACGTACTCAGTCAAGTTCACAAGTTGAATGTGAATAATTATAGACCTTGGTACAGGCTGGGCTGGATTTGACTTTCAAAGTCGGCCCTGTGGAATTGTCCGTTGTACAGGAGCAAGTTGATTATCACTGCGTGTTCCCTGCTATTGTTGCTTGCTGTCACTAGTACTTGGTTGTTGCTGCTGTTGTTGTTACTATTGCCTTGTTGGCGCCGCCTTGCCTTGCCTGGCTTGTAGGGTGCAACGGGTGCTTTTGCCGGTGATCCCGGCGCAGTTGTCATGGTCTATAACCTGGACCCGGAGCGCATCAACTGCGAGCGTCTCTTCAACTTGTTCTGTGCCTACGGCAATGTTGTGCGGGTGAGTCGCTAGCTCGCGTAGATTGCATACATCATGTCACTGTGATGTCGTTCGTACTTCATGCCGCAGGTTTTTTATGCACTCTTCATCTTTGTGCACCCGTTCTATTCTTGTTTCTCCCTACTCAGAGGAGCAAATCCTCTCTATCCCATGGTCTACGGCTCTTTTGACTTGCGTTCATTCGGTTGTGTCTGTGTGTATGTGTTGTGTTTGGCTTGATCTTTCTCCAGATCAAGGTGTTTGTGAAGAAACTGGGCAGCGCACTTGTACAGATGGACCGCAGAGAGGGCGCATCCAATGCCATCCGCTTCCTGCACGACGCTGAGTTCATGGGGCAAAAACTGTCACTCAGGTTCGTTGCGTGCCTATGACCTGTATTCTAGGTGCAGCCAAAACATGTGTGTGCGCCTGTACACACGTGTGTGTGTGTGTGTGTGTGTGTGTGTGTGTGTGTGTGTGTGTGTGCTATTGCACATGAAGTGGGTTGACATACTTGACCAGTCTTTGTTTTGGTATTGTTTCTTTTTTTTGTTCTTGGGAAATATTTGGATGACAGCTAAACCGTAGCTCAGTGGTTAAAACATCGCTGACCTCAAGCGATGATCCCTGGTTTGAGTCCTGTTGGTGACAGTCAATTTTTTCTTCCGACTTTTCCCTCAAACCAATGAAATGTTTGAAAAATTGTTCCTGTTTCGTCTTTGGTCCAACTTTAATATCAATCTTTCTTTCTGGCTGTTGTGTACTTTCTAGCTTCTCCCACCATGCAGTGATCGAGGACCGTGGCCTTGTTGGTCAGCTGGCAGACGGGACCCCTGCTGTTGTGGATTTCAGCCACTCGCGCAATAACAGGTTTGTTCGTGTTGTTTTGTACTATTGCTGCTGCCACTGGCACACTGGCATGGTGCTTTGCTTTCCATTTCTACTGGTGTGTGGGTCGCTGCTGCTGCTGTTGTTACAACATGTTTGGCACTGTTGGATGGACGTACATGCAATGATGCAGAATTCGCTGCATGTTTATCTCCATTGGCATTGTGTTTCAATATTCCGATCATCAACCATGTGAATGTTATCCCCTGGATATATGTACCGTAAGGTCGCGTATTAGAGCCGAGCTTATTCCTGTAGAAGCCAATGTCAGTGCTAGGCTTCTATTCAAGTTGGGCTTCTATTCGAACCAGGTATTTCTAATATATTTGTAAACACTAAAACCAGGCTTATGTGCCGACGTGCGTCTTGAAAATCAGGCTCGTATTCAAAGCTGGCTTCTATATGAGACAGGCTGTAATACCAGACACCATACCCTGGTATAGGATTAGTCCATGAACTAATTGCTTACCTTTTTCCCGTTTTGTTAGACTCCTGTCGACATGTCGTAGTCTATGTAAACGAAATGTTTACTTGTTCTTTGTTGTGTGCAGATTCCAGAGTGCGGAGCAAAGTCGCAAGAACCGTATCCTACCCACATGACAGTGTGTTATAGCTTCTTCTTTTTTTAACACCGAGCTTTGTACAGTACCTGTCTTATCCAGGCGCGCCTTGGGATTGCAGGGGTGCCCATATCTCAGAATCATCCGTAATTAGAGAATACATCACATCCATCATGGAAACGACACGCCATTCTCTTCAGGTGGGAAGAATTTTTCAAGTTTTGACTTCAGCCACTTTCCTGCTGCTTGAGAGGTTGTCCGGATATGGGAGGTCCGGATAAGACTCAGAGAGTTTCTACCGTACTCTTGTGGCTGGCTTTGTCTGTCCTGTGGGTGAAGAGATGAGATGGGGGTCCAGATACTGTCCAATCTTCTGTTTGCCGACTGTGCCACTTTTGCCCATGTGCAAATGCTAGTCGAAGCGTTTGATATTATTGTTCTCTTGTGTGGCCATTATCTCCCCATGTCATGGAGGTCAGTTACGGTTCAAGGGGCGTAGGTCCACTGGTTCGTGCCATGCCTGAGAACCAGGCAATTCAGCCATTTTGTTTCTTGCCAAACAGTACCATACTGTGGCTGTGGTCCAGTGTGGATGTACACCATACTGTGGCTGTGGTCCAGTGTGGATGTACACCATACTGTGGCTGTGGTCCAGTGTGGATGTACACCATACTGTGGATGTGGTCCAGTGTGGATGTAGTCCAGTGTGGATGTGGTCCAGTGTGGATGTGGTCCAGTGTCGATGTACACCATACTGTGGCTGTGGTCCAGTGTCGATGTACACCATACTGTGACTGATGTCCAGTGTGGGTGTACACCAGGTACTATTGTAGTATGCTATACTATAGCTGTGGATGTACACCAGGCATGCGGAGTCCAGATAGCCTGGAGCCACTTCCAGTCCACCCCAGTCAATGTCCCTGCTTGCAATCTGTCTAGGTTCTATGCTTTTGAAGAGGTCATTATTCGAGATCGATTTGAGAAGTTCGCCTGTTACTCAAGCTTCCAAAGCAGTGTGTGTTATGCTTTATGGTCTCCCCTCATGTCACAGTCCAGGATAGAAACGTGACATGCTGTAATACTAGCCAAAGCACACAGCAGGAGCAAGGCTGGCGGTACTGATGAAAACCTGTATGCATGTACACATGCACACGTAGCAACGCTTTCCCTAGCTTTCAATGAACTCATGTCTGCGGAATAGTAGAGTGATCGTGTATGTGACTATGTGTAGTACTGTGCGTACGTGTGGCAAGGTTATAGGACTTCTATCAGGCTGACTTGTCAACCTTGACTATGGGTTCTTCAGTTATGATTGCTCCGACAAAGACGCTTCACTTTTTCAACGCACCACCCGACGCAACTATGGAGGACTTGAAGGCGGTAAGACAACAATGCCGAACGGGTTGTGCTTAAGTTGGCAACTGATGTTTGATAGTTGTTAAAGTGTAAGAATCACTGATGGCTTTTCCTATCACACCTTCCAAACTTACCACTACATTACTTGTACATGTACAATTGTGCGGTCGCTGTGTGTCCCAGGTGTTCACCAATGCAGGCGCTCCTTGTCCGATTAACGTCACTCTCTTCTCCAAAAAGCCCGGCCAGAAAGAGGGTAGGTGGAAGGCATGGCCTTTTGCTTCTACGCCTGTGTGTCTGCGTGTTGTCTGTCTGCCGGGTGTATGTGTAAACCCTCTCTCTCTCTCTCTCTCTCTCTCTCTCTCTCTCTCTCTCTCTCTCTCTCTCTCTCTCTCTCTCTCTCTCTCTCTCTCTCTCTCTCTTTCTCTCTCTCTCTCTCTCTCTTCTCTCTCTCTCTCTCTCTCTCTCACCTCCCCACTCTCTCCAGACTGTGCAAATTTACTACTTCCTTCCCATTGAAATAGCTGTTGAATGTCCCTGGCCAAGTGATGGCACCTCTCCAGTTTTCAACATCTAATCAATACAAGCATGCCACTACTATGAGACATTTTAACTATTCCTTCTTTTGTCATCTCACTTTACTTGCGAGAAACACACAATCTATGTGCTTCTGAATGGCCTAACTATGGTACAGATTGGAATGTATTCAGCACGACCATTTGAAAACGGGGCTGCCATGTCTCCTCCTAACAAACTCTTACAACACATAGCCTATGGAATGAGATTCAATGTTCAGGTGACAAAACGACCAGCGGCCATTTTCTTTGCATCTTCAAGGTTGTTGGCAATGACAAGAACACCAGCCACATACCAACACGAGTACGAGTGTGCAATGATGGTACGATGATGGCCGCCCGTGTTGCTACATTTTCTATAACATGACTGTTTGGTATGATTGTGTGTACAGAGAGGTCCAAGCAGTCCGGCTTGATGGAATGGACCACTCCCACGCATGCCCTCGAGGCTATGGCCATTTGCAATCATGTCACGCTCACACCGGCAGGTAGGTTCCATGTTCTTCATAGTTTTACTTCTCCTTTTCCCCTTCCATCCTACCCCCGTCTCCCCATCACGCCCAGCACTCATGTACTCACACCCGTAATCTCTCATCTCTCATACGAGCACATCCAGTTTTACTTCCTCTGGATACAAAAACTTTGTGACTTTTTTTTAAGGCTGCACACAGCTTTGGAACTGTTCAGTTTGACTTGGAATAACACTCATGGCTTTTCTAACCTATTTACAAGCTGTATACAAAGAAAAAAGCAACTCAGACGAATGAGATTGAATTTATTCGGTGTCTTTTTCGCTCGTGTCACTGTCACCTGATGATGCTGACTCCGCATCGCCAACAGTCGCTGATTCCGCTCGTTTTTCGTTCAGCTTGTAAGCTGCAGAGATGATCTGACACGGGACTTTGGCAACGTCCTCTTCATCTCCAGAGCTTCGTACGCCTCTGTGTCGACTATATTTAGTCGTTTTCACCCCGTCCTCCATTATGCAGTGAAACGAATCGTACAAGCACATCCACACGCTTCACATTTTCTCGGCAGGATACTCCGCTCTGCATTCTACAACGGCTTCGAGGAGGTCCCTGTGATTCTCCTTGGCGACAAGGGAGACGTCTGACTGGAGAGGGGCGAAGAAAGCCAGGCCGTCAACATTGTCTGTCTGCCTGGTTGCACGACGACTGAAATGTTTCATCTTGCCGTCTGAGCGCAACAGCTTCATGTTGTCATGCTGCATATGCGGCCGCGCGGCGTCGTGCTGTAAGTACAGAGCTTGGCCAGCTTCAGGGCAGCGAGTGTCGCGCGACTCCACGTTCCAGCCGCGAGCACCACTGCGTCGCTGTGTCAGTTTCGAGCAAGCGAGTTGTTTTACTTGACTCGTGAATTCCTGCCGGCAACGTCCTCACGCGCATGGCTTCCATGGAGAATCTGTTCAGGATCAATCAAACTTGCCTCGACATAAATGTGGGTTGTTCGTTGAGCGCCGAGGTTCTTGCTCAAAACACCGTTGAAAAATAGTCACGAAGTTTTTGTATACGGAGGAAGTACTTGATTCGTTCTAGTACCTATCCCATCTACAAATGATTTGAATGCATAAACTCCAAGTTCCATACGAAAGTTGGTTTCAGACCACGGTGAAAGTGTAGTGTTGATTTTCCGCAGTGTACAGATTGTAGCTGCATAGTGTATTGAAGGCAGCATGCCGCACATCTGGCCCGTAGGAAACAGATCACAGTTGCATGCTCTTGGTTGTGGACTCGTTTGGTGTTATAGATCCTGTGTGACAGTATGACTTTTTTATTTTTTATATTGGCCAAGTCCCACTGAGCATGTAATAGTCGCCTGATGATTGCATTGAGCAAGAAACTCTGAGTTGCGACAAATCTGCAAACCTCCGTTGTGCCTTTTGACTATATTTTTACAACTGCTGCTCTCGTAGTTCTGTCTCAATCTACAGTACAGCACTAGCACTGACTCTACTCATCTTCTGGCCTTCTTTTATTTGTTGTCCACAGGTGCTGCGTACACACTGAAACTGGCTTTCTCCCTCTCCAACTCCAAGGCAGGAGGAGCTGCTGGAGGAGCAGGAGTAAATGCCTATGGTAGCAGCTGCAGCAATACCGGGTCAAATCTTGCGTGAGGCGGGGCTAATTAAGAGTGAACAGCGGCAGCAGCAGTAGTATTTGGTGACATCATGCCAAACAGCTCTTCTGAGATTTGCGGTGGTTTTTACTGCGCCCTGGCATGTTGGTTCTTGTGCTTCTATCGGCCTCACTTTTCTGATGGCTGCTTGTGTGCGTGCAATGAATGTGTGTGTGTGTGCATGTGTGTGTGTGTGTGTGTGTGTGTGTGTGTGTGTGTGTGTGTGTGTGTGTGTGTGTGCGTGTGTGCGTGTGTGCGCACGCGCGTGTGTGCGTGTGCGCACGCGCGTGTGTGCGTACGAGCGTGGTTATATCTGTTTCTGTGCTCTGATTGTTGTCTCGCCTTTATTTTGCTTGTCTGTGCAGTAGGGAGCTGCACTCCTTACTCTCGTCACAACATGCAGTCCAGCATAGCTGTAGATCATGCAGCAGGCATGGCGGCATGCTGTTCTCATTGTGATTGTACATAGGCTTCCTATCGTTGCTGTCTGCTTCGAGCCCTGCCCTGCTCTGCCTGGTGCAGTGCCGACCGCCTTCCACTGGCCCCGCTCCTCCTCACTAGGCTCTGTTCTGAATTTTAGTCCTTTTTATCACTGGTGATTGTCGTAACTGTACCGAGTATGCGTTCTGTCCACTCCTTTCTGGTGTTTTTCTTTCTTACTCGTCTCGATCTTGTAGGCTTCCTGTCCACTCCTTTCTGGTGTTTTTCTTTCTTACTCGTCTCGATCTTGTAGGCTTGCGGGCGTGTGCTTTAGTTTCCTTCTTTAGATCATGTGTATGTCCAAAAACGATCACGCTTTGTTGCAGACCGGCCTTTGAGTGGACAGATAGTGGTACCGTTGCCCCCCCCCCCCCCCCCCCCTTACGCCATGTTGATTCCCACTCCCAGCTGGTTTTTCGACCGGACGGGGGGGGGGGGGGGGGGGGGTAGATCAAAGCCCTCAAGTGCAATACTATGCACTGCGTATAAGCACAACACAAAAATGATCAGGTTTGCCTTGTGTACAGCATGCAGTGCATGCGAACACTGCATTTTGACATACACCAGTACGCTGCAGTCGCTTCAAAGGTACAACTTCAACGGAGGACGGATCGACAGTATTTTACCTTTCGGCATTGTGTATTGCCCGTGAATGCTTGTGTGTCCACGGCACCATAGCTATGAGATTACAGTCCAGAACAGCCTGTAAACATCATGATATCAGTATGGCCAAACACTTGACATGTGGACAACGTCCTGTCAATAAATCAAAATCTCTTTACTACACACGGCTGTGAACCAGGGAGTTATACCGGTAGTGGTGTTCATGCCATCATGGTGCTAGGGCCACTACTTATTCATGAGGTTGAGTTTCACTGGCTAGTAGCAAGAGTACACAACCCCCATACCAGGGGTTATGTACTCTTGCTAGTACTTACAGTACATCAAGAGTAAAGAAGCTCCCGGGAGCTTATGCATAATGTCCATGTACTAGTACTAGCTGTTTGCGGTGGGAAGTATGTGCCTATACCTAGTATACACCTAGTACTAAGTTGCACATCGCCTCCACTGTTTTACACTGCATGAATAAACCACAACGTTTAATGTTGATTCAGCTTGTCTTATTGATTGCGGTTATCAAATTATTGTCTCTTCGCCGTTTGTTTAATACTAAGACTTGGTAATAGTTAGTTATTGGTGGGGTACCGGGTCATTGCTCCCGACTAACAACCACTGGATCCAGTACACGAATCCCTCCACCCGCACCTCATCACGCATTGCCTTACGTCATCTTATCCTGACGACAAGCAAGCTACATACATGCGCACACACTTGCCACAAAGACACACAATTTCCAAAAAAAACCATAGCCGAGTAGGGTTCCCGCCATCACCGCCGCAGCTACATGCTGGAAGTAAGTTACATTGCGGCTTACAAGCGTGTCCCGTAGCCTTTACAACATATCGCTATACTAGACAATGTACCAGAAAAGGCAGAATAAAGAGAAACACGAGAGAGGCTTCACAGCAGAACAAGATACATGTAGTCTAGTAAACCAAACAATCCTACAAATACCTACACGCTGAAGAGTGCAGCATGATACATGTAGACCGAGTCTATCACAACATCCCACTTGTTGGTCAAATAAGAGAAGAGGAACTAAACTGGCCGTGCGGTTGGGGACACAGAAAATGATCGTTGTGACAATGTTGGCGATGTAAAACAGTCATTCACTCGGAATGACAATGACTGTAGTAACGAGTGAAACCTAACAGCTGGCCTGAAAAGAAAAGAAAAAAACAACACGTACATATGCATATTCCTGGATTCCAACTAGAAGCTGCGACACACATGCACACAACGAAAAACCACAAACTCAGAGTGGGAAATAAAAAATTCTACAGGTTGGAAATGTTTCAAAACTCTACAGGTTGGAAATGTTTCAACACTCTACAGGTTGGAAATGTTTCAACACTCTACAGGTTGGAAATGTTTCAACACTCTACAGGTTGGAAATGTTTCAAAACTCTACAGGTTGGAGTGCTTTCGCCAGTACGACCGACAGTATTATCAAGCGCGTTCTTGTCTTCATTCAGAAAATGTATAAAAAAAGACTGTAAAGTTGTGAACGGATTTACACACATTCCGGTGAAACTCTGTGCCTGTAAGCAACTTCTGTGCTTGTCTAGAGACGAAGACAAATTTGCCGGACTGCATCCATAGGAGTAAGCCATGCCGAGATGAGAAAGACTTGCAGGCAGATGCTGTCCAGTGGACTGGTGCATTGACTGATACAGCTAACATCAAGAGTACATAACTACACAGTGTAGTTATGTACTCTTGCTAACATGTATGACCATGCGACAGGGTGTTGGCTCAGCCAGTACTGACCAGGACTCAAGTGGCCGATGACCTTGATGCTGCAGTTGCCTTTGCTGCTGGCGATGCCGACAGCAAGGCACTGCCATCAGCCGTGCACGTAACGCTGTTTAAAGTTAAGGAGTCAGATAGACCTTGCTGATGGCCAGCTTTCAATGGTGGAGCATCGGGTGGGATGATTCGGACTACTTCTGCTGGCAGCTTATCACGAACAGCCATGAAACGTTGACAGAGGATCTCAGCATCGATGAGCATTACATCCAAGTCAATGTGACCACACAATTCATTCACATACTGTCAAACAGAAAGAAGACAATCACAGAAGCAAAGGTAAATCTTAACTAACGTATGCAAACACGCACGCACACATGCACACCTACACCCACACACCCACACACGTGAACACCCTCACATACTCCAGCTCCTCTAATAATTACCCGCGGGGATAGATTACGACGACACCCGGCTATCATACACCCTGCGCACTGTTGCTGTGGTGCCGAGGATGGGAACGATGGCAGAAGACTCATTTTGCGGCTTTTGTCCCTTCCAATCTGGGCGACGTGTTTCGAATAATCGATCGTCCCGAAAATGGACGCTCAGATAATTGGCATCCCACTGGATACCAGCAATTGCACTTCACAGGCAAAGGGGCATAGGCAGGCCGGGGGCGGGGGGTCACAAGCAGGGGACAGGCAGCAACATGTGACAGCTGAGCAAGCACACACGCATAGACAGGCGCTAGGCACACATAACAGTTACTAGTTAAGTACCCTGAACACACACACACACACACACACACACACACACACACACACACACACACACACACACACACACACACACACACACACACACACACACACACACACACACACACACACACACACACACACACACACACACACACACACACACACACACACACACACACACACACACACACACACACACACACACACACACACACACACACACACACACACACACACACACACACACACACACACACACACACACACACACACACACACACACACACACACACACACACACACACACACACACACACACACACACACACACACACACACACACACACACACACACACACACACACACACACACACACACACACACACACACACACACACACACACACACACACACACACACACACACACACACACACACACACACACACACACACACACACACACACACACACACACACACACACACACACACACACACACACACACACACACACACACACACACACACACACACACACACACACACACACACACACACACACACACACACACACACACACACACACACACACACACACACACACACACACACACACACACACACACACACACACACACACACACACACACACACACACACACACACACACACACACACACACACACACACACACACACACACACACACACACACACACACACACACACACACACACACACACACACACACACACACACACACACACACACACACACACACACACACACACACACACACACACACACACACACACACACACACACACACACACACACACACACACACACACACACACACACACACACACACACACACACACACACACACACACACACACACACACACACACACACACACACACACACACACACACACACACACACACACACACACACACACACACACACACACACACACACACACACACACACACACACACACACACACACACACACACACACACACACACACACACACACACACACACACACACACACACACACACACACACACACACACACACACACACACACACACACACACACACACACACACACACACACACACACACACACACACACACACACACACACACACACACACACACACACACACACACACACACACACACACACACACACACACACACACACACACACACACACACACACACACACACACACACACACACACACACACACACACACACACACACACACACACACACACACACACACACACACACACACACACACACACACACACACACACACACACACACACACACACACACACACACACACACACACACACACACACACACACACACACACACACACACACACACACACACACACACACACACACACACACACACACACACACACACACACACACACACACACACACACACACACACACACACACACACACACACACACACACACACACACACACACACACACACACACACACACACACACACACACACACACACACACACACACACACACACACACACACACACACACACACACACACACACACACACACACACACACACACACACACACACACACACACACACACACACACACACACACACACACACACACACACACACACACACACACACACACACACACACACACACACACACACACACACACACACACACACACACACACACACACACACACACACACACACACACACACACACACACACACACACACACACACACACACACACACACACACACACACACACACACACACACACACACACACACACACACACACACACACACACACACACACACACACACACACACACACACACACACACACACACACACACACACACACACACACACACACACACACACACACACACACACACACACACACACACACACACACACACACACACACACACACACACACACACACACACACACACACACACACACACACACACACACACACACACACACACACACACACACACACACACACACACACACACACACACACACACACACACACACACACACACACACACACACACACACACACACACACACACACACACACACACACACACACACACACACACACACACACACACACACACACACACACACACACACACACACACACACACACACACACACACACACACACACACACACACACACACACACACACACACACACACACACACACACACACACACACACACACACACACACACACACACACACACACACACACACACACACACACACACACACACACACACACACACACACACACACACACACACACACACACACACACACACACACACACACACACACACACACACACACACACACACACACACACACACACACACACACACACACACACACACACACACACACACACACACACACACACACACACACACACACACACACACACACACACACACACACACACACACACACACACACACACACACACACACACACACACACACACACACACACACACACACACACACACACACACACACACACACACACACACACACACACACACACACACACACACACACACACACACACACACACACACACACACACACACACACACACACACACACACACACACACACACACACACACACACACACACACACACACACACACACACACACACACACACACACACACACACACACACACACACACACACACACACACACACACACACACACACACACACACACACACACACACACACACACACACACACACACACACACACACACACACACACACACACACACACACACACACACACACACACACACACACACACACACACACACACACACACACACACACACACACACACACACACACACACACACACACACACACACACACACACACACACACACACACACACACACACACACACACACACACACACACACACACACACACACACACACACACACACACACACACACACACACACACACACACACACACACACACACACACACACACACACACACACACACACACACACACACACACACACACACACACACACACACACACACACACACACACACACACACACACACACACACACACACACACACACACACACACACACACACACACACACACACACACACACACACACACACACACACACACACACACACACACACACACACACACACACACACACACACACACACACACACACACACACACACACACACACACACACACACACACACACACACACACACACACACACACACACACACACACACACACACACACACACACACACACACACACACACACACACACACACACACACACACACACACACACACACACACACACACACACACACACACACACACACACACACACACACACACACACACACACACACACACACACACACACACACACACACACACACACACACACACACACACACACACACACACACACACACACACACACACACACACACACACACACACACACACACACACACACACACACACACACACACACACACACACACACACACACACACACACACACACACACACACACACACACACACACACACACACACACACACACACACACACACACACACACACACACACACACACACACACACACACACACACACACACACACACACACACACACACACACACACACACACACACACACACACACACACACACACACACACACACACACACACACACACACACACACACACACACACACACACACACACACACACACACACACACACACACACACACACACACACACACACACACACACACACACACACACACACACACACACACACACACACACACACACACACACACACACACACACACACACACACACACACACACACACACACACACACACACACACACACACACACACACACACACACACACACACACACACACACACACACACACACACACACACACACACACACACACACACACACACACACACACACACACACACACACACACACACACACACACACACACACACACACACACACACACACACACACACACACACACACACACACACACACACACACACACACACACACACACACACACACACACACACACACACACACACACACACACACACACACACACACACACACACACACACACACACACACACACACACACACACACACACACACACACACACACACACACACACACACACACACACACACACACACACACACACACACACACACACACACACACACACACACACACACACACACACACACACACACACACACACACACACACACACACACACACACACACACACACACACACACACACACACACACACACACACACACACACACACACACACACACACACACACACACACACACACACACACACACACACACACACACACACACACACACACACACACACACACACACACACACACACACACACACACACACACACACACACACACACACACACACACACACACACACACACACACACACACACACACACACACACACACACACACACACACACACACACACACACACACACACACACACACACACACACACACACACACACACACACACACACACACACACACACACACACACACACACACACACACACACACACACACACACACACACACACACACACACACACACACACACACACACACACACACACACACACACACACACACACACACACACACACACACACACACACACACACACACACACACACACACACACACACACACACACACACACACACACACACACACACACACACACACACACACACACACACACACACACACACACACACACACACACACACACACACACACACACACACACACACACACACACACACACACACACACACACACACACACACACACACACACACACACACACACACACACACACACACACACACACACACACACACACACACACACACACACACACACACACACACACACACACACACACACACACACACACACACACACACACACACACACACACACACACACACACACACACACACACACACACACACACACACACACACACACACACACACACACACACACACACACACACACACACACACACACACACACACACACACACACACACACACACACACACACACACACACACACACACACACACACACACACACACACACACACACACACACACACACACACACACACACACACACACACACACACACACACACACACACACACACACACACACACACACACACACACACACACACACACACACACACACACACACACACACACACACACACACACACACACACACACACACACACACACACACACACACACACACACACACACACACACACACACACACACACACACACACACACACACACACACACACACACACACACACACACACACACACACACACACACACACACACACACACACACACACACACACACACACACACACACACACACACACACACACACACACACACACACACACACACACACACACACACACACACACACACACACACACACACACACACACACACACACACACACACACACACACACACACACACACACACACACACACACACACACACACACACACACACACACACACACACACACACACACACACACACACACACACACACACACACACACACACACACACACACACACACACACACACACACACACACACACACACACACACACACACACACACACACACACACACACACACACACACACACACACACACACACACACACACACACACACACACACACACACACACACACACACACACACACACACACACACACACACACACACACACACACACACACACACACACACACACACACACACACACACACACACACACACACACACACACACACACACACACACACACACACACACACACACACACACACACACACACACACACACACACACACACACACACACACACACACACACACACACACACACACACACACACACACACACACACACACACACACACACACACACACACACACACACACACACACACACACACACACACACACACACACACACACACACACACACACACACACACACACACACACACACACACACACACACACACACACACACACACACACACACACACACACACACACACACACACACACACACACACACACACACACACACACACACACACACACACACACACACACACACACACACACACACACACACACACACACACACACACACACACACACACACACACACACACACACACACACACACACACACACACACACACACACACACACACACACACACACACACACACACACACACACACACACACACACACACACACACACACACACACACACACACACACACACACACACACACACACACACACACACACACACACACACACACACACACACACACACACACACACACACACACACACACACACACACACACACACACACACACACACACACACACACACACACACACACACACACACACACACACACACACACACACACACACACACACACACACACACACACACACACACACACACACACACACACACACACACACACACACACACACACACACACACACACACACACACACACACACACACACACACACACACACACACACACACACACACACACACACACACACACACACACACACACACACACACACACACACACACACACACACACACACACACACACACACACACACACACACACACACACACACACACACACACACACACACACACACACACACACACACACACACACACACACACACACACACACACACACACACACACACACACACACACACACACACACACACACACACACACACACACACACACACACACACACACACACACACACACACACACACACACACACACACACACACACACACACACACACACACACACACACACACACACACACACACACACACACACACACACACACACACACACACACACACACACACACACACACACACACACACACACACACACACACACACACACACACACACACACACACACACACACACACACACACACACACACACACACACACACACACACACACACACACACACACACACACACACACACACACACACACACACACACACACACACACACACACACACACACACACACACACACACACACACACACACACACACACACACACACACACACACACACACACACACACACACACACACACACACACACACACACACACACACACACACACACACACACACACACACACACACACACACACACACACACACACACACACACACACACACACACACACACACACACACACACACACACACACACACACACACACACACACACACACACACACACACACACACACACACACACACACACACACACACACACACACACACACACACACACACACACACACACACACACACACACACACACACACACACACACACACACACACACACACACACACACACACACACACACACACACACACACACACACACACACACACACACACACACACACACACACACACACACACACACACACACACACACACACACACACACACACACACACACACACACACACACACACACACACACACACACACACACACACACACACACACACACACACACACACACACACACACACACACACACACACACACACACACACACACACACACACACACACACACACACACACACACACACACACACACACACACACACACACACACACACACACACACACACACACACACACACACACACACACACACACACACACACACACACACACACACACACACACACACACACACACACACACACACACACACACACACACACACACACACACACACACACACACACACACACACACACACACACACACACACACACACACACACACACACACACACACACACACACACACACACACACACACACACACACACACACACACACACACACACACACACACACACACACACACACACACACACACACACACACACACACACACACACACACACACACACACACACACACACACACACACACACACACACACACACACACACACACACACACACACACACACACACACACACACACACACACACACACACACACACACACACACACACACACACACACACACACACACACACACACACACACACACACACACACACACACACACACACACACACACACACACACACACACACACACACACACACACACACACACACACACACACACACACACACACACACACACACACACACACACACACACACACACACACACACACACACACACACACACACACACACACACACACACACACACACACACACACACACACACACACACACACACACACACACACACACACACACACACACACACACACACACACACACACACACACACACACACACACACACACACACACACACACACACACACACACACACACACACACACACACACACACACACACACACACACACACACACACACACACACACACACACACACACACACACACACACACACACACACACACACACACACACACACACACACACACACACACACACACACACACACACACACACACACACACACACACACACACACACACACACACACACACACACACACACACACACACACACACACACACACACACACACACACACACACACACACACACACACACACACACACACACACACACACACACACACACACACACACACACACACACACACACACACCAACCTTAATGATTTCATTGAATCCCATTCTCTTGGAAATAATCGTCTTTTTGCCTTGCAACAGCAGGGCAAGAGCACAGAAGAGATGAAAGTGCGGCGTCAGATACTTCGACCAAAGGACCTGGCAGCAAGAAGCAGACACAAGCAGGCAGACACACACACGCACGCACACACCATGTCATACGAAAAGAAAGGACTGCCATTTTGAGATCACCGGGAAGCCGAGGGTTGATGTAGGCTTCAATGCAATCAAACACTAGTTGCAGCACTATTTTAAAATGAGTAAGGTCTAATACAGCATTGCAATGGCAGCAGCTGCATCATCATCAGCATCAGCAGTACGCGTACCTCCCATAGCCGCATCGTGTCCTCATAACTCAGCTCCCTCTTGAAGAGCACCAGCAGCCATCGAAAGCAGAAATAGAGGTTGTCAGATTCCTGCGCGGCTGCAGTGAGCAGCAAGACATAGCCATCATACAGCAATGGAGCCCGTGTACAAAAGTTACAATGACCAATCATACAGCAAGTTACGACAAGAGTTACAACAAGAGTTACAACGACCAATCGTCCATATGAAACCTGTGTACAAGAGTTACAACGACCAGTGGTCCATTCATCAGAGAGACGTCATAGGGTTGACTGGCACCTTTCAAAACAGGGCCCATCTGTGGCTTTCCCCGGATTTCATAACAAACGATGGTGTGAATAGCAACTGAGAGAGAGAGAGCAAGACCCACTGTCAGTCGACCAAACCAGCTTTTCTACTAAAACGCAGCAGCGCAGAGCCAATCAAGGTCCTAACTGTTAGCAGAAACGTTACACCAGCATACGTGGGCATTGACGTACTGATGTGCCGATGGGATGTCAGCCAATATTGTCCCATTGCTCAACATTACAATAGTTATCACAATAGACGGGAGAGTTTCTCACGCAGAGCACAGCGAGTAGCACAGCAGTGCTGCACGAAAATGTCTTTGCGCTCGAGCGATCGGGATTTACAACGGCGAGAGAACACATTCCAGCAGAACAGCTAGCTAGCTCAGCTCACCAAGATAGTCACTCAGCCGCATATCTGCCACCTTCAGCATCGCGTGTAACGTTGCCAACTGCCGGCGCATGGGCTCTTGATCTTCAGCAAAATTGTCTTCCTGCAGAGCAATCCAAAAAAATAGGAAACAATATTAGCAGACTAGAAGATACACCATGAGGTATTCGTTGCCAAGGGTAGAGCAAACTCATTAAAACGAAGAAACATCCGGCTACAACTACAGTAGAGCTCAATCTACAGATAGACTATTGCATCTGATCTCCTCACCTCCCATCTCATTAGGTGCTGCATCTGCGCCTTGATCCTCGGGCGGGGGATATAATGATACATAGCAGACTCAGCTGAGGACGTTCAGGTTGGTTGTAACTCTGAGTTCCATGCCGCTTCGCAATCATCAAACAACTGATACTGGGGTCTACCCAGCAGTATGCTTATAAACACATAGAGCCACGGGCATAAAAAAATTTAGCGCTAAGTCTGGGGGCGTAAGGTATGGGGAGAGAGCTAACAGCCTCTGTCCGTGCTATAATGCTCACACCTGCCTGTTGCCCGCCACCCTCCTGACACTTCCACTCGCCTGGTGTCTCTCTTAGCGCCTTGGCACACGCTAGCTTTCTCCCAATACCTTACGCCCTTAGCGCCCACCTGCACATTGCGATAATTTTTTTATGCCTGTCCAAGTATCAGTTGTCTGATGATTGCGAAGCGGCATGAAACTCAGAGTTACAGCCAACCTGAACGTCCTCAGCTGAGTCTGCTATGTACTAAGCTCTGTCTCTGACATTGAGCACTCTCTGCAGCTCGGGGATCAACGGATTTGCGATATGATATTATAAGATATTCAGGCGAGGGTGCTGGACTGGTGCCTACAACGGCTGACCATACTATCCTAAAATACCTTCCCAACGCCCCTGCACATGTGGACAATACTTGCCTAAGTTATACTCTGGTTATGAGGTACTCACCACCATGTCCATGAAGCCTGCAAAGCACCAGAACGCTTGCACCTCATCTTCCATTATGTCGACGATCGGCGAGCACAGGTCACTCATACCTTGCACATATCCTGCAACAGAAGCAGCAACAACAAGCAGCAGCAGCAGCAGTCACGGCATCCAAAGATTGGTTGATGCTGTAGACTGGCAGTGCTCCGATTTAGTGAAATACAGAAAAAGAGCACAGTAGACATGCAACGCGGACGTGGTTCTTTCTCCGTGCATTCACACAGAATCAGCAGCCAGTCCCAGACGCTTGTGTACACAGTACAGTCAGACCTCGCATAACCGCACACACCTGCTTTCCACAAAAATATCCGGATAGGCGAGGGAACCGGATAACTGAACACACATACTGTATATGCATGTGGCATGTCAAAAGCAGTGACATCGTACCAAGAGTAGATAAACAAGAGTGTGCAACTCGCGGATGGGTAGGCCCACGGCGGAATTTTTTGTTGACGTAATCTTTTCGACGACGCACGCGCTGCGAGTCTTTCGGAAAGTTTCCCCTCGTGCTAATTGGCCGGCTTTACAATACAAGGCCGGTGCCCAGCACGTGCTCTCACACTGCTCTGCGGCAAAATGCACGTTCTTCTGAAAAAAGGTGACGTCAACAAAAAATTCCGCCGTGGGCGGGGGTATCTGCAGATTATGCAGGAAAGATCCGGAGTTGCACACTCTTGTTTATCTACTCTTGATCGTACATACATGTAGACGGGTCCTATGCAGTACAACTAGCGTGCACAGTATGTAAAACAAGCGAGAAAAATGACAAGTGCATGCAACTGAGTGACGTCCACATGCGCCCAGCAGGTCAAGGACCTCATTTGCCTGTACAACTCCCTGATTCTAGCTTCTGCAAGCCACATGCAACCGGATACGACGAAGCTTTTTGTACACATTTTAACCAGTTTGTACACAAAATCATGCACCGGTATGCGGATCGCGAGGTCCGGTTATGTTGTATGCATAATATATGCTGCACATCGGTAACCAGCGATTTTCTTCCGGATGGCGAGGGATCCGGATAAACGAGGACCGGATAAGCGAGGTCTGACTGTATCTCATTATTTCTCATTCTTGGTACTCTCACGCCTGCCTAGCTGATACTACGGTCGTCGACATGGAAATCTGGTCGGAGGTCAAGCGGCCCCAGGGCGCTGGCCATGCAGCCGCTAGTACGAATACGATCAACATGTGCACTGCACGCAACGTTCTGTACGCACAGAGAGCGCCGGCCCTGCATCATTCGACCGGATTTCCATGTCCACGACAGTAGTATCTCAATGTGTAACTGCAAAAATCCATGCAGTAGCATTACAGCAGATGATGGCATCAGCTAGCCAGGACAGTGAGGACAGTGAACTCACCTAAATTGAAGTTATAGAAGCAATACGTGGTGAGAATATTACTCATTTTGACTAGGTAGATGCTGTTGTCATCCTTGAATCGTGGATGCGAGCGATCAGTGCGATGGACATCCTTTTCTGGCAAGTCAGTGGCAACACAGCAACACAAAAGCACAGCGCAGAGACAGCACCAAACAGCACTATGTAAGCACAGCATACAGACAACCATGTCAGTGCACGGCGATGAAGTGCGGCCCGTGTACATTCATCACTATGTGCGTGTATGACGCCACACTGATATACACATAGTCATCTCCATGGATGACTGTACACCATACAATGAATACAAGTACAAGTTATACAACAAGCAACACTACACTGACCAGGTGATGTACTCATAACACACCCTCCAGTCCAAATACGCCGTTCTTTTGCCATCTTTACGGGGTGCCATGCATGCGATGTTCTTGAGCATAGAACATTGACGCTGACTGGTTACTCAATCTGCTAACTGGTTAGTCATTTACAGTCAACTTCGTTTATAACGACATTCGGCGGGGCATCAAAAAAGTGTCCTTATTCGCGAAGTGTCGTTATACCCGAAGTCTCATTATATTGTATTACAGTTGGATGGAACTTTGCTCTGGGCAAGGACATTCTGTCGTTATTCGCGAATTGTCGTTATATCCGCAGTCGTTATTAGCGAAGTTGACTGTATACACATGATGAAGATTAACTGGAGGCACTTACTTATTAAATGGACCCGGTCACGCAGCAAATCAAAACGCTTCTTCTGAGATGGCAACATGCTGCTCCACTGGAGATGCATGACATTATAGTCGCTCCTAAGTTACAAGCACCAGTTACAAGCAACAGAGCCTCAGCAATAGCAGTGGCAGCAGCAGGAGCAGCAGAAGTAGCATCAACAGCAGCAGCAGCAGCAGCAGCAATGGGAAGCAGCAGCAGCGTAAATAGCAATAAGAAAAAATGAACTACTAGTATACAGTATACACATACGGCAGTAGCCTTGAAAAAAGCAGGTGACCACAGAGCATGATGACAAACAGTACTACTATAGAATGGTGGTGGTGGTGGTGGTGGTGGAAGCACATTCTGCAGGACATTTCGAAACACGGTCAAAAAAGGGGACACACTATGAGCTAGTGCACATCTACATGTGCACTGTACATACTGCCTGGTAGCTTCAGTCTTCTCTCTGCCCGCCGCCGACGAGTCAAAGTCATAGTGTGACAGGAGAAACTTCCAGACGTGATGCCGCAGGCTTGGCTCGAGACCCTGGAAGAGAAGGCAGTGGCGAGCATAGGGTGAGGACACAGAAAGACAAACACGGCGGCAACACACAATCACCGTTTGTTTGTTTCTACTTCAGCAGATAGTAGGCAGATACACAGGCATTTCTGCCTTCTCGTCTAACCGTACGGCTGGACTCTCAATAACAGATGAAGAAGTCATGAGCCTTTATGTGTTGCCTGAGAAGCAAGACACATGCACACACACGGCTCAGAAGAGCCCTGAGCTATAGGGTCTATACGTGGGTTGAGAAGCTCTACAGCTCAAACAGTCTATATGAATGTCTGAAAATCTATTCTGTTGATGGGCTGCTCATTAGCAAACATGGATGGAGAGTCGGAGATCAATAAGCTTTTAGTCCAGACAGTTAGATGATCCTCACATTAGCAACAAAGTTACCAGGCCTGCGCCAATGAATAAACAACACACTTCGAAATATATGTCGTATTTACAATAGATGACCACGGTGTGATCTACGCATTGCCATGCTGAAGAGTGAATTGTGGGATTCACTTACACCCTTAAACAGTCGTCGCCGAAACTCCGTCTCTTTCACAACACGACCCTCACCATCCAGGTACTCCTGCCACTCGGCTAGATCGATGGGCATTTCACGGCACACCTCTGCAGTCCAGGCGGGCAGTATGGTTATCTCGCTTTCTTCCTACGTTTACGTTGGTAAAAACAAAACAGAAGAGTGTAATTCTAGTCGCCCAGTTCAGCGGAAACATCGCAACAAGTACATACCGGTACCTGAAATCATAGCAACAAAAATTCAATGCACAGAATTTTGGCTGCTGTCATGTGACAACAGTGATGACAGAGAAGCAGCAGCAGCAGCAGCAACAGCAGCAGCAGCAGCACAGGGTATTCTTCAACTTACCACTAACTCGAAATCATAGCCCGGCCGGGGTGAGGTGGGAGACGCACTGTGAGTAGAGTGTCCCGTTGTCTTCAACGCCGCAGGAGTTGCAGTAGCGCCTCTACCCGCAGTTGTTCCAGATCCTTCGTCCGGCCGCAAGCCAACTTCGCTGCCAAGATGACGAACAAACTGTGTCACCTTCGAGAAGCCTGCCAACAGCGACTCCTCGCTGAAGTAGTTCTAAGACCACACACAGCAGACCACACACAGCTGCAGATCATCATTATTCAACCATACAGCCACACAGCCATACAGCCACACAGCCACACAGCCACACAGCCACACAGCCGATCATCAGCACTAATGCAGGAAAACGATTTTTCTTCGACCCAAAGCAATTCATTCTCGTCAATACGACAAGAATGGCACATTCGTTTCGGAGCAGGTGACAACACCCGTCGGACTCAATCAGAATACTATTTACATGGGAAAAAATCAAACTTTTTGTTAAACAGAGCTTTTTTGCAAAATGTTGCGTCCCGCTTTTCTGCGGACATGCAGAGCTATTAAAAGTGAAAAAAGCCATTGAGGGCACACATGATAGCATTTCTTTTTCAGTTCATGTCTCCACGATAATTCTTCATTTAAAAATAAAATGCTACTTGCTACTTGTGAATTTAGTGGTGAAACGAATATCAAAACCCAGTAGCCGAATATTCTTTGGCTTAACGAACGAACGAACGAATATTCTTTCGTTAACACAGATGACATCACACGCCCTCCTCTCAGTCATTTTATTGGATATCGTCACTATTATTAGGCATGACAAACGAAGGCGCATATTTTCCATCATTTCTAGGTCAATTTTCACAAAATCCCCAGCTGAAGTGCATGTTACACGCTAAAACCCCCAGCTTGAGACGTGATTTTCGTTCGACCGCCATAACTCCATTCCAGGACCTCGGATCGCGTTCGGGTTGCTTCAAGACGACAGCTGAGGGTTTTCTAATGCCGATAGATCTTTCGATGAAGTGATTCGGTCAAGTATTCGCAAAGTTACGGAAGTTTGAAGTCGCCCGGTAAACTCTGCATACCGGGTTAACGAATATTCGCCATGAGAAATATTCGTTCGAATCTGACAAACCGAACGAATATTCGGTATATTCGTTTCACCACTACTTGTGATGCTACTTTACTTATCCCTATGTTTCATTGGTTCTGGTTGCTTGAATTTTCATTTGAAGAGAATGCCCGAAAACTGGTTGATGAATTTCGGAGTCCTTATTGATGATGGTGAAGAATAGCTTGAGATTTGTGTTTTTCTTTTCCTGATAAGCTTCCTGTCTCCAAGGAAGTTATTTAAAAATAAGACAGTGCATTTCACTACTTGCGGTGTTCAATAGTATAACTCCACATCGCTGAAGGCAAAAACGCCGGCAATTGATGCACACAAACACACGAGGTAAACTAATACTTCTGGTCTGGGACTACGAGCTCCGGGGGGCTAGGACAATACAACAACGGTCCTCACCGCGAAAGCAGGTGATATCACATCACCGGGTGTACCCATGCTCAGGGGATCTATACCACTCCAGGCACCATCAGTCACATCATACGACGTCGAGTCATCTGCCGAACTGCACACAACAAAACGTGGAACGTGAGACACTGGTCAAGCATGTGTCCACATTCCGGCATGCCAGTGCAGGACACCTCAGTGTCAAGCTCTCAGGACATAGTACAATCATGTACATGTACACGTTTGCATGTAATGCGGCATGAATCAGTGATAGGGCAAAGTGCTCGCAACATGACCATCCATTCAGCAATTGTGGTAACTAAGTAGCAAGCTCGCTGTTTGCATGATGAGAAGTTTCTGGAGTTTTCATGTAGGCAAAGCCACCCGCCCCCTCTCCCATCCACCCCTCTACCTCTCCACCTCTCTAACTCTCTCTACACAGAGCATAAGACATGTCATGCAGAAAAGTGCACACACACACACACACATTTGACCATTTGACGCCCATCGCCGGAGGCGATGATAGCGATGCTACAGCAGAAGCCATAGCAGCTTGTGCTGGGATTGCACCATTCAACAGCTTGCAAGGCTGAAGAATTGACCACCACTATTCAGCCTGGTCTACACCACACAGCTATGAAGTGGCTTTTCTGGCCAGTGAATCCCTACTTTTTGGTCTCTTTTCACACACACACCCACACACCCACACACACCCACACACACACACGCACATACATGTACTGTAGAATTGAAAATATATAGTAACAGAAAGCAGACAGCTAGGCACATCATGGCTACGGAAACAGTGGGAAACAAAAGCTAGAACTTCTTTTCCAGGCTGGAGCTACTCACCGGCGGATCATTGCAAAACGATGCAAGCTTGTCCAGAACTCATGGCAATTTGATCCCTGAAAGTGAAAAGATGGCAGCTCTCCTTTGTCGCGCAAGGTGAATATGATTCGCTGCCAGCCTAATCTAGCCCGATCCTTCCTCATGCCAGTGATATCGGCCACCGCAAACTTCACCGCGTAGTCCGCATGTGGAGATTGGGCTACGACGGGAAACCCACCCAGTTGAAGAGGCAATATCAGAGGAGACCAGATTGAAAAGAAAGAAATACCAGAGACAGCATAAGAAGAAGACTATGGCAAGCCACTACAAGTGAAGTGGCACATGGTATGAATGTCTGTGTTTGAGAGTCGCTGATAATAGGCACACTGGGGGGATATTGTGATCATGGGTGCACTGCAAAGAGACGCGGAAATGGTCATGGACACACACGTGCACACACACATGCACACACACACACACACACACATGCACACACGTGCACACACACACACACACACACACACACAAACACAAACACATATACACACATCCATTCCGAAAGTTGGGTAGCTGCAGCGATGCCTCACAGGATTAGCACTGAAATGCTCTATTGTGCATATCTCAGCATGCCACGTGCATAAAGGTATCTGCACCATATCACCACTACAATTCTGTACAGCCCCTCATCTCATCGTCATCATCACCATTATCAGCAGCAGCAGCAGCAGCAGCAGCAGCAATGCAGTGCAATGCAGGAGGTAGTGTTGGGCAGTGCTTACCGTCTTGCTGGTTAGGTGAAGGCGTGATGACAGCCCACTCTGACTCATCATCTGTCTTGTAGTCAAAGTTGCCCAGCGGCTGCCACTCCACATAGGCACTGTTTCCCTTGGAGCACAAGAAAATCAAAAACGAGAAAAACACAGCCACACCCATCCGCATAAGGTTCTCCTTTACCGCAAGTCAATGTGGTGCTAACATTGTAGTGTACAGTGAAAGCATCTGCTCTAGTTCTCAACTGTGGGCAGCAGTTTAGCTGAGCACGTTGTTCTTTACACACTTTTTTAGGGAGTACTGTACGTGTACGATGAACAATGGAAGGCTAACGGTATTGTGGCACAAGCCTGGAGAATTCTGTAACGCCGCACGCATATCAACACATCAGAATGCACACAAACACATGCTGACGTGCAACAACACACACACACACACACACACACACACACACACTTGTTGCTCACTGCCAGAACTGGTCACGTGGGTCTCCCCCGGGAGAGGGGAGAGAGACTCAAAAGGAATCTTGGAAAGATGACTCAACTGGCTATTGAACCGCCCAACGGCCGACACCCCCTGAAATCCCCGAAACTCTGGGTGGACTTGAAAATGATCCCACTTATGGGCTCACCACACCTCAGTAAGTGGGTGAGGACAAGGTGCAGAAAAAGGATTGACGGCATGAGGGTATCCGTCCTGGGATCCAACTGCAGTTACCCCTGCCCCCAGTGAAGGTAATACTTGCTACTAGTGTGGGTGGCTAAATCACAGTGGATCTGATTCAAGCTTCACTAGCACCACGATTACACAAGAGTTAATCTAGCCAGAAGTAGTTCATGGCTAACAGGTATGTATACTTCAAATAGAAAGTATATGAACCCTGAAACCAACAAAGGTGGTAGGTAAAACATTACACCTTCAAGCAGCCGAGCCCGTTGGCAACAGTCCCAACATTATCCGGCATAAGCGTACCCACCAACCGAACTAGCTGGCACACACACACACACACACACACACACACACACACACACACACACACACACACACACACACACACACACACACACACACACACACACCATTTGACCATTTTTCACACAGACACACAGACACACAGACACACACACACACACACACACACACACACACACACACACACACACAGTATTCACGTACTATCACTAAGAGCTCAAGACGGCCAGGAATGTGTACTTCCGCTCCATCACGTCCTTCAACATGAAGGATTACACCATCCTTGCTGTAAAACACCTAAACAAACATAGCACAAAGGGAAAGAGAGAGCATTTACAAACACTGCATCTGCATAAGCACAGGTGCACACGTGTCACCCACCACACATACACACCATTTGACGCCCATCACCGGAGGCGATGATAGCGATGCTACAGCAGAAGCCATAGCAACTTGTGCTGGGATTGCACCATTCAACAGCTTGCAAGGCTGAAGAATTGACCGCCACTATTCAGCCTGGTCTACACCACACAGCTATGAAGTGGCTTTTTCTGGCCAGTGAATCCCTACTTTACACACACACACGCACGCACGCACGCACGCACGCACACACACACACACAGAACAAGGCCCCATACATTCGCGGCATACCGGATCGTGCACATACAGTAGTGCCCAATGAAATCCAGTCCCACCACTCACCACTCAAGTACGCGCCGGGCGTGGCGCAGCCCAGGACCCGCGAACACTGGGCTGCGAAATGATGCAAGGCGCAAACTCGAGTGCCGCGACTGGATTTCATTGAGCACCACTGTACACGCACTTCCATATTGTTGATATATTCTATATTTCCATGTACTAATAATCTAATATTGACAGGTGTTGGATTTAGAACACTTTCACGCAGACAAGGCACTCATGAATTTTCAAACTTTTCACTCCACACGCAAGTGCATGCAGGAGCGCACCCTGCATTGTCTCTGGTCAGTACAGTTGACTACAATCAAATATGCACTCTCTACTGAGTTCAATGAAATCCGCAGTGGCCATTGCAGCCTTGCAAGCTGTGAATGGCATAATCCCAGCACAGGCGCGCGCGCGCGCGTGTGTGTGTGTGCGTCTGTGGTGTGTGTGTGTGTGTGTGTGTGTGTGTGTGTGTGTGTGTGTGTGAGTGTGTGTGTGTGTGTGTGTGTGTGTGTGTGTGTGTGTGTGTGTGTGTGTGTGCGACTTTCCGCTGTGGACGAACTGTGGACGAACAGGACGAACTTCGGGTGTCGTCACTCTGACTCTGTTTTCCGCTGTTGGACCCATCGCGAGGCCTTGCAAGCCCGCGAATGGAGCCATCTACCGCACGCAGTAGGAGACGAAAGGAGTTTCGAGAAACACGTGACCTACATGGCAGTGTATACCAGGACCAGGTGTATGTGTGTATGTGGTATCTCTCCAACGCCGCCATCTTGGAGCGGGCTGGTTTACGATCAATGGTGGAGATGCTGAGGACGCGCCGTTTTCACTGGCTGGGGCATGCCGGACGCATGGAGGACGACAGAATACCGAAGTGCGAATTGTTTGGTGAGCTCCAGAAGACCCGCCCTTGCCACGGGCCACGCATGCGCTGGCGTGACGTCGTGAATGATCTAGAAGAACTGCACATCAAGTACTGGTACAGCCAAGCCAAGGACCGTCGTGAGTGGAGACTGGCCTGCAACAACATCCAGCCGCCTTAACCTGTGTCTTGCGATTTCAGGTGCCACTGCGGCCGAGATTTTCGCCATCACCAGGACCTCACTCGCCAATCGAAGTTCTGTTCCCCATGGCTAAAACACTGCCCGTCCTTTCAGGACCTGCCATCATCTGCGGATGGGCATTATTGTATTGTGTGTACAGTCAACATCGCGTATAACGACACTCGGCGGGGCATCAGAAAAGTGTCGTTACTCGCGAAGTGTCGTTATACCCGAAGTCTCATTATATGTATTACAGTTGGATGGCACTTTGCTCTGGGCATGGAAATTCTGTCGTTATTCGCGAATTGTCGTTACATCCGCAGTCGTTATTAGCGACTGCATGCGTGTGTGTGGTGTGCGTGTTAGGTGAGGTGGTGGTGTGTATATGCGCGCGCACGCGCGCGTGTGTGTGTGTGTGTATATATCCCATATGGTGCAATGGTATGCGCAGTCGATTTCCAATCGAGAGGTTGCGGGTTCCTGACAACTACGGCCGTACACATCTATCTTCTCTTTCTCATTCTCCTAGCTCTTCTTTCATTTTCCTGGGTAGCCAGTGCATGCCGCCGCAGTATGTGATTGTGTGTGTGTGTGGGGGGGGGGGGTCAAAAAGAAAGAATGAAAAAATGAAAAAATGGAAAAAAGGGATTCACTGGCCAGAAAAGCCACTTCAATCAGCTGTGTGGTGTAGACCTGGCTAAAATTCTGTCGCCGGGGAAAATCGCTATTCCAAGGATGCAAGTTTTGATTTTGACGACCTGTTATAAATCCGCGTTTTCCGCAAATTTTCCGTGATTTTTGAAGTTTTATTGCATGAAACATCGAAAGACTGTGCCTGCATCACATGATCGATGTCTTGTCTCTTACGAGTCTGTAGATATGAGTAGCTAGCAGGCACGTTACTTGAGGACTGAAGTGCATGCATATCACGATGTAAATTTCCTTTTCACTCGCTCAAACCTAGTCAAAGTGGGGAGGCTTCCTGCAGTTTCATAAACAGTTAAGAGTAGAGCCGCACGCTCTCTTCCACTAACACTCTTACTGACAGGGGAGTTGGCCTTTATCAATGCTGGCTTGGGAGCTTGCACATCATTGTGAACCTGATGAAGGCAATTTGCCGAAACGTTGGAATAATTCTTATGAAATGAGTTGAACTATTGCAGTGTTAATGGAAGAGAGCGTGTGGCTCTACTCTCAACAATCAACCCTAGTCTTTATGAAAAATAGGCAGTTTCGCCAGGCAAACCAGTAGATTAGCCAATCTACTTGCAAGTTTTCCAAAAAACTGTCGCAATTTCCCCGCAATTTTGCCGCAGATTGTGCCCCGCAAAGTTTGAACTTTTCTTGAGCGATTTTCTCCGGGGACAGAAAATTAGCGGCGGTCAATTCATCAGCCTTGCAAGCTGTTGAATCGTATTATCCCAGCACAAGATTGTTCGCTATCATCGCTTCAGCGATGGGTATGTGGAAAGTGGAAGTGGAAGTGTGTGTTGATGGATTTTTATATATTATTTTTTTTTTAAGGACTGGCCAACGGCTGAGGGAGCCGTTCGTGCGTGTGTGTGTGTGTGTGTGTGCACAAATCTCTCTTAGAACGCTGCGCAAGTCCTACCTTAGCAACTGGATCAGATGGGCCTACATCAGGACTATCTGTCATGGCCTGAGTTATTTCCAGGGTTTTGCAGTCAGCCTGATCACCAGTTCCAACGATGTCCCTGTCAGCCATCTCTGAGCGCGACCAAGAACGCACCCGCAGGCAGGCAGGCAGAGAGACTACTAGTACTACCTTATACACCACGCTGAGTAGAAGCCATACTAAAATCCAACGAGACTGATAAGTAATCGAGCGTGTGGCAAGCCTACGCTCGCAGAAAACAAGGAATCAGCAGGGGAGCGAGATCTCAAGGAGAGCTCTTTTTCAAATGTTTGATCATGAGGGCGCTTGTTCGAAAAAACTACGTCATCACAAGACTAGTCGTCGTCAAGACTCGTCAGGTCATGACGTCAGCGATCTAATAATTATGCAACCAAGAAAAAAATTCGAAACCATAATAATTATTATTATTGTTATCGATCATTCAATTCAGGCAACACGATCACTCATGATCTTTCCTTTTGGCATTTGCTTTGCTCTGCATATAGACCACTATTACTATGTTTGGTTGAGCAGTAGATCCACCCATTCGAAAATGTAGGAGATATGAAATTTGGGAAGCCGCAGGAAGGAAGCCCCAAGGTTCTATTGCGTGCTGTTCGGCGATAGAGGTCATGATTCGAATTGCTTGCAGATTTAGAAATGGTGCCTTTGCAGCGGCACCTCTACGATATATTGGATCAGGACACGACGATGTCGCCAGCCTCCCATGGGTTCTTCTTCGTCCACGAGAAACTCCAGTGAAAGCTGATATTCTCAAGCTCTTTGATGAAGCCAAAAACGATGTACCTCGTGCCCTTGCTCTTCTCGAGCAGTATAAATCATCCCTGGATTATCCGACTCTACTATCTATTCATTCCTTGACTACTAGTTTGCACTGGCCTGGCGATTCAACAACAGCTCTACACTCAATCATGGAAAATGCGTTTCTTCACGTGCTGAGTACAGAATACAGCAATGAGAAGTTCATGGACTGTGTGGAACGACTGGCACGAAGCAAGTTCATGAGCAAGGAATGTCTTGCGAAGTTGGAGTCGATGTTTTGGAGTCGAATGGACTCACTCACGCCGGCTGAAATTCTAAAAATTGTTAGCACATTGTCACGGTTTCAGTGGCGACCGAATAACGATGGCCTGGGAAAGCTAGTGACCACTTTGACGCAGCTCATGCCAAAGCTTCCTGCAGAGGAAGCATCACATTTGTCATGGCTTGTAATTTATCGGCATCGGTTTTATACGGATGACCTGGTCAAGGCGTGCAAGGCGTACGTTGAAGCGAACTGGAGGAAGCTAGAGGGAGCACAGGTGTCTCGGCTTGCTCATGTCTTCTTGTACTGCAATCAGTCTGAACCATTTGAGCAGCTGAATAAAGCCGCCGAAGCAAACTTGCACACCATGACCACCTCTCATGTTTCCGACTTTGTGACATTTGCCGGCCATGCGCAGTGCATCAGTCAACGCTTCCTCTACAAACTGGCCAAGTTCAGCAGAGGCTTCTGGCAACATTTCACCGCCCTGCAGCTCTCGCGCGTGTTTGTAACGTTTTGCTTTGAGAGTCCTCATAGCGTTGAAACCATGCAGGAGATACTGGACCGTATCACGACTGTAGTGCCTGAGTATGATGAAAAACGGTTGAATCGCATTTTGGCCGTCGCCCAGATGGTGGATTGTTTGGACTTGCAGAAGTTTCACTATGCTGTCCGCCGCCACGTGGAGCAGAATAAAGGCTTGGTACTACCGGCAGCCTCTGCATCACAGTTCATCCGGCAGCATGTGACGTCAGTAGACGTATGCAGGGAGAGGTGTGATCAGCTGACGACATCTCTTAGACAGAGTTACAAGACTGTTCGCCATCACGACATCACGACGGTGCTCACCATGTGCGTCAATGCGCAGTATCACGACCATGAATTCTTAGCCCTGGCAGTGAGCTTTTTCAAGTCGGAGATCAATCGTGTCAGGGATCTTCGCCACATGTCTCGTGTGTTTTGTAAACTGCTTAGAGGCGGACAAGCATCTGCTATGTCTGCTGTCATGGCGTGTCATTCGGAAGTCATACGTCGCTGCACTGTTCTTCATGCGAGTGGTTGTGTGACTTGGACGGAGGACGGCTTCCTTGCCCTCAAGCTGGATTCCACAAGTAGTTCTGTTTCGGAGGTGTCAGCTAGTGACCTGATTACGACATGCACCACTCTTCTCTCTTTCAACTATGCTGACAATCACCTGCGAGCAGTAATAGCGTTGCTGGCGGGGAACTCCTCATTTGCGCTGGGTTGTGATGCAGGGGAGTTTGTCTTGCTTGTTAAGCTGTTGCGACAAGCAGGCAGTCTGACACCAGATGTATCGCGTGACCTTGCAGTTACATTCATCAAAGTACACTTGTCACTGACCATGAAGCGTGTGCACATGGTAAGCTTCCTCCAGGAGATGAGTGCATCCACTCTGCCCAACAAGGACTTCAAAGATCTGGTGGATGGGTCCATTTCTGCAACCGGTGACCTCACTGCAGTTGAGCTGGTGCAAGTTCTCCACATCCCACCTGGCAGAAATCCGCCTGTGGATGAGCGCTCCTTGCTCTTCCAGAAGATGCTTCTGCCTATTGTAGGTAACCTGCAGGGCCAGGACCTTCACCAAGCGTGGCGTCAGGTTGGTTGTCATTCCGCCCGTTGCCTCCCTGCACTGCAGCATGCTATCGCCGAGGCAATCTTCCATGATCCAGCAAAGTGTGAGTTGAGTCCTGTTCAGTGGATTGATGTCTTGGCCAGTAGCGTCATGCTGCCTGAGCAATACCGACGCAGAGGCCTTGAGGGTCTTGCTCATGCACTGCGGGGTGGTCAAACGCTTCCTGGGACTGATCGTGTCTACGATAACATTCCGATGCTGTGCACGATGATGCATAAAGTTGAGTTTGCCCCCATTGAGGTCCTGGATACCGTTGAGCAGTTGTTCGCAAAGTACCCCAACAGCTTTCAGAGCTGTCGACAGATCCTACCAACGCTAAAGACATTTTCCAAGCCTGCTAGGCCTAGCTGATCGCGTAATTGCTATCTATGAGTTAGCTAGATGGTATCCACAGATGGTGTGATTGCTACCGTGTCCGGTGTGTGTGTCTGTGTGTGTGCGCGTGTGTGTGTGTGTGTGCGCGTGTGTGTGTGTGTGTGTGTGTGTGTGTTGGCTGTACAGAACATTAATTTATTTTGTGCGTTCTAATCAATTTATTTTCCACTGCATCACTGATCATGCACTAGACAATTCTACCATGAGTTTGCTTGCGACAAACAAAAAATTGATGACATTTCTATAATCCTTTGCACTTCAATATATGCCCCATGAAAAACTAGTTTGAAACTTTATCGCATACTAACTCATCCAGTGAACATACTATAATTGTTTGTGATTTGCTTGATCTTCATGTATCCTTGTTTATTCTTCATTCATTTTGCTTCAAGGTCTTGTTTTTTTTGGAAAATATCATCAGATGAATTATTCTATTGATGATGCCGCCATGCAGTGCGTTGACGGAACTGAGGTTACCGGTATGTGATTGCATCACATCACTATTTTGAGGTGCTTTTGTATGGCGTGGCAAAGCTGTGGCGGAGCGACATGTTCGTGCTTGTAGTTTGCCACTCAAAGCTACCGCCGCACTGTCTGGTTTCCCACCCAATATGAATTTGCCATTCAAATCTCAAATACGAACCACTACATGTACCGGTAGTAGCACTGTTTGCCATTCAGTACGACAGGCTACTTGGTAGCACTGGTTTCCACTCCACATCCAATCCATGCACTAATACAAAGCATATGTGATGACCTCATTCGCATAATCCCTAATGTCAGAAACATGCCTACTACTACTACTACTACTACTACTACTACTACTACTACTACTACTACTACTACTACTACTACTACTACTACTACTACTACTACTGACCAAACCACTTTTACGGGCAAAAAAATACCATGGTAAGCACACAAGTGATGGAAAAGAGTGAGTAAGAACGAAAGAGAGAAAGAAAGAGAGAATGCACTAGTATGTCAAGAGAAGTAATCAATTGTTAAGGTCTTTCAGCTATTGTTATATTGTCCAGATTGACGCATGGACACTGAATCTCAGCCGGCAGCCTGTCGACACTGCACCAACAGCGACGAGCGGACGCGACGCTGGTAGGATGATCGGCAACCGCGAAAGCAGGTTATTGCCCACCGTACGAGGCAGAATGCCAGCCGAACACGCAATGCACTGACGATGCTTGAATACCGGATGTCTTTATTGCGCTCCGCGAGCCGACCGGCAAGTGTCTCCAGGAATCGTGAGCACTCCGGCCCCGCCATCCCATTCGTGGCGAACACAAGAGGGGTGAAAGAGCCTCTCTCGACTTCAGTGACCCTGGCACCGTACTGCTGCTTCTTTTGCCGTTCATGGGCCCTGAGTTGGTTAAGGACTTCCGGACCAGACAGCACAGACGCCTTAGGGTGGGTTACCCTAACATCAAAATAAGCGTCTTGCTGCCTTGTCCAGAAGCCCCGGGCACGAATGTCCAGCCGAGCCTCATCAGTCCGGTTAGCCGTCGCATAGGGCAGATCCTCGCCAGACAGCGGCCGGAGACGTGGCTCTGTCTCGACATCGCGAACAGCTTCGGAGAGCGTCTCCGCCAGGATGTCACGCACATTATCGTGCCGGGCAGATGGATACCCGCCGGCGGGGCAGGTTAGCAAATGGTCCATCGTGGAGGCATCACCACAGACACAAGTGGACGGTAGCCCAGGGAGCTGCAGACCATACCGTAGAGCAAGTGCATCACGGAAGTCACTGGCATTCAAGACGGTGCCGTGCGCCAGACGAGGCTCCGCCGTAAGCCAGGAAGACACACCGGCAGTGCCGGCAACGTCCATCAAAAGCTGCTGTGTGGCGGATAGATGATCCTGCAGACCGGCCAAAGATGCTTTGCCAGCCCGACGCCTTGATTGTGCAGCAGCCCGCCGTGCGCCTTACTACTACTACTACTTCTACTACCAGGCGCGTGCTCGGCGATGGGCACGGGGGGCACGTGCACCCCCCCCAAAAAATTTCAATCTGGGTAATTGCAATTGTAATGTATGCAAATATGCTCTAAAATTCAAGAAAGGTTGCAAACAAATTGCAGAAAATTGCCGGGGGGGGGGGCTCCCCTCGGCTCCCGTGCACCCCCCTAGTTGGGGGGCCGAGCACGCCCCTGACTACTACTACTACTACTACTGTACTAGCCAGGGCCGGCGGAACCGGTCAGGCTGGTCCGGCCATGGCCGGACCACTTTCCCAGCTGGATGGTCCATGTGATTCGTGCAAAACCGGTGTAAAAAACCCAGAGGTACATGACTCGACTGCCGACGTGTGATGTGCTTCGAAGTAGCTCAGGACTCCGTGACCGGCACTGTATATATGGCTGATATGGTTCAAAAAAAAAAGTTGTGTTTGTGTTCTTTTACTATAATTTTCTTCATTTTCTGGAGGCTTAGAGATGCCCAAATTCGCTCTATTTCACGTAAATTTTATATATTTCTCCCGGGGGAGGTCCCCCTGACCCCCCCCCCTCAAAGGTTCGCCGGACCACTCCCAAACTCCTTCCTCCGGCCCTGCTAGCAGGGTTCTAGCCAGGCCAAAACAGTAGTTGGGGGGGGGGGGTAGGAAACAGTTCCCCCGTATCCCAATGTTCCACTTTCCAATATTGTCTTGCCACGCTAAATGCTACGTATGGGGCACAACCCCGACTACGCCGCAGAAAAATGTACCTTTTAATAATAGTATGAACCATAGAATAGTGACTTTTGACTGCATTTTCGTTGCATGAAAATCGGAAATGAGCAGGGGGGGGGGGGGGCACTTTTTCACAGGGGGCGCACAAAGAGAGTAGGGCGGTGCTGTGCCCCCCCCCCCCCCCCCTTTGGCTAGAACCCTGTACTACGCATATTGTTAGATTGACAGCAGGGACAAGGTTTATCTAATACTAGTTTTGAACTAGTATTGGGTTATATAAAACCCTGTACTAGTATTGTGCGTCGGTCATGCATACAGTAGACTTGCGGCCTGAATACAAGCTGTATGCTGTGCTGGTTTGAATGAAGACCTATCAAAATAATAAATTCCACTACTACTAAGACCGGGTCTGAACATCATGATCAAACCTGTACTGCTGTGCAGGCCTGGGACACTCCCTTTTGTGGAACTTCACGAAAAATCATTGCCGCCGAACAATTTTACCCACAATCGGACACCTTTTTGCAGACGCTAGATGCTCAATAAAATGTAATGCCTAAATAAATAATAATTATAATGGTCTATTTTCCCTCCTGTGGCAAAGCAACATAGAATGGGGCATTCAATTACCCTACCACAAGTTAGTTGAATACTGTTGTTAGTACTACAGTCCGTTTCAAAAAGATTTACAATCCTGGCGATCGCCCGCGGAGTTTGGCGTCTTACCGTATGAGCACTCGAGCGCTGCCTGGAAAAACTCACTGTGAACTCGAAGAAATATTCCGCGCGAAAGCAGGAAAAATGACAACTCACTCACGTTGACACAGTCATGTACGTCTGGTTTACAACAAACGAGTTCTTCCTCGTATCGATAATGGAGTCAGAGAGGACATGTCGAAACGAAAGTGTTGTAAATGTTGACGAGCGGCATGGGTCCGTTTTGTGACCAAAATAGTTTCTTTGAGCTGCGATGCAATTTACTCACCGTGTGACGAAAATGACATCGACACGGACACATTCCCAAGGCCATGACTTCGCAAAGCTATCCGTGTGACTTCAACGACATTTTGAGAAAAGCAGACGCTTGTGAACGCTGATAGAAGACGGCGTTGACTGCTAAATTCAAATAAATTGGTGATCTTGAAATACTAAAATAAATCTCAAGAAGCTACAGCTACTTCCATTATATTTATAATTCACTCACACCATTGCAGTGTTGTGGGTGTGTTCACATGGCGTGAGCCAGTCAATTGTCAGTCAGTTCGGCAGGAAGCGCGAGCTCCAACAAGTCGTTTGGTGCAGCCATCTTCTTTGTCTTGTACCAGCTTGATCACCAAAACAATGAAAAAAACGTTCGACTTGAGGATAGGTTGGGATTTGAACTCACAACTTCATGGTCAGCAGACAGCATTCATAACCACAAGGCCAAAAAGGAAAGGATAAATCGTGGGTTTTGATAAAAAAATCGATACTGGCTTCCTGGGCAAATTGTAAACCATGGGAAAAGGCCGGAAACCTGGCCGAAATTCTAACTCCTTAACGGTTGGTCCAATTGTTCCAAAACCTTCACAGAACAATTTGCCGTGTCCTAACAAGCCATTCTATGTACTTTGTTGTCCAAATTTCCCTTATCTTCATACTTTTTAAGACCCAAACCTGATTGTAAATCTTTTTGAAACAGACTATAGTACACTGTACCCCGGTACACGTACACGATAAGCGCGCGCTGTACTTGTACTTGTAGATAAAATCTCTGGGTTTTTGTTGAAATCGGAAAGTTGTTTTAGCCAAACGAACGCAACCGGATACTCACGATCACGTGATCAAATGACGTCGTTTCATCGCATTTTCCCGCCACGGAAAACGAAAAATAGTAGCAATCTGAAATTTGCAATACATCCACTGAATGCACTGCGCTGCATGCACTTCAGTTATGGAAATTAGCATCATATCATTGACTTTATTGAAAGGCGAATTGGGCACGGTACTGCACTACAATTGTCGAACGGTTCAGAAGTAAGCTGAGCAAGGTTGTCACTACCTTTGTCAGCTGTATGCTTGGAACTGCCAATATTTTGTGACTAATCGTAATGATCACAATCAGCACTGGTGGAGTGTGCGAATGAGAAACAATGCCTTCAGCTGGTCAACAGTGGCTGTGCTTTGTGGGAGACGATGGCTCGGAGGGGAGAGAAGAATTCGAGGCGGCGGTGGAGGCCGCGCGACAGCATCTTATCCCATATAAAACTGTCCCTGCAGAAGAATTACCAGTGAATTCTTACGATTTGAAATGTGAAGATGTTAATGATAATTCTGTTTACGTTCTCCGGTCATTCGGCACGGATGTGCACCGTAAACTGCAGCAGCGCAAAAGTCGTGTTGTAGGCCCAATGTGTGTGATCACAACGCTGCAGGAGCGAACATGCCTGCCGGAGGCCAGAGATTGCAATGTGTTCACTCTGGCTATGCGCGGTGCGGTGGTGTGCTGCACAAATGTGGGCGAGCGAGAGGACCGCGACATGCTACACAACTTGGTGACTCTGATGGGTGGTTCAGTCATGCGCTCGTTGACTCAGTCCGTCACTCACCTGCTGGCAGGTGAGGTCGGGTCGGCAAAGTACACAGTTGCTCGCAGCCTGAAGCTTCCGATTTTGCTGCCATCATGGGTGGAACAGGCATGGGAGGTGAGCCGCAAGCTGCCCGTAAATGCCACGGGTGCTGAGTTTGTGGCGAAGCACCCGTGCCCGTCGTTGAAAGGAGTCTGTGTGTGCGTGACGGGCGTCGATGCCGTGTTGCGCAAGAATATCCGCAGTGCTGCCGAGGAGAACGGTGGCCAGTACTGTGGCGAACTCAGCATGGAGTCCACCACACACCTGATTGCACACACAGCTGGCGGAGAGAAGTACAAACATGCGCGCCTGTGGGGCATCCCATGCGTCAAACCTACCTGGATCTTCAAGTGCGTAGAAACCCGCGCCTATGTGAATCCATCTGATTTTGAAATCGAGCCTGGTTCAACTGCACCACTGAAACTCTCGGGACAAGATGCAGCGGGATCCGACACGCAGGGACCTGATGCGAGCCGAAAGCGCAAGCGTGTCGCAGACTCTATTGAGAATCCGTCCGCGAAGCGCAGCATGGTGATGGCCCGCAGCTCCTCCAGCGGATTCATATGCAGCGATGTCCCGCCGCGCTACGCTGACCTGGCGGCAGTGCAGTCGTCCAACTCGGCGTACCTGGACGGATGCAAGATCTTGCTGCATGACTATGGCGGCGCCATGCTGGACTTGCTGCGGCGCGTGATCAACTGCGGCGGCGGTACTCGATTCAACCAGCTCAACGCCACCGTCTCCCATATCATTCTGGAGCGACCTAGCAGCGATATCCGCCAGCGCCTGGAAGCCATCCAAGGTGTTCGTCCCCACGTCGTCACTTCCTCTTGGCTGCTGGAGTCGTGCCGATGTGAAAGCAGAGTAGTTGAGGAGAAGTACGTATGCTGTGGCATGGAGATTGAGGAGAAGCAGCCCAGTGCCACCGACAGCTCTATGTTGCGCCAACGTGAAGTAACGCCTTCAACTGTGAGCATGCCTCCGCCGGACTTACCTTGTCCATCTACAGAGAAGCAGAATGACAAAGATGCTGGAAACATCCTCGCTCAGTATCTACCCACAGCGGAAGCATCTGGTTCATCCTCATCGTCCAGGTCCAGTTTGTCCACCGGCAACAATGTGGCAACGAATCGGTCTACTTCTCAAACAGCAGCGCGTGATGCTTTGTTTTCATCCCTTCCCCCGTTCCACGTTCGCACTGGCGATTCTGTGTGCAACGCTCTGGTCACGAAACTGCTGCAGAAAGATGGCGGTAAGCTCTGTAGTGATCCAAGTGCAGAGTCTTACTCAGTCTGCGGTCTAGCTGATGAGCGTACGGCTGGTAGCAACCAAGTGACTATGTTTTGGATTGAGCAGTGCATCTTGGCTGGGGAAATCCTCGCTCCCAGTTCAGACCCACTCTTTGAGCCGAACGGTTTCGATTCCGCGCGGACGTTCATGCGCGGCGCCGTCCTGTCGCTATCACAGTATGACGGTCAGCTGAGGACTCAGCTGTCCAAGCTCGCCATCTGCATGGGCGCTACCGTTCAGGATCACTTTGTGCGGAAGGAGAGCAAGGGCTTGAAGGCCAGCACACACCTCCTATGCGAGAGTGCCGCCGGCTCAAAGTATGCAGCAGCCCAGCGCTGGTCACTGCCAGCTGTCGATCACAGGTGGCTGGTGGCCTGCTCGCAGCAGAGACGACTAGTACCCGGGGAGGACTTCCAAGTTGGTGCTGAGTCGGAGAAAGCACCATCGTGCACAACTACACCTGCCAGAGCAGCGGCACAGCAGACGACACTTGGAAAGAATGGACATGCTCACACCGCTGCCAAACGATCTACTCCAGTTGCGTCCAGCACCGCGTCTACAACACCCAGTGCAAGAACTGGCGTGATTGGTAATCATTTGCCATTTCAGCCATCGTTCGACACCGCCGACGTTGTCGCTGCTCTCCAGTCGCCAGCAGTGGTCGCAACGAAAAGAGCTAATCGCAGCAGTGGTGTCGGGCTTGCAGAGATGTTCCAGAACAACTTGGCGTCGGCCGTTGGTGTGTGTAGCGCCGCAACAGCCACGGAAAACGAAAGCACTGATGTCGCCAAGGAACCGGTCACCGCCACTCCAGCACCAGAGAAAAAGAGTTCTCCTCCGGCCAGTAATGGTCGTCGTTCCATGCGTCGTGGCAAGAAGCAACTGAAAACGCCATTGGATGGTGTGACAGTACAGCCAGTGACCAGCAGTAGCCAGCGGCTAGCAGCAGCTGAACCTTCAGTTGGTGCAGCACCAGCAGCAGCAATAACTGCCTCTGCGACTACAGACAGTCCCAAGGGAGTACCCCCTGTCAAAGTGGAAGCAACCAACCTAGCCTCGCCACAGAAAGAAAACTTGCCTGTCGTGTTATCTCCAGACGCAAAGCAATCAGCTGCCACTGCTGTGGAAATCCCTGCAGCGGGCACACTAGAAGTTCGAGAGGCGTTTGAGCGCGAAATGGAAGGCCTTATGGCGCTGACGAGTAGTCGGAATTCAAACGGGCGGTCGTCAGTTCGCCGTAGCACTCGGATCAATCGGAGCAGCAGCGTTCGTAGTCCTGCCACTGAAAGGACCTCCGATGACTCTGGCATGATAGGCTCTGCACTGACTCATTTTGGCAGCAAATCCTCGCTTAGTGGGTCAACAATTGGTGCACCTGACCTTGGTCACGGCTTGGATGACGGAGGGAATGGAGTGGAATCGTCACAGAATGAAGTAATAACCTATGATGATCCCAACGGACGCTTGGAGCGTGAACGCATCATTGCCGAGTTGAAAGAAGCGCCCGACTTGCCAGACGAACATCCTACGCCAGCCACCTCGTCCATGTCTGAAACGGTTGCCAAAGTCTTTCCCGTTGTGACCGAGACAGCAGCAAGCAACGATGCCGCGCTACGCATGTCTTCAGCTAGTAATCCTGGCGTGGCCACAACACCAACACCGCCTGTTCCTGTGCCAATGATTGCAGCACTGCGGCCGGCTGCAAAGACGCGGCCGCCTCTTGCCACCGAGGACCTCGCAGTGTCGCAGGCGAAGAGTCGAGCAGCCCAGCTGAAGTTCCATCTCACGGCGTTGTCACAAGCGGTATGTTCTCCTGTCCTACATGTGTACTACTTGTGCATCTATGTAGTTGGTCTGTACTATTGTGAGAGATGATTCTTATCTCCTTCTGCGTGAGCAGCGACATAGTATAGCATAGTATAGCATAGTATAGCATAGTACACTCAAACGCCTCTTATCCGGACGTCTCAGATACGGGCACGTCTCTCTACCGGGCACCTTCAGCTTGAGTTCCTATAGCACAAATGCTTCGAATTTGGGGGTTTTGAACTTTTTTCCGTATGAGGAAGTGCTCATTTTTCACTCAGGCCAACCTATGTAATCCACACATTTTTATCAATGGGTTCCTTTTGTATCCTGAACATGTGCGTTCCAAAAAAACTTCTTCAAAAATGATGATACATGGTACATGAGTTATCCTGAGATACGGGCAAATCTGAGATACGGGCAGTGCCCGGTCCCAAGGTGCCCGGATAAGAGACGTCCGAGTGTATAGCATAGTATAGCATAGTATTATTACTCAATCTGCGGACAGCATGCTGTTTCGTTCTTTTTGAACTCATCAGCGCAGCACAGAGAAAATGAGGCCGAACCTGATAGCAATGGAAATAAAAATTTCCAATCAGGCCCGAACGTACCTTGCCAGAGTGCTCAAACTGACAAGTCAGTGAGCTCTGCATAACGCAAACAGCAAAGGCACTACCCCACGCAAGAGTGCTCAACTGCTACAAGAGCAGGAGCGAAATACTCAATCTGCGGACAGCATGCTGTTTCGTTCTTTTTGAACTCATCAGCGCAGCACAGAGAAAATGAGGCCGAACCTGATAGCAATGGAAATAAAAATTTCCAATCAGGCCCGAACGTACCTTGCCAGAGTGCTCAAACTGACAGTATTATTATGTAAAATGGCAATAAATAATTCTATTGTGCAGTCATATTTAAAAACAATGTAAAAGATAAATGTACTAAGGCCACCTAGAATTAATTCGTTGTTTCGGGTCACTTCACTCATCCGTACCAGGGTCGGTCGGTCGGGTTATTTTTTATTTTATTTTATTTTTTATTTTGGTGACTGCCATGTGCATACGTAATAATTATCGAATAGCTTTTGTCCATCAAGCCAGTCGATCAAATCTAGACGATCCAGCGCCTTCAGATCTAGGTCCCCAGCTAGCTCCAGGACCAGATCTTGACCTCGCTAGCAAACGAGTCTGACGAGCAGCTCTCACCAAAACTTCTGTCAATGAGCGACACGGTGGCGGAGCTGATGTTGTTTCAGGACTGATCGCGGATCGGAGAATACAACGTCGTCACCAAGCGCTGCAGCCTGTCATTTGGCTGCTTCTGACTCTGAGATCGACGTCTTGACTCAGTCACTGCTATTATTATTTTAGGATCGCGTGTGTACACGCATAGCCTAGTCATGGACGTACATTTGCATGCACAATCAAAAAAACAAACATTTTGCAGTCGGGTGAAAAAAAAGACGGTCGGTCGGGTGACCCGAAACAACGAATTAATTCTGGGTGGCCTAATTTTCAAAACGTTTCCGCGTGACACTCATCAGTGGAAAGTCGTCGCTAAATTAAGAATATTAAACCAAAACAATCAATATTATAGCCGAAATGTTCACACATTTCCTACACTTACATATCCATGTATCACTACCTTTCACAAGCTACATTATGCTATTTGTTGGCTGTGACTCGTAGCTGTTTTTTACGTTATGAAGTTTGCTATAATTGTCACTCTGAGGGTAAAAACTCCCTAAACATGTTGGCTATATCATATTGATTGTTTTAGTGGTTCAGAATTTAGTGACGACTTTCCACTGATGAGCGTCACGGGAAATGTTTTGGAACTTTAGTACATTTATCTTTTACATTGTTATGACTGCACAATTTGTTTTATTCATTGCCATTTTACGCTTACTGTCTCCTTGACGATTGTTTTTTTTGTATTATTATGCTTTGTGTTTAAGCTGCATGTGTGTATTGCTGTTATTCTTTCCACAGGAGAAGGCGGACTACATTGTTCTGATTGAGAAACTTGGTGGGAAAGTATATGACACGATGTTTTTCTCAACGTCCTCCACCCACCTCATTGTGGGGAAGCCAAGCCGCAGTGAGAAGTACCTGGGAGCTCTGGCCTCTGGCAAGTGGCTGCTGCGGAAGTCATTCATGGAGGCCAGCCGCGAGGCAGGTCATTTTGTCGAGGTAAGCCGGTGATGATGCACATGTACACCAGGGTTACCGAATCCTTGCCATGCATGGCAAAAAAAAATGAAAAGGTCGCCACATGCTCTGTGGTCATGGTCACCGTTCGCGTCCTGCCTAGTCTGGTTTAAATTAGACTTGTTTGTGTGTTTTTGTACAGTAATACTGCCACTGCTGTGACTCCGGGCCTGAATCGGCACATGTACATGTACTCGGTTTGGTTTGTGTTCGCCTGTATTTGTTGCTGGGCCTGAATCGGTACGTGCGCTTGACTTGTTTTTGTTTTGTGTTCGTCTGTACTTGTGTAATGTGTCGGACAGGAGTCTTCCCATGAGTGGGGAAGCCAGCTGCATCGCCAGGGCAAGCCGGAGCCCATTGAGCTGGCCGCCCAGCGGTGGCGTGTCTTCCTCCACGACGAGCGCCTGGCACAGCAGCTCGACGGCGCCCCGTCCCGTGTTGCCGTGGGCGCGTTCACTGATTGGCGCGTGCTGCTGGCCGTGAGTCGGGACAAGCAGGCAGGCCTGAAACGCCTGCTGGAAGCCGGCGGTGCCAAGATCGTGAAAGTGACGTAAGTCTCGCTGCTGGCTGGTGCTGCTGCTGCTGCAAGTGATGCCGTTTCTGCACTGGTTCATTGTTGTTTGGCGCTGTGCTATCGTTTTATAGTGTAACTGTGTTGTGATACAACCACATACCCATAGTGTCGTGTGTTAAAGCCGGACTTATTGCTGTAAAAGCCAGTGTCAGTACAGGGCTTCTATTCGAGATAGGTATTTTTTTATGTGTGTCAACACTAAAACCAGGTTTTAAATATATGCCGCCAGTGCATCTTGAAAATCAGGCTTCTGTACGAGACAGGCTTTAATTAATGCAAGACACTACACCGTGTATATGGGCTGGCCATCTCTCACTTCAAGTCTTTGGAATGCTACTGGAGAGTGGTGACTAGATAGCTGTGTTTGCTATGTCAGCCGGTGTTCCGTTTCCTTGTCGTGTGGGTGTGCGTGTGTGCGCGTGTGGGTGTGCGTGGGTGTGCGTGTGTATGTGTCCTTGTTTGTGCAGGCCACCTTTCAACAACCTGAAAGGTGTAACGCATGCATTCATTGAGGTTTCCAAGGCTCCAGCCGGTAGCATCGACTATCCCAAGCTCAAAGAAGCATCTATCCACTGCTGCCGCCCTGAGTTTATAGCTGAGTACTTGATCCAGGATCCAGCTCCCGACGTTGAGAAGTACTACCTCTCTGATGTCTACTCGAAGCGACAATCTGCATAGCTGTGAATGCTAGTGGCCGGCTTCATGCCGCCTTTAGGATAGCTTTCTCTTCGGTGTGAACCTATCTCGCTTACCTCCAGGGTTGTGACTAAACTTGCCACTCCGCTGGACTGGGGCTCATTTTTCGTACATTCCAAGGCATCTTAGTACTTGTACTAAGGGACATGTGCTCAACCTTCACCTTCTTCCTTTTCTCTCTGTTGAACTGCACTGAACTCGGCTTCCACGTTCTTACAAACCTGCTTCTATTCCTGCTTTTACTCGATCTGACGTTGTTTTTCTCAGTAGGTCCGTACCTAGTCTAAAGTTTCAAATTCCTTCGATGGACATGTACATGCTGGTGCTGATTTGTGCAATTTCTGCTCGTACAGTCACCTGATTCTCAGTGGTGTACTCATGTGTTTGCCCATGTTGTAAAGTGTGCACATTTGCCTGGACATGCTGCATTGTTTTTACAATTTCAAAATGCTGCTGATTTAGCTAGCAGGTGCACTGCCGCACTAGGCATCTTCCAATGGCTTACGCAAAGCTTGCACAAATGCTGGTCCTATGACCAAAGAGAAATATAATAAGAAAAGAAAACAAGCAAATTGAGTCCTTGTCGTGCATGTGATTGTGTACACGCATGCATAGCGCATGTACATTTTGATTGGAGTACCGTATCAGGACTATGGTGTCTAACGCATGCAAGACCAATACTGGTTGCGAGGCTGCACTTTCTACGGAACCGGCCTTTGCACTTGACTTTCAAGTCGGCATAACCATAATGACTAAGACTTAGTCTTGTTTGCCGTATAGTCATACGTACAATACAAGCATACCTGTGTTGCACACACCGGTACATGCAGTCGTACGCAACACATTTCCTCTACGCACACAGTTGCCTGAGCATAGCTCCAGCCCTTGATATGACATGATGACTGTGATTGTATTCACATGCAAAATGACACATAAACCCAGCATTCACTCGCCTATAGGTGCGCCGTCCATGTGTTGCATGCAGGGAGTCGTAAAATACCAGTACCTTGCGACCCTCTGGTTGCACTGGATAAGTGCAGAGTTCTCTTGATGGTTCATAACCCCCTTTATGAACTCCTGATAGTACTGTACTTCCGAAGCACAGACCTGTCTTGTCTAGGCCGTAGCGACAGTAACTGTTAGACCGAGTGCATGGGAAATAATCTGTGCGGTTTCTGTTTGACCTGCAATGGCCGGCCTGGGAGTCTGACACTGCATGCAGTGATATATGCACAATTGAATTGCAATATTGTGTCACAGTTGACACATGTGAGACACGATGTCCTGCTGCATGGTATGTTTCATCACCGGGAGTAATAGCTGTTAGCAGGTGTACTTCGAAGTACATCATAAAGTTCTAGCCGAGTTGCGTACTCTGGTTTTCATGTCCTCAATAGTTGTGACAGTGCGGGCATAACAGTGCTAACCATGTTAGCTGACATTTTCGCCCGATTTGGTCGGTGAACAGGTAAGTTTTACAAGCATGGAGACACCCACAAGCTACGATGACATGACAGCAGTTTCTCATCTGATCACCCGGCAAAGCCCGTGATTCGTATTGTGTCTCAACAAAAAGATGAAAAAGAACCTGTTCTATATTATGAAGTTTCATGGGGTGATATTGATCATTCGGATTGAAAGTGAAGTAACCTTGGGTGGCCTCTCTAACAAGAACACGACTTAACAAGAGGCATCAATCAGCATGACAAGTTACACGGGGGCAGTGCCATCAGTCTCAAATACCACCCACACAACACTGCGGTGTAGCACAGTCTTGAGAAAAATAAAAGTTTGATTCCCACAGAGCTTTTCTTGATCCAGCAAGAGGAGATGTGAGCTATGTTACCAATACTACTACTGTACTACCGTTTCCGCTTGTTCTTGATCTGGCTTCTCAGCTTCTGCCACTCGCGGTGTTCAAGCTCCCGGTTCTCACTCTGCTTACCAATGGACTCGTTACCGTCAGGTCTCATCTCCATCTGGCCCAACTGGACAGTGTCGTACGGAAGATCGCTCATCACAGGGACAGCATGCTTTGAGTGCAGCAGCTTCCTTACTTCGTCGTCCGAGCCCAGTGCCTTCAAGTCAAAGTCCTCGTCATCATCGTGTTCGTCAAATTTACTGGCTTTCTTCCTCTCCTTGCCAGAGCCGAGTTGTTGGCTATCCTGTTCTTCTCCATTTTCCTCCTCTCGTGGCACAAGTTTGTCCTCGCCACGTAGAATAACAGCACTAGACTGGTCCCAAACACCCTCCTCGTCTTCTTGACATTCACCAATATCAAGGAGCTCTGGAGCCACCTGAAAGCACACAGCGCAACGCACGCAAACAAACAAAATCTAAACAAACAAAGAACAGTCAAGCGGTCAATGAATGCTGTCTGTTGATTGATCAGTAGCATGTGACACGTTTTCCAAGTTACAGCAGGAACAGCCTCTCGTCTCCCATGGGTGAAAACTGGGGGTGAAACGATTACAGATTTTGTCTATCGGTTAATCTACCCTTGTAACGATTCGACTGTCGATCACAGTTTCGATTATCAATAGTTGTTCCAAGTCTGCGAAGTAAGTCTTCTGGCTGCACATATCTCACTCAGCCATCCCACGCACCAATACACATGGCAAGCTCATCTGTTGCTGTTCGAGTTTGCCTACGAAGGCGGCTGCTACAGCCGTTCCATGGGCTAGATATGGCAACAAGTTGAAAGATATCTCCAGTCAGGTAAATTTCTAGTGGTGTGCACAGGTAGTCGGGTACCCGTGCTACCCGTGAGGACCTCGGGCAGACGGGTACAGAATAGTACCCGAAAACCCGAAGTCCCAGATGACATAATGTACAGTGCACGTGTACAAATTCATGTCATACTCCGCATGTCTACCCAGTGTGTAAGGGAAGGAGTGCATTGTGGTGTTACCGTGGAAACACTACCCGATTGGGTACCTGTGCTACCCACTACCCGAACCCCGAAGAAAATGCTACCCGACTCAGCCCTATAAATTTCCAACGACGAACAGGTAGGCAGTGCACATACCGGTATGCACGATCAACACAGTGTGCTTTGCGGATCACTAGATCCATATTGGAGGTACGGGATCGCTCTGGCCCTCTGGGGTCAACGTAGACATGCTCTTGTTCCTATTTTCTCATTTTATTCTCATAAAAAACAGTGCTGGTTACCTTACGGTTTCTTTATCTGCACAAGAATGATTCTTCCCTCACCTTGTGCAATCATGTTGAAAGGTGTGAAAAATTCATGTTTCTACAGAAAAAATAAAGCCCCCTCTCGAATAGAGCCCCTCTCAAATACAGCCCCCCTGGGTGTCTTCTGGAAAAATAGAGCCCCGGGGCTTCTATTCACGCCTATACGGTATGCGGAGCAAGACAAAAATTCAGAATTTGTGGAATATGACCCCGTCGGCCGACCCAAAACAAGGTTAATTTTTGTTTCGGCCTGATGTGTGTATCCCTGAAAGTTGGGAGAATAATACCAGGATCCTTCTTGCTGGTGTGCTTCTCTCACTGCATCCATGCCATAAACATATAAACATGTGCACACCACCGAGTAAAACGTCAGCCTTCGGCGGTTGTGGGAGCGACTCGCACAAGTGTGTGACGAAACGGTTGACAGATCCAACCCTACAGTTGTTTGTACGGCACTGGCTTTGGGCAATGACAAACGGTTAAGTACGGATTTTGAGCCTTGCTTTAGCTCGCAGTACCATGCTCAGTAGAGTACCATGCACACATACACTTTGAACTACTGGCGGCACAGTGGTGTCCACATACGGTGGACTTAATGGCATATTTTTGAATTGCTAACTTACACAGGCAACGTCTGGCCATGCCATTCTCAAAGAACATACCTTTGTGGCGTTAATGTTGAGCTTGCGGTAGATGTGTTCCAAGTTTCCGAAGGACTCGTCCTCTGGACACGCCACTACGGTCACAAAGCCTTCCTGACCATGTCGACTGGCTCGGCCAGCAAGATGAACATAGGTGGCCGGGTTCGGGGGAACCTCCAGCAGAATGACGTGCTTGACGAAAGGGAAGTCCAGGCCCCGGACCGTAGCTTCATTAGCTACAACCATCTATCCAGACAAGCACGGGTAGACAAGGAAACATAGGGCAAAGAAGGAGACAGTAAGTCCACCAGAGTCCATACTCCCTCAGAGTATAGCTACAACCATCTATCCAGACAAGCACGGGTAGACAAGGAAACATAGGGCAAAGAAGGAGACAGTAAGTCCACCAGAGTCCATACTCCCTCAGAGTATAGCTGGCACTAGACCAACAGTAACACCTAGCAAAACCTCCCCTGAAAAAAGAGTACTAGTAGTTGCCGCGTGAACATGAGCCTCCAGATCCAAATTGGGGGTTTTATGTCATTTTTGAACAAGCTATCTGCACCATGACATTGCTGTCATCCAGATCACTGCGCAAAAAAACTCAGTCAAACATCTTCATCCATCACATGGTTATGGCGGTTCGAACAACTGCATTTATATCTCTCAATACAGTACACTCAACTTTCAAACGCGCTTTTCCAAAACAGCACAAAACGACATAAGCCTCCTTTTTTTTCAGATCTGGAGGCCCAAACGGACTTCAAGTGATATTAAACAAAGCGAAAGCCGCGAGGACATTGCCCGAGAAAAAGACTTAATAAAAGGCACAACACGACCAGAGCACAGCTGGTCAAAAGAAAAGAAAAAGACTTCTGGGGCTAACCTGGATATGACCATCCTCAAAGTCCTTCAGGAAGGCTGCATAACTATCCAGCGACTCCGGATCTGCCTGGTGACTGTACAGCGCTTCAGCCAGGATTCCTTGCTTCTTCAGGGCGTAGACGAAGCCATCGATCGGTGCACCATTGTGAATAAACACCAGTGCTTGCTCTGCTCCTAGGCTGTTGAAAATCTGGAAGAGCCACCATACACAGTACAAAGCATGCTTCAGACCGGACCCAATTCAATACTAAAAGCAATGATTTCGGCGTCAATGCACTTGATACTATGCAAAACCAATGAATTGAGTAATTTTGATGTTGGGGAAGCAGCTTTTGGGCGTGTAGCAAAGTGGCTTGCTCCTTTCGAATAGAGAGCCAGTCATGATAAGTATTATGATGGCAACTGTAGTGTGGAAAAGAAGCCAGGATTTCGCACCAAGCCAGGGGCGTAGGCTGATTGCTTTTTCATGGCATGCCTGGGACGCAGGTAATCCTGACAATCTTGTCCCCAAAACACTGTCTTTCTTACTAATGTAAGGTTGATGCCAGGCATGGATAGATTCTAGATACTAGTACATGTAGTTGAGAACCACTTCAAATGAAGCCTGGGCTACGCCCCTGCAACTCAACCAGGCACACAAACTACACGATGTAGTGTTCATCCTGATCGATGCTTTGGGCCGGTTAAAAAACAATGCTCTGTGGGTCACTTGACTTCATTGGCATCGGTTTGACCAGTGACTCTGTGAGCTCTGTTGAGTGACTCTATGAGCTCTGTTGATGAGACTCGACAAGACTGCAACAGCTAGCTGTTCGCAGATTCAGTAGTATCCCAATTCGATATAACGGTATACAGGGGCACAGAGTAAACCAACAGCAACACAGCCCCAGACGACAGTCTACTGGCTCGTGCAGCGGACGCACGTCCTTTGCAAAGTGCGTGGATTGCACCACCCTTTCCACGCAACCAGCAACTCATACTTTCGCCGCGTCTCCGAAATGTGCGCTTATCCTTTCCGAGCTTGTGAGCAGTCATTCTTGACCACGGCAAAACAGTATGTAGAAAATCGGGTCCAAGGTTCTAGAACGAAGCCAGTGCACGCATGCCAGACACGAGTCCTAGAACTACAACAGAAGCATTGTCATTCCATACCACTCTCTGGCACAATGAAATGCAGATAATCCACGTTACTGGCTGGCATGTGAAATCAAACAGTTGTGTGCCCAGTAGAAGTAGACTACTCAATTCAAACACATAGTGACAGGACCATACAGGTAAACTAGTTTCATACGCGGCGATCATCCCCCCCCCCCCCCCCCCATACACACACACCTTCAAGCAGCCGAGCCCGTTGGCGACAGACCCAACACTATCTGGCATAAGTGTACCCATCAACCAAACTACACACACTCTTTCTCTCTCTCTCTCTCTCTCTCTCTCTCTCTCTCTCTCTCTCTCTCTCTCTCTCTCTCTCTCTCTCTCTCTCTCTCTCTCTCAGACACAGAATTACTAGTACCTGAGTGAGAAGAACTGCCTTGTCTCGATGGGCACCATTATACAATGCAAAGCGATGGCGGATGGTCTCGGGCACTGCGATGCGGTCTTGCATGTACACAAGGCGCGCTTTTTCTGAGAAGCCCAGATCAAGAAGTTCTGCACGCATGGAATGTGATAAAGTTGCAGAAACACCAACGAGCTGTAGGCTGCTTGCACGACCTTTCAGCAGCTCCTCTCTTAGAAGAGTAAGTGCCACCATTGTCGGTTTCGGATGGAAGCGGTTTTTGTGCTTTAACCGACTGGGTGCGGCTGTTGGCACCAGCCGGTCGACTTCGTCGAGGACAACGTGTTGCACGGTGTAAAACAACTGAGGAGCAACATTCATTACCTCCAACAGTCGCTTTGGTGTGGCAATTAGCACACGTGGTGCCAGTTTCTGCACATCCTCAGCAGCAAAGTAAGTCTCGAGTCCAGACACAAGAGCCACAGCAAAAGGCCCATGTTCGGTACTCGGCTTCAGTGAATTTACTACATGTAGCGTCTGTACTGCGAGCTCACGCGTAGGCACAATAATCAGAGTGGAGCACACGTGCTTGCTCTTTTGAAGGATTGGAAGCAAGAAGGAGAGAGTTTTCCCTGACCCAGTTTCTGACTGGATCATCAAATCACGACCTTCCAGTAGATGTGGAATGGATTTCATCTGCACTGCATTGGGCTGGGTGATCGCCAGCTTTTTCTTCAGTCCATCACAGAGCTCATTGGTGATGCCAAGACCTTCAAAGGTCGTTGAATTGGGAGCCCCTACAGCAGTTTTAGAAACGCTGCTAACAGCTGGTGACCATGCTGAACCACTCGAGGCATACCGCCAACAGCGGCTTGTCGCTGCAACGCGCAGTTGTCTTGCAATGGTGTAGGCCATTGGACTAGGTTTCCTTCCAACCAAACATCTCTGAACTGGTGAGGCTAATTAATATTTGTCACAAATCAAACAATGACTTGTATGAATCAACAATGTTTGCAATTGCAGTTTGCGTATTTCCCAAAAAAAAGTAGAAAAGTCGGGATGGAAACATCGATCGATACGCGATCGATCCTCGCGCCTCGACGTCATCCTGCCGTCATTATCATGCACTTCCAGATCGGATGCATCGATGAGTTGTTCCAGGCACTTGCACTGCATAATGTTCATGTGCCTTCCTTCTTCCTTCTTTTTGTGAACGCCCAACCAGCGGTGTTCAGTTGCCTGGGAGGATGGTCTTACTTTCGTGCCTGCGCCGTATTACATGCAGACCTGCGTTTCATGGGAGACGTCTCTGCGCTACTCGACCATCGCAGTCCACCGAAAATGTGGAGGTAAACATGAGTAATATTTGCATTTTGAATTTTTGAATGGACTATTCTTTTCTACAAAAGCTTCAATCATGCTGCATATTTTGAAGTACGATTTGTATCTTACTTGCTGAAGAGGAGGATAAAGTTTGCTATGCATGAGTCGAATTGAGTTAAAGGGAAGATGCATCAATATCAAGGCTGTTTTATAAAATGGAGTTAATTAACAGCAAATGTTGAGTCACCTCCACCATTACACTGTGCTCTTTAGCCGACTAGACCCTCCTGCACACAACCATCACCACTGCGAGGACACTTCCGTAGACGATATTGATAATTCCTCCAGACAGCTGTTTCGCTAATACATAGCTCATCAGTGAAGGTAGATGTTGAATGATTAAAAATATATAGACCAAACTGCTATTATATAAGGGGTTTCCACATACAAAACTGGCATAGCTGAGGTGACAACGCGGGAAAAGGAAAGTGTGAAGTACTGTTGACGCGCATTGGACATGCATGCAGCGTCGGAAATTCGGCGCGGAAAGTCAATCACTATTCAATGCAGAAATAACGTGCCAGAATCAGAGTACTATGTAGCTAGTGAGAGTCTGTGTACTAGTATTGCAGTTGTCCGAGCGCCATGAAGGCCTGTGAACGCACCTCACGACCCGCCAACGTCGACAGCCACAGCAGTCCCTGGGGCATGACACTGTACTGCTCGCCCGTCGCGCCAAGACGCTTGGCAGTCACTAGGCTTCATGCCACCAATGTTGTCTGCAAGCTACCGTCGTCATGTCATTGTGCCCATCACCCACTGCCGCTGACGCGCTGGGAGGCCCCGCGGCATTCGCCCAGTATATCGTAGTCAGAGCTGTGTGGACGGTACAGTAACGCGGGTAATAATATTAATTAACAGCGGTGAAACAAATGATTCGTTTTCTACTAGTTAACAGCGGTGAAACAAATGCTTCGTTTTCTACCAACGTGCCACATTCTAGATACATGGGCATCAGCGAATCGTAGCATCTAAGGGCATGCACACAGTACTGCCGGACCCGGTATTGCCGACAGCTGATGTGCATGGAAATACGAACAGCCTAGGCTACGAGGAGGCTGACCGGCGTACCGGCCCTACCAGGGGCGCAGGCCCTGAAGCATGCTTGAGCCATACCACAAACACACCAAGTACTGTCCATAACTAACTTTACGTGAAGCACATCAAGGTGTGGATGTGTACAAGAAAAAAACATCAGACCTGGCACCAGGATCGATCCCTCAGTCCTGGTGGTGGGCCCAGCCCCAAGCTGTATGATACTGTACATGTATGTAGCAGCAGGCGGATATGTGAACATGCAACATGCAGCATGTGGTGAGCGGTCGCGTCTAAAGTTCTAAACATTGTCAATTCTTACCATTTATTCAGATGGTATGGCAGGACAGGATGGGTTTCTTGTTATCTTATTTATAAACATGTGCTTATGCACTTGTGTTTGTGCAGCTCTTCAATGGCAAAGAGCTGCGGCCACTGTCTGACTTTCTGACGGATGGGCACAGTCGAATGCACAACTACCTGCGCATCTCGCTAACGGAGCGCTGCAACTTGCGCTGTGAGTTACACTTGCGAAAGCAGTTACCTCTGGTTTCTCTGTTCTTGCTCGTGGTGTAGTGCCACACTGTGTGTTGTGTGCAAGTGGTGTAGTGCTACGCTGTGTGTTGTTGTATGCAAGTGGTGTAGTGCTACGCTGTGTGTTGTTGTATGCAAGTTGTGCAATCTTACATACCGTATTTCCCCGATTATAGGTCGCACCCTTTTACACTAAAAATCAAGGGTGAAAAAGGGGGTGCGACTTACAATCGAGCATGACTTACTACTGAAATGAATATATCAAAACAATATTGCTCAGACCTGGAAATGGGGGTGCGACTTACAATCGAGCATGACTTACTACTGAAATGAATATATCAAAACAATATTGCTCAGACCTGGAAATGGGGGTGCGACTTACAATCGAGCATGACTTACTACTGAAATGAATATATCAAAACAATGTTGCTCAGACCTAGAAATGGGGGTGCGACTTACAATCGAGCATGACTTACTACTGAAATGAATATATCAAAACAATATTGCTCAGACCTGGAAATGGGGGTGCGACTTACAATCGAGCATGACTTACTACTGAAATGAATATATCAAAACAATATTGCTCAGACCTGGAAATGGGGGTGCGACTTATAATCGGGGAAATACGGTACTTGAAGTACAAGAGATTCTTGAAATGCGTTTTTCAGTTTGCCGCGGATGCTGGAGCTTGTGTGGGTCAGCTTGTGTGGGTCAGCTTGTGTGGGTCAGCTTGTGTGGGTCAGCTTGTGTGGGTCAGCTTGTGTGGGTCAGCTTGTGTGGGTCAGCTTGTGTGGGTCAGCTTGTGTGGGTCAGCTTGTGTGGGTCAGCTTGTGTGGGTCAGCTTGTGTGGGTCAGCTTGTGTGGGTCAGCTTGTGTGGGTCAGCTTGTGTGGGTCAGCTTGTGTGGGTCAGCTTGTGTGGGTCAGCTTGTGTGGGTCAGCTTGTGTGGGTCAGCTTGTGTGGGTCAGCTTGTGTGGGTCAGCTTGTGTGGGTCAGCTTGTGTGGGTCAGCTTGTGTGGGTCAGCTTGTGTGGGTCAGCTTGTGTGGGTCAGCTTGTGTGGGTCAGCTTGTGTGGGTCAGCTTGTGTGGGTCAGCTTGTGTGGGTCAGCTTGTGTGGGTCAGCTTGTGTGGGTCAGCTTGTGTGGGTCAGCTTGTGTGGGTCAGCTTGTGTGGGTCAGCTTGTGTGGGTCAGCTTGTGTGGGTCAGCTTGTGTGGGTCAGCTTGTGTGGGTCAGCTTGTGTGGGTCAGCTTGTGTGGGTCAGCTTGTGTGGGTCAGCTTGTGTGGGTCAGCTTGTGTGGGTCAGCTTGTGTGGGTCGCATGGGAGAGTTGATGTGTACATACCCGTGTGTTGTGTTTCATTGGTAGTTTCCCCCTTGTACCTGTGTCAATAAAGAATGTTAAAATGTCACGGCTCGTATGAGACTCAATCGGACTGAGTTATCCACATCTGTAGGACTGCCACCGCCCTCAAACATCAAGGCGTCAATCCATTCAATCTACTGTACTTTCATTTTATACTTAGCTCCTCTTGAAGATAAGTAGCTTCCCTGAAAACGAGCCTTTGCACAGTATTCTGTATCAGAAGATCTGTGCTCTTTGTTACATGCGATGACTCTGCTCAGGTCAATACTGTATGCCCGAGGAAGGAGTTGACCTTACAGCACGCGACCAGCTTCTCTCCACTGAAGAGGTGATTCGACTTGCTCGCCTGTTCGTCAGTCAAGGCGTCACTAAGATTCGCCTGACTGGCGGCGAGCCACTGGTGCGACCTGACCTTGTTGACATTGTCAGTAAGTCCTAGGCTGTTGCGCTGCGTCATTGTGGTAATGTGCAAGTGGAGCTGTCCAGCCAGCAGCGCAATATGGACTTGGCTAAATTACTGTGGAGTTCTGCATTGTACTTTGTTTATTCATAAGAAGAGCGTAATGCGAATATTAACCAGCATGAAATCAAACTTCAACAGTGGGTGTATATGTGTGGGCACAGTGCTCCACGAACAGTTGCCTTGGAAACTCGCTGGTTCTGAGCAATCGCGAAAATTTAGTGATACGAATTTTGGGCAGTTAAAAGTTTTCTTGTGCAATCATGCGTATGTGGGTTGGTTCTCTTCATGTTATTGTGACCTATTTCATAGATGTTGGTTGCCTTGTTGCTTTCTCTCCCCTCTCCTCTCACCCAAGCCATTCTGCATAAGCGAAGCTGTGGACGCAGCATACTGCTGCTACACTTCCGCGCGGGAATGCATATCATAATAATAATAAAAGTTTGCCCTGCCTAACACCATTGTCCTGGCTGTGTTGTAATGTTGCCTGTTTGCAGGTGAGCTGTCGGCAATACCGGGTCTCGACACAGTTTCTATGACAACAAATGGCCTAACACTTTGGCGGCATGCTGCAGCGTTGAAGAAAGCTGGTCTTGGGCAAGTCAATATCAGTCTTGACACGCTACAGCCGGCAAAGTTTGAGTTTGTTACCAGGCGGAGAGGTGGGTAGGCTGTAATGCACACACACACGCACGCGTGCGCCCGCACACACACACGCACACCATGATTATGTTGACTACTGCATGTCATTGTCCGCCTAGTCCCGGTTTGCTTGATAGTGTTGAGCTGGACTCACTACAGTCTACTGTAGTATGAATACCAACTCCTTGGTTGTTGATTTATCTCGTTGCTTGTTTTGACTAGCACCTTTATCTCTCACTCTCAGTTCTCATTGTGTTGCACTAAGTTAGCATTTATTTACGAAGTATTTCACTGCATTTTGAGTATTTATATTGTGCTACACGTTCATTTGGTTTGCCAGTACAATCCTTCTGATGAGATGGCAACGAAAACGTTTAAGGATACTGAACCCAATAGCCAATGGTATGGGTGTCTTGAATGCGCAGCTCACCCTACTATTTGGTATTCTGTTCATTCTAACCACCTTGACAACGGTTGTTGCTTTTTCTCTTGTTGATTGGTTGCTCGTCCAGGCTGGGACCGTGTGATGAAGAGCCTTAACGAATGCATCTCTGTAGGGTTTGACCCTGTAAAGGTGAGGATCCCATTGTCAGCGTTCCACAAACCACTGATGTATATGCGATGCAGTATTGTGCTATATTCTACAGAGTCCTGAGTTGCTGCTGCTGCTGCTGCTGCTGCTGCTGCTGCTGCTACTGCTACTGCTGTGTGTGTGTGTGTGTGTGTGTGTGTGTGTGTGTGTGTGTGTGTGTGTGTGTGTGTGTGTGTGTGTGTGTGTGTGTGTGTGTACTACTTGCTATGATTACTGTTATGGTTGTGCTGTGTTCAGGTCAACTGTGTTGTTATGAATGGACTGAATGAGGATGAAGTGCTGGACTTTGTTGCGTTCACTGAAGAAAAGGTATGTGCATGGCTGTAGTAGTTGATGGTTCTCATTTTTCCGGAAATTGCCAGGAGCTGAACTTTCCTGCGAAACAAACTATGATATAGTTCTACTTGTGCATGCGCGTGTACAAAGTGGATCGAAGTTGTCTTTCTGAACTTGCCTGCCGTATCATGGTATTCACCTGATCTTTTTGCATTGCAAAAGGAGAACATGGAATGGGTCGTATATCTATTTCTAAGGCTTACTACTTGCATTGACTGTCATGCCTGGGAGTGGCGGAGTGGTATTAGAGATGCTCCGAGCATTTCTTACTGATCTGCTGGTCTGCCTGTTTCACAACGTCGAAGGCTCATGATGTTCCGCTGGTGCTTCCTTTGACTTTTATTCACTTTCCTTCTCTGTCTGTCTGTCTCTCTCTCTCTCTCTCTCTCTCTCTCTCTCTCTCTCTCTCTCTCTCTCTCTCTCTCTCTCTCTCTCTCTCTCTCTCTCTCTCTCTCTCTCTCTCTCTCTCTCTCTCATCTATCTTTTTCCCCAGCCTGTTGACATTCGGTTCATTGAGTACATGCCGTTTGATGGCAACAAGTGGAACAAGAAGAAGTTCCTATCCTACGCAGACATGCTGTCGTCGATCAAGAGCCGCTGGCCTAACCTAGAACGTCTTTCTGACAGCGCCAACGACACGTCAAAGGTAAGCTGTGTGACGTGTCCATATAGGTTTATAACTTTACTTGTGTTGCGTCGCGACCGGAGGCGGTATGTGCAGTCAGCCCTGACACAACTGCACAATCCTGTCTGTTCTGTTTATTCTAAGTAACAATAAGCTGGCACTAGATTCCAGACAAGGTATCATGTTAGCGTAGTCCAATACAGTCAGACCTCGCTTATCCAGTCCCCTTTTATCCGGATCCCTCGCCATCCGGAAGAAATCGTTGGTTACCGATTTACAGCATATGTCATGCATACATACAGTATGTGTGTTCGATTATCCGGTTCCCTCGCCTATCCGGATAGTTTTGTGTAAAACGGATGTGTGCAGTTAAGCGAGGCCTAGCTGTATACCATTACGTCGACAACGCAGAGTTGTCATGGTTCCAAGAGATGATCTTCAGCTAAAACATGGTCACCTCCTTCGGCCTGTGGGTGTAGTGATGAAACTGTTGATGCACTACGCAGGATATTGGCTGGCAGTAGATGTGGTCGACTGGAGTTGGTTGGTCTGTTTACAAACAAAATGAAAATGAGGTTTTCTGTGCACATGTCTACCATACAGGCCTATCAAGTACCTGGGTTTGTTGGCAAGATAGGCTTCATCACCTCTATGAGTGAGCACTTCTGCGGCACATGCAATCGTGTGCGTTTGACAGCGGATGGCAACTTCAAGGTAAGGCGATATTGGAGATTGTTGGATTGTTGGTTACTGACAGTCTGGTGCGGCTTGTTCACTTTAGCGCACATGTTTCTTGACGTGCATAAATAAAAGGTACCTTTGTGGAGGACAAAGCCAATTTGAGGCGCCAGTTTCAGAGTGTGCTGAGTGGTGTCATCACAGTCTTCTAGCAGTTAGTTGGCCGCACGGCTGGCAGCAGGCACACCATCCATGTTTGAATTCTGCTGCAAGATCCGTTGGGACAAGAGTGTCGGTGAGCGCGGTTGAGATACAAGTATTAAATTGGTTGGCCGGTGATCTTGAGTCAGTGATGTCAAAGCCACCTTCAAGGCAAGGCGGAGACGGCTCCACAGTCCGCAATACAGTGTACATCCTTTCCACACGCCACTGTGTTGCCGGTGACCCGGTTATATAGCAACCTCATGACATGATAATGTGTATGGGTGTGTGTACAAGAATGTGCATTTGCATGTACAGTGCACGGGGCAAAGGGGCTCATACAACACGGGAAAGGTGTGTTCTTGACCTCTCGCTATCTCTTCTGCATGTTGTCTGCCAGGTATGTCTCTTTGGCAATAGCGAGGTCTCATTGCGTGACGCAATACGTGAAGGTGCGTCGGATGATGATCTACTGCAAGTCATTGGAGCAGCGGTCAAGCGCAAAAAGGCACGCCATGCTGGTGAGTTCAGTATTATGTCTGAAATCTCTCCTCCCCCCCCCCCCCCCCCCCCCGGTAATTCTACGTCTAGCATCCTTCTCTCCTTTCGTAGCCGGACTCAATGATATCTGTTTTTGGAGAAGAATGGAACAAACAGGATGTCTTGCTACTCGAGAGGGCAACCTTTGCCTCCGGATATCATGCCTTAGGTGTAGTCAAAGCAGTGACTCTCACTGTTGAGATACTTGAGATATGCCGTTACATGTAGAACCTAAGAATGAGCACTACATCAAGCCCATGTAAACATACATTTGACATCTTCATGCCCCCATCACCTTGAAGACCTATGCAGAAACAAGCGTGTGCGGCTTTGACTTTGTTCTAACATATGATGCCCTGTGCGTATAACATTCTCCTCCAGTTCCTCTTGCACTCCACACTCATTAAAGCGTAGTTCTCTCTGCTGTACTCAGTCCACAAATAACGCTTGAAACTCTTTCTCTCGTCTGGAGCATGAATATGCAGTGTGATTGTGACCTAACTATTGTCACTGGTACTATTGCTGCTTTGGATACTGGTGCTACAGGAATGTTCAACATTGCCAAGATGAAGAACCGACCAATGATCCTGATTGGTGGGTGAGTCTGTGCTCTTGCTCAATAACACAATGCAACCACTTTACTGACGATCTGTACACTTTGCATGTAGTGCAAAAGACTAAAATAAAGGTGTGACTAAAGTGAAAATACCTTTCTTTGCTGACAGCAGAGCACTTGTCTGTGGAAGAGTTTGACCAGCCTGTGATCACTGTGGTTCCTATAGGCGTTGTAAAACGCTCCTCGCCTTGCTTGCTTGTGCTGGTACTATGGAACTCAAGACTCTGACTACCTCACTTTAACAGACTGCTGCGGAAATGTATCCACTTTTGCTCAGTGCCGCATTTGACTCCCATATACCGTATTTTCTCTAATACTAGCGCAGGTCTCTGATAATAGCGCAGTCTCTAATAGTAGCGCAGGGCGCGGGTTGATTGAAAAAATAAAGGCGCAGTCTCTAATAGTAGCGCGGGTCACAATTGAGTATGCAACAAGTATATTGACTGCATATAAAACAGCAGTACAACATGCCAAGAACATATTTGTAAGGAGGTTTTCGGTCTTCTGCTTCCTTCCTGGCGCCAATGCTATTGTGAAACATCTGTTTTGACAATATTCCTGAGTTTAGGGTTGAAAAATCAGTCTTGATATGGTCAGTTTATGCCTGTATAGACTGGAGGTGGCTTGATAGTTGACAATTGAAAAAATAAGAGCCCAGTCTCCAATAATAGCCCAGTCTCTAATAGTAGCGCGGTTAGAGCTGTCACTGGAAAACTAAGAACCCTGGGCTCTTATTAGAGAAAATACGGTATGTGCAAATATAAAATGCATTGTGCCACCTCAGAAATAGGCCCACAGAGGTCTGGAAGGCGGTTGGATTTCCGGCGTTCCACTGTACATCTTGCTGGGTGGAATTGGGAAAGAGAGCAGGATAAAGCTGTGCCTGAGTGCCTTCTGTTTTTCTTGTTCTGTCTGCCTGTCTCTCTCTCTCTCTCTCTCTCTCTCTCTCTCTCTCTCTCTCTCTCTCTCTCTCTCTCTCTCTCTCTCTCTCTCTCTCTCTCTCTCTCTCTCTCTCTCTCTCTCTCTCTCTCTCTCTCTCTCTCCAGATAGTGAACTACATCAAGCTGCTCAAAGATACCACTTCTCTAATTTATCTGCATTTCACCGTGTACCTCAGACAGCTTCTTGGAATCGTTTTGCTGCAAGAAGCCAAGCACTGAGATACAATCTCGCTGTGAGGTCCTCGGCAAGTGGCGCTGCCCGAGCATATCACTCTTCTGCGGTGAGATGTGACAAGCTGACCCATACAGATGCAAGTGGTGCAGCTCGTATGGTTGATGTCGGGGACAAAGCAGCTACTCACCGCACAGCCGTTGCTCAGAGCAGAGTCATGCTTGGTGCGGATGTGTTCCAGCTGGTGCAAGGCAATCAGCTAAAGAAGGGGGACGTCTTGTCGGTCTCTCGCCTCGCTGGCATCATGGCAGCCAAGCACACCCCACTGCTCATTCCCCTGTGTCACAACATTTCCATAAGCCACTGCAACGTTGACCTAGCTCTCGACAGCAGTGACTGTTCTGTCCTCGTCACCGCCACCGTCTCCACGGGCCTAGCTCAAACAGGTGTGGAGATGGAAGCACTCACTTCGGCTTCGGTCACTGCTCTTACTGTGTATGACATGTGCAAGGCCGCATCCAAGGACATTGTAATCACCGATGTGAAGCTTGTAAGCAAAACTGGTGGTAAAAGTGGTGACTACCGAAGAAGCTAAAAATGAGTTCTGCTGTTGAATTTCTTTTCTTTTTACTTATTCATTTTTGCACATATTCAACCAGGATGCTGTTCCTGCATCTACAAGTTCTCTCGTGTTTATTTTTGCCATTTCCTTTACACTTCGGATGTCATAATATTTCTTTTTGGTGAATTCTATTTATGTTTATTAGGTGGCATGCATGGTTTAGACAGTGCAAATGCAATTTTAGTCATGCTGGTCATGACTCTTTACTTTAGTGCCTTTCATATCCTTGATCCAGTCAGTAGCTCTGCTGGTTGTGAACATATCCACCTGCACTCTCTTTGTCAATTTCACTTTTTTATTTTTAGGCTATCAACCAAACTTACGTCTTTCACTATAAACTAACAGCCACACATCGATGTATTGCTATGATGTCATACATATAAGGACTATTTTGTGGTGATATAAGGACTATTTTGTGGTCATATGCAGTCTCTCGAGTGCACACAGTCTTGTTACAGAGCCCAGGTAACACAGTGGCTACTCAGCAGAATTTTACGGCTGCCCGTATAATTCGCCTGAAGGTCAGTCAGTAGCTCAACAGATTGACATGTTCTGGCCGGGGAAATTACTTATTAGTTTGAACAACCGAAGCACTGTATACTTCAGTAAGAACTGCAGTACTTCTTGAAAGAAGCCAAAGTCTAATAAAAAGTCATATCAATTCGAGGTAAAGAAACAACGTCGTATCATACAGAGTACACGGTCATGATCAGTTCTGAGCAAAACATGTGGCGTGCCTGCCTGTGAATCTCGTACATTACATACTCCATATAATACAGAGTAAATGGGAGCTCGGAGCTCGAGTATCATCAAAGACATCATGTTATGTTCGTGTTTCGAACATTATCGCATGATCAACACAGACAACAGTAGAATGCCTGCAATGAATACGTCAGTGACTCTGCATGATTTTCGCCTAGGGCATGCCAAGCAATCAAGCAGAATGCAATGGTGACAATTCGGATTCACCCGAAGACATCATCTCCCCCATGCACTGGCCTACGTCACAATGTGTGAAGTGGCGGGGTGATGCAGACGTCACCAACTAGCACCAAATCCAGCTGGACATTCCGGGTCGAACGCTTCCTGCTTGACCCTGACACCCTCCACACTGCCTGGCGCTGGAGGATGCTCGCTGACCTGCTCTTGCTTGAAGGCAGAATGCGACGGCGATGAGTTTCCATTCTGAGGGGTCCCGTGTCCTCCAAAAGCTGCAGCTGGACCCTGGTGGAATGGTGTCGGCATGAGCGATGGTGAATGACCTCGGCCACGCCCACGCCCTAGTCCAGGAGGTCCATGTGGACGAGGAGGTCTCATCATCCCAGGGGGCCCACCGGCATGAGGGGGTGGTCCCATTGCAGGAGGGCCATGCGGGGGAGGAGGTCCCATATCCTGATAACCAGGGGGAGGAGGAAGAAGATGAGGAGGAGGAGGGGGAGGAAAGCCCATGCCAAATGGGGGAGGCGGCCCCATTCCTGGAAAGCCTGGTGGAGGAGGTGGCCCCATTCCGTGAAAGTCACGAGGGGGAGGTGGCCCAAAGGGAGGAGGCCCATGGGGAGGTCCCATTCCAGGTGGACCGAATGGTGGCGGTGGAAATCCAGGAGGACCATCAAACGGCGGGCCAAAGCCATGGTGTGGAAATGGGGGTCCATGGCCATACTGCTGGCTTCGTTTGTCAGCTCCTCCTCTTCCTCTACCTCTGCCACGTCCTTTGCCACCGCCTCTGCCACCAGTTCGTGATGCACCACGGCCTCTCGATGCCCGCTTGGGGCCTGAAGCTACGTCCCCTCCTCGCACATCTGAGTAGAACAAAGCAGAGCGCACACAGGAGAACAGCTGTCTGTGGATGCCTAGTAGGGCAGTACAGCACCATCAAAACCACCAACAGCACAAAACTTGTAGATGGGCAACAGATATCACCCGGAGTCTAGATGCATTTCTGTAAACTGCCTAATGTTTGCGACGTATTAGTGTTTGCTAATTTTGTGAGAAGAGCATAACGCAAAATTATTTTAAACCATCGTGAAATCAAACTTTAACAGTGGGTGTATATGTGTGGCCACAGTGCTCCGCGAACCGTTGCCATCATAAACTCGCTGGTTCTGAGATATCGCAAACATTTAGTGACGCAAACATTGGGCGGTGTACAGTATTTAAAGGGGAAGTTAAGGCAAAAATTAAAATTTCACCAGTTGTAGTCTTCGGGGTGCTGAGTCGAATGGTCGTGGTCCGAGGAAGCTGAGACGCTCCCTTCCTACTTGAATCCCAATCGAACTCGCGCACTTCCACCGAAACTGGGTGACTGCGCCCTACGAGATGGGGATTTGTATGCAAAATGTCACTAAAAGCGCCATTTCGTTCTTATAAAAGCACAGATGACCGCCATTGGCCCATATGTTGTAGTCTTTTGGACGCTGAGTCGACTGGTTTTGGTCCGAAAAGGCTGCGATGCAGCGTTCCGCCTTTATTCCCAATCGAACATGGTTGAACAAGCGGTCACGTGCTCCTGCGTACGCCAGTCACCTGGTCACCGTGCCTGCAGGGTACAATTACTTACTAGCCTGTTTGACCTTTTTTGGGTGCAGTCCTGTCACTCGAGTTGAACCTTGGTGTGAAAGTTGTCGCCTGCTGGCGTGGTGACCAGGTGATTTGGGCACCCAGGAGCACGTGACCGCTTGTTCAAGCAAGTTCGATTGGGAATAAAGGAGGAACGCTGCATCGCAGCCTTTTCGGACCAAAACCAGTCGACTCAGCGTCCAAAAGACTACAACATATGGGCCAATCGCGGTCATCCGTGCTTTTATAAGAACGAAATGGCGCTTTTAGTGACATTTTGCATACAAATCCCCATCTAGTAGGGCGCAGTCACCCAGTTTCGGTGGAAGTGCGCGAGTTCGATTGGGATTCAAGTAGGAAGGGAGCGTCTCAGCTTTCTCGGACCAAGACCATTCGACTCAGCACCCCGAAGACTACAACTGGTGAAATTTTAATTTTTGCCTTAACTTCCCCTTTAAAAGAGTACATAACCAAGAGTGTGCACCTCGACGATCCCCCAGCCCACGGCAGAATTTTGTTTATTGACATAAGTCTTTGGCGGCTGTTGCGCTCACTGATGCCATCATGCGTAGCCAGAGATCAAAGTACAAAGAATTAGTACACCACAGCTACGGTAGTCAAAGCAGAACAACGGACAATTGATCAATGTGTCCTGAACCTGATGAACTCTCTCCAGATCTACAAAACCAGTGCGGGAAAGCATACGCACGTGATCATAACTAGTTACTGTACTTCTGCCTAAGAATGATCCAATAAAATCATTCCGCCGTGAACCCATCACAACTCGAGATAGGAATTGCACACTCTTGGTTATGTACTCTCTTTAAAATGATAGCAATAGGAGTCCATAACTCCCAAAATGTGCAACTCCACATGAACCTCTGCCTCGGTTTGTTTCAACAAATTGACAAAATGACGCCATATTCCATGACGTAATCCACTTGACTGTACACAAAATTGCATTGCATGCTGTCGACCTCACATCGCGTATATACACCTGGTAAGTGGTAAGTTGGTAACATCACATACATGATGTAAGTCTGAAAACGAGTCGTGGCAGCGACCCATCAAGAGTTCCACACTCTTGGTTGTTATGTTCTCGTGCTCACAAATATTGAGGTGACTTTTCGGCAGGGTCAACAAATTCACGCCTGTGCAATAAAAGAGTTTAGCAAATGCAAAGTACAAGTACCGTAAACTCCCGCCAGAGCGCCCCTCCCTGACTTCTTGTCAGGGAAGTGATTGATCGTATCCTCGTATGACTCTGTGATGCCGCACTGTCCTGCAGACGAGTGCTTGATCCGGTTGGAAATGTACGTAACAATGCCCATCCTCTTGACCAGGGATCGCACAAAACCCTGAGTTTTGATGGGTCTGTACGACTCCTGGCTCTTGACCTTTGGTCAGTGTACGAGATGCACGAACAGTTTTCGTAGGGTGAGTACTTTTTCATGTAGTGCTGAATACGGTAAGTAGGACTCGCCCATCCGCCCCTCTCCACCTGGACCTACTCGAAGGGTGGTGGAGGTAGGGGCGCTCTGGCGGGATTTTACAGTGCAATAATAATGTGCTTGACTGCTTGTATGGACTCGGTACCGTCAGTATCGTGCAATGTTATCGCATGAGCTGATTGTTTAGTAACTGGTGGTGTTAGTGGACATTATAGCGTAACTTGTAGTTCTTTGGTCCTTTTTCTTTTCCATATATTGACTGCTTGTACTTTGCTTTTGTAATATTAGAGTTGTAATGGTGGCTACAGCAAACAACTAACCGGTTTGGGGAGTATCCCCATTGTCTTCTTCATCATCCTCGTCACCGCCATTCTCGCCGGCCTCATGCCTGCACAGGCAACACCAATGGTGAAACCACAACACGAGAATGTGATAAGCCACAACAAGGAACATTGGAAGGGAACGGTAATATTTTTGGGAATACATGTACTTCGAAGTAGTTGTTTGCTCATGAGTTCATACTCCCCAAATGACTGAGCAAACTTCTTTAAACATGGCCATAATGTCTTCTCAAACAGACAATTCAGGGTATCTTGTCCGACAACGTTCAAGTTACTTCGAAGTAAATTTACATAACGAAATATCATGTCAAGCCTAGTGCACTGGCAAAAAAATGACTTGGCACAATGAACATGGCAGGGAAATTCCTGGTCCACGTGACAGAACAAGGAGGACAAGAGTATCGGGCAGTGCTTACCTCTTGCGCTTATTCTTGGATTTGGAATCCCGCTCCTGGTCATCATCTGAGTAGTCGGCCATCTTGAACACAAATACAGCACAATAACAATTAGCTTCTGCAAAGCAAGTCTAGAGCTGTCTCAACTGTCTCGGAGTCCACGCTCATACAGTGTACACACTAAAATGAGCCAGGCATTCCTGCAAATGGGTGTGCAGGAAGTCACACCACTTACGATCAGAATACTAGCCAGCCTCTGGGCAGGTTGCAAAGCTTACCTCGGCAGGTACCTCCGCATCATCTTTCCAGGATGCATCCGATCCCTTTTCACTGTACAGTGCAACATTTGAAGGTAAACGGACAATTCCGGGTTATGATTTGCTGGCATACAGTGCCGCTGCCACAGTTGGTCCTAGCACCAGCATCAGCACCACCAGCACCACCAACAGCATCAATGGCACAGATAAACAAGATAGGATATCATGTTTCGTATGGCCAGGACTCTTCAACATGACCAAATGCTGCAGCAGCATCACAAACAAATTTCATGAAGATGTCATTGTAGTTTGAACACAGGCGAGTTTCTAGCCATATCCCCTATAGTGCACCACACCATACTGTCAACAGGTATCCAGCTTACTTCATAAGGTTAGTCAACTGGGCCGGAAACACAGGATTGGTGCAGGGTTCATACGCAGCATAAAATACTTCAGCGTCCAACACCAGTCCCAGTCCGCTGGCTTCATCCACAGAGTTGAATTCGATGGTGTAGGATGGCTCCAGTACACGGCCAATAGGCTCACATACCTGTACCAAGGCCATCCGCGCACACACACACACACGCACGCACGCACACACACACACAAATACAACAAATGTGAGAAAGATACATACGAGAACAGGTTTGGCGTGTCAGACCCATTTCCCCAGAAGAGCCTCTGGCGCTGCAGTCTACTAGTAGCAAGAGTACATAACCCCCCAGAGTGTGCAACGTCGATCCAGCTCGGTGTAGGGTCTTGGTCGAGCGGAATCGGATCTTCTGATGTCATGCGCACACTTCACACCAGCGCAAGGCCGGTCTCGAGGCAGGGCACCATTGTTTTTGATCCAAGAGTACCCGCGACTCCCCGGGTTCCCCTCAGATGTGTACGGTATTATGACGCAAAGATCCGATTCCGCTCGACCAAGACCCTATGCAGAGCTGGATCAGGCGTTGCACACTCTGGGGGGTTATGTACTCTTGCTAGTAGATGGCACACTTCCAGTAAGGGCCATCTGACATTGTCCCGCTGCTGAGAAATATGCAAGGGGCTTACACCAAACATACAGTGCTAAGAATATAATGAGTATATTGTGTGGGTAAAGTCACGCTACCTGTAAACTACAACCAACAATGAAGGCTATTAAAAAACAGTATACAGACAGAGGCTCAGTAAGCTCATGTTCAATCAACCTTGGGATAAAACCCCTCTTAGATGCACGTAGTGAACAGGTACACATGTACCAGAATTCCAACACAACAGGACGTATATTTAATTTCTGTACACTCTGCGGAATTAGACGAGTAGTTTGCTCACACTGTCCACCACATGTAAGCGCCGGCAACTAAACTTACTGCTCCAACGACAGCACGTTCCTTGTTGAAAAGTACTGTACCTGTGTTAAGCACTAAGTTGTTTTTCTCCGACTTTACCACAGCTGGAAATAGACAACACAAAATTGGATAGAATAACCCTACAACTTAGTACAGCTCGTGCAACGTAGCAGTATGTGCTAACCCACTATTACACTCGTGCAACGTAGCAGTATGTGCTAACCCACTATTACCCTCGTGCAACGTAGCAGTATGTGCTAACCCACTATTACACTCGTGCAACGTAGCAGTATGTGCTAACCCACTATTACCCTCGTGCAACGTAGCAGTATGTGCTAACCCACTATTACACTCGTGCAACGTAGCAGTATGTGCTAACCCACTATTACCCTCGTGCAACGTAGCAGTATGTGCTAACCCACTATTACCCTCGTGCAACGTAGCAGTATGTACTAACCCACTATTACCCTCGTGCAACGTAGCAGTATGTGCTAACCCACTATTACCCTCGTGCAACGTAGCAGTATGTGCTAACCCACTACTACCCTCGTGCAACGTAGCAGTATGTGCTAACCCACTATTACACTCGTGTAACGTAGCAGTATGTGCTAACCCACTATTACCCTCGTGCAACGTAGCAGTATGTGCTAACCCACTATTACCCTCGTGCAACGTAGCAGTATGTGCTAACCCACTATTACCCTAAAGTACCGTTGGCCGGCCGCTCTCTAATTTCTGCCCCTGTCGAATTTTTGCCTGTGAAGTACGGTGGTGAACCGACGCTTGCACCGCTGTACGCAATACGTGCCAGTACAGGATGAACATGTGCACAGTCCAGCACGCCAAGTCTGATCTTCCGCGTTGCTGTGCATCATACTGCACTTGACAGCCTTGATCTAATTCCCGCCCCCTGCCGAATACCCAGCTGGGAAATGACACAGCGTGTGGGGGGGGGGGGGAGATCAACGGTACTTTACGGTAGCCACACACGACCAAGGGCTGGTGCAGTTAGCAACTACAATGTACTATCCAAGAACCTGCAGTCCACAAGTACAGAACGCCGAAACGCCTGGTCACACTGAATTCAAGGGGCAACATCAGTATCTGTTTATTTTGTTTTCCCCACCCGTAGCACCGTAGCAGTGGAGCACAGGATGGTTGACAGCTGGGTGTTGTCCAAACCTATGCCCATGAGAACCATGACGATTGACAAGTTGTGTTGCATGCGCTAATTTGGCTAGAGATGCAAAACAGCTGGTACTGAAGTACATCAAGTTCAAGTTGAGGATATGTTCGCCTGCTTATTCACAGACGGCGCTGACGCTTAATTAACACATACCGACTCCTTCCTCCGGTAAGATGAAAGAAACTACTCCGACCAAGGCTAAAACCGCATCAGCACTCAGCTCCACTGTTGGAAGCTCAACAATACGCTGCAGAAGGAAAAAACCCACACACAATGTACTCGTAAGCTGAAACAATCACCCAGGCGTTGCATTGATTTTAGTCCCTTGCACAGAGCCGGTTATCTATGTTTAATACCACCATGCAAAACCAGAAATTCAGATAACCTGATTCACTGTTAGGGGTTAGTGTTGGCTTACTCTGTGGGTCAAAGGTGATGCTGGATTGGATGCCGCATTAGTGTCATCTTCTGCCTCCTCGGCCTTTATCTCAGAAAGCAGGGGTTTCTTTTCCGCTTCTCCCTCGTCAGATGAGCTGAAAAATAAGCAGGACAAGATAAATCCATCATTCCGAAGCAATAAACAAACTGCAATTTTTTTGATCTGCTGTGGCGTGTGCTGGCGCATGCGCATGTGTGTGTGTACGCGTACGTGGGTGTGTGCCTGCGCGCCATACCCCGAGTAGCAGGGAGAAAGTGCTCCCCTCATGCGCAGGGGAAGCAGTCAACGTCTCGTCATCAGCGTACAGTGCACATTGTTAGCTAGGCCATTCGCTAATTCGCTAATTCTACCTATCTATTATCGACTGAGAAAGATGCCTATTCAGGACAATAGAGGCCGAGTCAAAGAACAAAGCGAAGCCGAGGTCTTTTACGAGGCCTGTATCTCCCCATATTACACAACATACTGCGCTGATGAGTTCACAAAGAACGAAACAGCATGCTGTCCGCAGATTGAGTACAAGACTAAGTATCTGTTTGTCTGTCTGTCCGTCTGCCTGTGTTTCTGTCGCTGTTTCTCCTTTTGGATCATGATTAGTGTGAGCTAAACTACAAATACCTCTGAGCTAGTTAGATACGTGAGTGCATGCCCAGGACATAACAGTGCCAAACTTACCCTCCAGATAGCTTCAAGTCATCACCGTCCTTATCATCCTCGGAACTACTGTCCGATGAGCTGCTGTCACTTTCGCTATCACTGCTGCTGCTGCTGCTGCTGCCATCATCACTACTGTCTGAAGAACTGTCATCCGATCCAGAGTTCTCTTCTACCTGGGGAACAAATCAAATATGTGTAGACAGCATGTAGAGACTTGCTGCCAAATGTCAAGTCAAATTGTAAAGCAAAAGCAAGCTTCTTAGTTCGTAAAAGAAAGCTAGTTCAGATTCTAGTCAAAAATACAAATCTTCAAAACTGTACCACAAGCTCACATACGCTATTTCCAATGTGAGGTGGGTTCGTGTTCAAAAACGAACACACATACACACACACACACACGCACGCGCGCGTGCACTCAGCCTTCTTCGGACACACAAAAGACCATGCAACTGTGGTGTGTGGGTCTGTGCGCGGCGCGCTGCCTTCATTACCTTCAAAGCAGTGAACCCCTTGATAGGTGACAAGCCTCTGGGTCATCCTAATAAAGATAATAATAATTATTATTATTACCGTATTATCCCCAATAAATGGCTTGCTTTAAAAACTTTTCCAAGGTGGTCAGGCCTGTAATAGTATAGGAGACTGTAACTAGTATTGGAGACCTGTACTTTTGTCGTGACCCGAAGTTTGAAGGCGGACCACTCGGCAGCTGGTGAAGACGTGCCGGCAATTTGAATCATGACAATGCGGCAGCTGGTGATAGGTGGTCAACGCGCTCTCAAGTCGCGCCAGCATTAGAATCTTGGTAACCTTTTGGAATCATACGATACACTGTACCTCACCCCTTGGTTGTTGTTGTTGTTGTTGTTGTTGTATACTTGGCGCTTCACTTATAGCTTAGCGGTCGCCGTGAGTTCCCTCGGGAATGGAGACGATAATTTACTTTTCTTTTTTTGCACTTGTAGTATTGCTACAAGTGCAACAATCTCTCCTCCTCTTCTCCCCCATGCGCTCTCACTGCCGACACATGGCTACCCTCAGAGGCTTGTCAGAGAAGGTGATACTGGTACTTCAGTAGGCGAAACAGCTGTCAGAAGGAATATTATCAGTAACAATACTTGAAGTACCCGTAACCCCTTCGTTGTCTATTGGTGTGTGTGTGTGTGTGTAAGGGCTACCGAGCGGCGAGGGTAGCCATGTGTCGGCAGTGAGAGCGCATGGAGAAGAGGAGAAGAGCTTGTTGCACTTGAAGCAATGAAAACAATAAAAGAAGCAGTGAGGCCTGAAGAATTAGGGTCGTTACGATGACTGAAAAAAGAGCAAGATTGAAATTCAGAAACGTTTCATGTCATCACATTACGTAACGTCAGCTGCCGTAATTGTGTTTATTGTTAGTACAGAAACCTCCAAAAGGACTATTATATAATTACACGCTTACAATTCTCACACAGGAATGGTGCAACCAAGTCCTTCTTTGCTGTTTCTCAGAGTTTCGTGTTTGAATAGCGCTCATCAGACAGCTGCACAATTGCTGTGTGAGAATTGTATTACATGTACTGGCTCTGTCCATTGTAATACATGTACCGGCTCTGTCCAGTGGACATCGAGCACTATACGCAGCCTGAGGATCTTAGACGCCTGTCTAATGACACACTTATAAAAGAGGAAATATTCTCTAATGAATCCCATGCTTTCTGCATTGGTATAACCTTGATGTGCTGGTAGTTTTCAGCAATGTTTTCAGCAATGTTCAAAGTCAAACTACGAACACCTCTCACTCATCGCGGCCTTTCCTGCAACGTTAGGCCCATATTCATGTGAAAAGGTTCGTAATTGATGGTACACGGAGACTACACCATGATGGTCCACGGAATCTACACCATGATGGTCCACGGAGTCTACACCATGATGGTCCACGGAGTCTACACCATGATGAGCCCTGAGTTGCCCAGCAAGCAGGTTGGCAGCCTAACCAAACCAACACAGACTTTAGAACAGGGAACAGTTGAAATTAACTAATTCAAGCCAACCTTTATAATCGGAGTGTCAGCTGGCTCTTCATTAGGCGCCAGGTCCGTTTGGCTGCCGTTATCAACAGCATCGCAGCTCTCTGCCACCTTCTCGGCTGACTTTGCCTCTGTTGGTGTATCCATGATCACTTTTCGATGGATATTTGCACAAGTCTTGTTATTTCCATTTTTAAATATTATAAATTTTTCAATTATTTCAATCCACGGCACGGCACACACATGGTCATTTTCACGATGCGTGCGACACGTGCATGATCTTGATTTTCCCTGTGCAGTGAACCCGTGGCAACTCGGCCCGTGGTCACGTGGTTGTGGTTAAAGTCCTCCTGCTCAGCTGGAGGTACCATCCTTCTGAGATAAGACTGAAGCCATACTCAGATACTGGCATACATGTAGCTCAGCGGCAGCTCATGCACATGCTCAGCAAGGTGACGGAAAAGCCAATAACCTTCACAGAGCCTGGCACTGGAGGATGCTCGCTGATCTGCTCTTGCTTGAAGGCAGGAGTGTATCCTGTTGTGACGCCGATGAGTTTCCACTCGGACTCTGAGCGCCGGGATCTGGTGTCACCGAAGGCTGTAGCTACCGCCGCCGCAGTGGACCCTGATATCATGTGTTGTCGGTTAGGCATGATGAGCGATGGTGCCGGAATAACTTTGGCCACGCCCATCATGCAGCCTTATTCCAGGAGGACCACACACAGCTGAGGGCTCGACGAAGACGATGGGCTGGCAGGAGCAGGTCACCGACGTGTGCCAGTGGACCGCCGGTGTGTGTGTGCGTGTGTGTGTGTGCCACGTGCAAGTGTATCGTAGTGTCTTTGATGTCCGGATATCACATTTTTTGGGCCACCCATTTGACACCTCTTTTTCTCAATGCCACGGATGTCCAGAATGAGACAATCATTAGGGGTTACAGCCGCTTGACTAACTTAACGGTTAGTTTCCCAAACTTGGCGTTTTTCCAGAAAGAGATAGGCTTGTATGGCAATAGCCGCTGAATGGCTTCTTCAATGTTGGCAGCTTCCACCTCGACTGCCACTAACTAAATAGTAATACGCACTTCCCCGGTGAGAAGGCAGTCTTGCCTGTTCATATGGTGAAGTAAAATAAAGAAACAACAACAACAACTTCAGTACTACCAAGAGTATAACCCCCCCGGGGGGGGGGGGGACGGTGTTATATTTATACTCTTGGTATTACCTACAGCAAGAGTTCATAAGAGTTATGAACTATTGCCTACAGTGATCAGGGCATGTCCAAGGCTAGATTTCCAAGCAGAAATCGTGACACTGGTCGAAAGTAGTACAGGCTTCGGTGCTGTGCACTATGTGTGTGAGGAGACTAAAACCCCTCATGATTCCAATTTCCGAAGACCCTGATTGATAGGGTGCCAAACTGCCGTCGCGGCTTTGAAAGTAAAATTTGGCAAAATTGGCACACACATGCATGCATGCACCCACCCATCCACACACACGCACGCACGCAAACGTGCTACACCCACCCCACACTATACAAGGATAACAAATTATCATCAAGGTAGAAGGCAACCGTTGTTGGTTACCTTATCATAAGGTTTGCTCAGTATACCAGAAAGACATGAGGACCCTACACAAACATCACTACTAGTAATTAAAACATAGTTGTATGGAGAAAGAATAAGTTCATGAACGTTATATTTTCGAACGGATAGTGCTGAGCCAAACACAGTAACATGTTTGTTGGGAATAGAGCTAATATGAGGAGCGAACAGAAAAGCGGCCACAGCAGAACATAGATAGATCCCCATCGAGACCACCAAAAGCACTAAGAAAGCAGAGGATTTCGAAATGCAGACAAGAACACAGCCATAGCGAAACGTAGAAAAACCGAGGAGAGCTTGGCCGTATGTGGAAACGAAAGGAAAATGAAAACACAGCAACAGACTTGAATATGGTGGGGGTGCGCATAAAACACTTAGAGCGCGGCAACAGCAGGAGAAGTACAGTAGCAGCTACAGGTTACTTAAAATATATATGAGCATGGGTTTAGTTTCATGGTTTCATGGAGCGGATCAACCGGGTTACTAAGCTACCAGCGCGAAGATAGTTTTTGCATGGACTGTACATGCAGTACTTCAAGAAGAAGAAGAAGATGATGAATATTTGTCAGGAGCTCTATTTCTCTCTCATAGTTTCACTCTCAATATGTTCAAGTATGTCGTTCTGTAGTGGCACTGATTACATGAGGCTTACATGTAGCTACAAAAAGTAGTGTGGTGATGGTGATGGTGCTGGTGATAGCGTCGGCAGACGGGTAGAAGACAGCCAGAGGGGAATGCATGGTGCTACAATCGATATGTACAATGTGCAGTGCAGACTCTGATGAGACACCTGTGACAACGGCGGAAAAACCAAGAAAACAAATACAATACGGTATATGCACAGGACTTTTGAAATGACTTTTTAGCCTTTACTTCTAGCAGCAGTACATGTAGAGAGCAAAGCAACACAGGATATCTACTAGTACTTGACAGGTGCACACAATGAGAATTGTCTAAGCAAACCGCTCAGCTCAGGGACCCAAAATGTGGTGCCCCTCTACAAGTGGTCCCCCTGCTAAGGATCACACAAAATAGGACTCCACTAGTGGACACAACACCCTTTGATCTTGGATTTAGGGTCCTCCGAGACAGATGGCTGCCTTGTTACAGTGGTTTCCTCGACAGGCGCTCCTGCAGTGCATTTCGAGATCACATTTTGCATTTTTCAGCAAAGTCGTCAAGGGATGGGGAGTTTCCTCAACGCTGGCAGGCTTCTTTTGCTTCACAGTTCCGCCCATAGACATTTTAAAGTCTATGGGCTCGAAACGCCATAACCTCATCCAATGGGCTAGGCGGGTTAGTTTAGAAGACCTTGGAATATTCCCACAAAAACTGCCTTTTGGATACATGTCCCGTAGTAACTACAACAACACTTGCACATACGGTAAGGGAAGCCCATTCTCACGTGGGAGGTACGCTTGGAAAATCTCCTTGCTATGACAATTCCCAAGGAAATCGCGAGGCTAACAGCAGCCGTTCGATTGGGATACTTCAACTAATCTTTTCTAAAGATGTTTCTCGAAAAGGTGGTGAGGACAACTCGAACGTGCCCTAAGGCCATCGAGTTGTACTGAAAAGAATACACCTACACCAGCGCGGGGTTCTTTCAAATTTTCAGTTCGTACATTCGAAATTTCTGCTCTTAGAAAACTATTGTAAAGTCTGCAAGTACGTATGTATTTATTTTCCAAATCAGTGGTTACACCCGCACTAACGTCCAGGCGGGCTACTATCTTCCGGGCACGAACAAACGTTTCGGACCTGACTTGTGCCTTGTGATGAACACATGGTTTTTCTCCAGTGCAGAGCGTCGCAGTGCATGTGTATGTTACTACATGTACATGTTTTCCCCAGCGCCCCTGTTTTCCCCCACCAGCGGCAATTGAGAGCGACATGAGCACCCTGGGATGCTGGCGGTGCGCTGGTGGATCACCTGGAGCCAGTGCAGCACAGCAAACTCGACCTGCATAGCGCACTACAGATAATTGCAATCATGCCTCATAGTTCCATAATACAGTAGACAGTAGTGTTCGTTTTGCTAGAAAGATTCCATACCTTGACTGCTGGAACGTGTCCTATACTAACTCTATAGTTGCGGTACTTTCGCCGTCATCGACGCTATCGACACCACGGCGATTCATCAAACTAAGCATCAGCAGCACGTGGCAAGAAGAACACAATACAGAATGCGAGGTCACTAACTGCCACTAGACCGCCCCAGGGGATATCAGACAAGTCAAAACAAGTATTGCTTGATAGTCAATGCCGAAAAGTACACTACATCACAGTGCACATCCTCCTGCTTCACTCAAGCAACAGTACATAGCAAAAGCTTGGTACCCCCTACCCCTTTTCAAGGACCAATCTCTGCTCATTTACAAAACATGCATCACAGTGACACGTGCCGCATGTACAGTATGTTTTACTCGTAGTCACCACACACACACACACACACACACACACACACACACACACACACACACACACACACACACACGCACACACTTGTACTTGTTCACTGCCAAAACTGGTCACGTGGGTCTCCCCGGGAGAGGGGAGAGAGATTCAAAAGGAATCTTGGAAAGATGACTCAATTGGCCATTGAACCGCCCAACGGCCGACACCCCCTGAAATCCCCAAACCTCTAGGTGGACTAGAAAATGATCCCACTTATGGGCTCACCACACCTCAGTAAGTGGGCGAGGATAAGGTGCAGAAAAAAGATTGACGGTATCAGGGTATCCGTCCCGAAATCCAACTGCCGTTACCCCTGCTCCCCAGTGAAGGTAACACACACACACACACACACACACACACACACACACACACACACACACACACACACACACACACACACACACACACACAACAACAACAACCACAACAACAACAACAACAACAACAACAACAACAACAACAACAACAACAACAACAAGCACACACACAACAACAACAACAACAACAACCACACACACACAACAACAACAACAACAACAACAACAACAACAACAACAACAACAACAACAACAACAACAACAACAACAACAACAACAACACACATACACACACACAACAACACACACACACACACACACACACACACACAGAACAACAACAACACACATACACACACGTGCAAGGTGGCACACTGACAAGAACAACAGCTGCATGCCAACCGACACCACATGCAATACCATGATGCCCTAGTGTGATGCGTGTTTACGGATGCAAGCATACCTTGGTGGCATGGGGGCACAGAGGGTCTGCAGGAAATTCGAGATGAAGTTGCCGCGAGTGAAGGGATTCTCGATCGAGTGTAGCTTTCTTTTGCTGTACAAGCCTTTGATCTGAAGACAACAGAACAGCGTGGTATACAAGAACAAGGCAGTTGTGGTGCACAGCCATGAGAAACTTGAACAGCCATGGGGTAAAAGGCTACTAACATCTGGAGCGCAATGAGCAGACTTAGTGACCGCATCCCACACACAGCGGTCTTGATGTCAAATTAAAGCGGCTGACAGTCAGTCCATAAATCTCTCCGAGCGGTGCTAGCACTCTACACCCGTTCATACACACGCTATAGTTGGGCTAGGTGAGATGCGCCGCAAAGTGCAACGCCTGGAACAGTTCCTATCGCATCATTGTATTTGTACGGGTGTATGTACAGCAACATTGCTACCAGTTCCAGGTAGCCAAGGGTTGTGCAAGTCCAGGACACCAACTATACACACTTGGCATTGGGTCTCGCCTAGCACAACAGTCAACTTTACTACCGGCTCGTGCACAGGAGCATAGTTGGCCTGCATCTAGGTTACAGCAGACACTATAGTTGCATGAGAAGTTTCGTCTTGTCTTGACTCTTGAGTATTCTATCTTGCTTGCCACCATGCCTGGCGGTGTTCCGTTGTGAGATACAGGCTGGCTTGTGGAGCTGTCATAGTAGCTTTGTAAAACATGAGCCCAAATCACTTACTCCATTCCCTCAACTACGTGGTGAGCCACTTGAGTATCTAAATCACTTACGTCTTCATTTGTAGTCGTTGCCAATCCAATCAGCTTGGAATGGAAGCCGCACAAGCCAATGACAGAAATGGCAGCAAAGGCACAGATGCAGCAGACGATGAGACTGCAAGGCACCTTTCCCAAATACTCCGGAAAGGTATTACCTTCGTCTTTGGACACTGGAAAGACACAGAGAAAAGACACAGAGAGCCACATTTATACAAAAATTAACTATAGTGGTATACATGGTATGGCGGATACCACCAGCCATGCATCGACTAGGCGCCAGGCGCGAACTGATGATGGTGGTGGTGAGAAGGAGAGTTCTGTGCCAGAAAAACTTTGCAGCCTAGAGAGCATGTGTGGGCAGGCGTGTATTTACCGTCATATCGCCAGGTGTGTATTTATCACCATATTTATCAACCATAAGTACGGCTGCATTGGTGTCGGCGACTTCATTTTACACACGTGTGTATTATACAGAATGGCACATTGATAGTGAAATGGCATTCATGCACAGCGCATACACTCTGCACCAACAAAACACCTCTGCTGGAGGTCTAAGCTCATACACAGACTCCACTTTGCCACAGGGTAGGCATTATACAACGCCCATGCACGCCGGCCATACTCCGACAACGATTTAAACTCACGCAGATAAAGGCGGTAAACAACGGATCCAAGAACAAAGAGGCCATAGGTGGACAAGAAGAATAGAAACAGGTAGAAGTAGCGGTAGTTGCGCTTGCCAACACAGTTTCCAACCTGACAACACACACACACACACACACACACACACACACACACACACACACACACACACACACACACACACACAAACACATTCCATATTTTTAGAATAAGAGAAAGACTAGCGTGGATGAGGTGAAAAGCATGCCATGGTGTTGTGGTGTTACACAGACCGTACGCACACGAGTAAGACATATCCTACTGGATCAGAGTCACTCAAAACGTGTGGACTGTCCAGTGCTACCACATGCCATTCTCCAGAATAGACCACCAAGTCTACATATTGGCCTCAAGTCAAAAGCTGAAGCACTGTTCAGTTCAGCATTCAATTGTTAGCTTCATGGAGATCTGTTTCCTTGACGTGCAGTTGGAGGTAACCGCGGTAAATAGACACTTACCCAAGGACAGTGGTGATCAAAGTTCTCTATGAGTCAGATGGGAGGGCAAAAGAAAAGAAAAAAACCCAGCAGAACAAATCAGATTGTTGTTGATAACTGTACAGCGTGATGAGTGCAGCATTCACATCACCTACTTCGTACATGCATACATCAGCATCACATCAATCTGCCATAGACAGTCAAGAAGACAAAGAGTGCTTAGAGAAGAATACAAAGATCACGAAACTATGACCAACTATGACCAACACTACATCAGTGCCACGACTGGTGAACGTAGCCCTGCCCAAGACTCAAAAGCAATCGGGAAGCAGGGACGAGACGTACACCAGCAGACATAAGAAATCACACTCGAAGACCACCGTGCTTACTGCTTACCTATACAACTGTTGCATATTCCACAGTGTGATGCGCGTGGTGGTCTGTAGATGTGGCAGGTGGTGCAAAAGCGGACGGACATTTTCTGCCCCTTGACCTCCAAAACGCGAATGCTGGACTGCTGGTAAGAGTTGTTGTGCTCGCCCCTGGCAATACGGGCTATGCACGTCACATATAGTACCGATACAACGATACATGCACAGCGACACACACACACACACACACACACACACACACACGCACGTACACACACATACATACCAAAATACAAGACATCAAGAGACTATACTGCTTTATGCCAGAAACTGATCTGCTAAGTGCAAAGACCAGCATACAACATTTAATATCACAACCAGCCTAATCTACTTACAGTCTGTATCGGCTATAGCGTCCCCTTTTGATTTCCGTGATTTTATCACTATAACCGATGCATCACTATAGGCGATACGATCGATTTTTTTTCGATCGACACATGAAAGGCAAGGAAACACATGTACTTCCAGCATGGCGTTTTGACAAATGAGCATGCTGCATAGTTGACAGTGCTCGCATTTCCATAAAAAAATTCTGTTATGTACATGTACATGTATCACTATAAAAATAAGCAACGTGAAGAAAGTAAAAAAATAGGGCCTTTGTTATCGCTACATGTATTTTAAAGTTATCACAAAAGCCGATAATACTATAGTGTGTTATGCATGTTTTGATTCTTTGTTGCCATCATAATACCGTAAAATTCCGTTAATAAGCCCCGGGCGTATACTTTGCAGAGGTTCAAAAACCGGGCGTATATTTGGGCATGGGCTTATTTTAGGGCATGGGCGTTATTTCGGACGCAATCTGCAGAAGATCAATCTATCAGCAACCCACTAGTTTCAGTGAACCACCAATCACACTGAGCGCGGTACAGGTACATCAAACCACAGCTGGAAATTTGGTCGTAACCAAGAATGTAGCGGTAAATTACAGATTTGATAGGTAAACCACTTGCTATGGTAAGTACAAGGCACAACAGGTACCGGCATGGCTGAAAACGTCTACAACTGTTCTACAGTTTGTACGCGAACGCACGCTTGCGCGCTGGTCATTTTGAGTCCACTTTACGACCTGGGTTTATTTCGGGCATGGGTGCTAAAACAAACATGAAGTGTACACCGCCTAAAACTGGGCTTATTATCGGACATGGGCGTTATTTAGGGTGGGCTTATTTACGGAATTTTACGGTATCCGATATATCATTACATCCGATAATATTGGTTTATAGTGATATTTTTACTGGATAAAATACGTTTTGCTTTTGATATTTCGGACCAATATCACTGTAGCCGATATATTCTTATATCCGGTCACTCTATAGCCGATACAAACTGTACTAGTGTTGGGACAAAGCTTAGAAGGTTTGACTGATCTTCGTTTTCGAATTCAAACGAATGAATGTTCAATTCAAAGTTTACTTAGGGGTCGCCCGGAATTATCATGGAAAATTGTTTTTCATCCAGCCCCCCCCCCCCCCTTTTCCCATTAATTTGTTTGATTTTTCCGAATGCCCAGCTAGAAAATAAGAACTCCTCACCCCAGGTTCACTGGCTGCACCTGTGTCAAGTACTAGTAGGTTTACCAACATCCATGCACGTCCTACAACTACATCATACTGGTGTTTGCGACAATTGATCCTCCACTACAGTACACTACACAGTCAGTGCACACACAAGTGCATGAATAGTCAAAAGAATAAATTCTGCCGGTGCTCTTGGCCACCCACCCACTTTTTGCATGAGGACGGATATTTTAATTTTTCGAAAAATTACGGCTGACCCCTTACCATTATTTTCATTGTCGTTGGCATCCTTCTCAGCATGTGTGGCACGCGGCAAGACGCCTGGATCTATTGTTGCCGTGCGGAAGAGCGATGCATAAGTTAGCAAACACAGTACTCCAGCCACTAAGGGAAACGCGAACGACACGTTCTGAGCAAGATATACCGCACTGAGCAAATAAGGAAGAAGATGACATACATACAGTATAATTGTACAAGTGCAGTTTAACATGGCTGTTGACACATCTATCTACACACTCTAACCTAGCCAACACAGCATGCACACAGTAATAAAACACTTCAACTAGTAGCGAAAGCTCAGGATACTTTTCTTAGAGTCCCATGGAAGTGGAGAAGGGAGTATGGCACAACAGACACTATGAGCAAAGTATTATAGTTAGGGCTGAAACAATTATACCGATAACTCGCATATCGATCGTTAAGAGTGCAATCGATAATCGTTAGTGTTCAAAACGAGTGCTAACAATTTTTTATGCATGTATATGAGTGACAGTATTCCAGCCCTTGCACTCCATCCGATAGTGAATACGAGTACAATCATGTACTTTCAAGCGCAGTAAAATTGATTTGTGGCTTTGAAAGAGATCGGAAGAGAGCACTCTTTGTCTTTTCAGTTCATTTGCGGGAAAGGTCAGAGATAAGAGCAGTTGCCAGAGGGTGATCACAAGATTCTTCCCTCTAGAAACAACATGAAATCCTCTAGGTCATGTTCATAAACCGGGCCAGCCAGATGTCTACAGATGTCAACAGTGCGGTGCCACAAATTTCTAACGTAGCAAAAGTATCGTGGAATTTTTTCATAAACTGGTGTTCGAGGTACACGGGTAGAGCCGACAAGAATCGATAAAACCAATATATCGATCGTTAATGATATTGGTTGATCGTTAAGAGTTATTGAATGATCGTTTCCGCCCTAATAATAGTAGACTGACGTAATACTGCTCTGCTTCAACCACTGCAGTCACTGGTGCAACAGCCAACAGTGCTCTCCACACTCCAATTTTCACCACCGCGCATGCATGTGTGTGCAACTGACCACGCATATCATGTGCACAAGATTGCTCTCATATACAACAACACACACACATACACACACACACACACACACACACACACACACACACACACACACACACACACACACACACACACACACACATTGACATGATAATTTCGTATTTTCCGACCCGTTCGACATTTATCATCCAAGCACTGCTAGCCATATCAGGAATAACAACGGTGGCCATCCCTGATCCAGCCACCTCCCTCTACCGGAAACCTTTCTGGGACTGCTGAATAGTTCTTTTTTGCACTGCACTATATTGCATTAAAACCTGTCACTCCACCACTCTACACTGCGAACCTGGCCTATCCTCTACTATACACTTGAATGGCTTCATTGCAAAACGCGCTAAACGCCAATCTCATGCATATGGCGTTTTCGGTGTCAATCGAATCAGTAGGGATCACTGCATTTGATGGCAAAAAAGAATTCTCCAAAACGAGACATATCCCACTGAAAATCAACGTTGAAGTTGACGTTCTACTGCAAAACGCGATAAACACCACCGATGTTTTCGAGCAAAGTGCGACATATCCTGTCGAGCGGGCCAACGTGACCTGTGACAAGCCAGCGAGTGCTGGCGCAGCACGTGGCAAGCATCGCGACTAGACTGAATCTGTGCAAAATGTCGATGTCAGAGTTCAAAGTACAGTGTTTTCGTATTGTTGCTTTGTAGCAGCTGCATCGACGTTGTCATTTCGTTCTTTTTGTATCATCTTCTTCGTAGCTGTTGTTTTTTCGCTTTCGAAACTGAAAAGGGCAGTATGCTAGAGGTGTCAGGGAGGGACGACGCTGCTGCTGAGCTCCTTCAGAGTTCCGACCTCAGTGAAGTCGTTGCACTTGTATTTTCTCTCATAATACTGATTAGTCCAGCGAATATATCTGGATTTGCCCGAAAATATTGAAGAATCACCTTGCTTGAGAAAATGGATGGCTCCTGATTTTTGAGAAAGCCTGTATTTGCATACATCACCCTACTCTTCTCATCTGCTAAGTTAGATTTGACCCAAACCCACCCAGTTGTTGATCACAGAAAATCGCTCCTCCTGAAAATTGGTCAAAATGGATTTATCTCGTTTTGCAATGAAGCCCTTCACTCGCACAGTGAGGTCAATTCCGTTGCGCTCATGAGACTCAATAATTCTGGATATTTAAAAAAAACCATGTACAGTAAAACCTGTAACTAACGACCACCCCTTGGTGCCCCGAAAAGTGGTCTTTAGTGGCAGGTGGTCTTTAGTTAGAGGTTTGCACTGCGTGACCATATATGGATCCCATTATATGATATGTATGTCAAAATGCAGATAATACAATCCCCCACCACTTGCGCACTGACATTCTTCTTTCAGATCATACAACACTTGGAGAGAGAAAATCAAGTTTTATTGCAGACATTAAATTCAGCTCCTACTTCTGAAGCCAGGAGTCAAGAGTTCCCTGTTGAAGCTTCTCTTTGCACTGGGCTTCAAGTTTGTTCATGAAGGCACCAAGTTTCTCTACATCCATTGCCATGGTAGACAAGCCACGCTGCAACGTAAACTGTTGCAATGTTGAGATGCAGGACAGTGCTTCTTTGCCGGATACTTCTCTGACTTCTGTGGACTCAGTGTGACCTGGTGACTGAGCTGCGTGATTGCACTTCGACAGAGAGCCGCTCAGTCTTAGTTTCTCCTTCGAGTAGTAACATCGATCAAAGAGCGCTTTGGATGCGCTCTCCAAGACGTTTCCTATCATGTTTGTTCTTGACAGCACTTGAAATTATGACAGGTGTAGTGCAGTCCACACTGATTCCACAGTCAAAATGAGACTGCGTTCATTTGTCCAGCTGTAGCATCGAAACAGTCCTTTCAGGACCACGGAAAATCATCAACATTTCGAGGAGCTTCGAGCAATGTTTGATTTCCTACATCGCGGTCGCTAGTTACGGGTCAAAATTCGACATTGGGACAAGAAAAGGTGGTCGCTGGTCGCGTTCAGCAGGTAGTCGCTAGTCACAGTGCATTTTGAATGTGAGACCGTCCGTGAGACCGTCCGTGCCTGACGAAGTGGTCGGTAGTACCAGGCCGGTCGCTAGTCACGGTGGTCGTTAGTTACAGGTTTTACTGTACCTGCAAACGACATAATTATAAATGCCATGCAAAGTGAAGATTGTGTCATATCCACTGGGTATTTTATACTCAAGTTTCAGTAAAAAAGTTTTTCTCTGATCCAGTAGAATGAACAGGCCATCCTCAGCAACGTGGGTCGAACTGCTGCAATACCTATTCTAATGCAGCTTTCTAATTTAGGCAGATGGGGCCAGAAGACTGCCAGAAGACTGCATGCATAGAGGACTTACTCAAATGCAAAGAAGAGAATCGATGTTACTGTAAGTAGAGCCACATTCGCAAGAAAAACGCCAATTCTCTTTGCCATCATCAGCCGTCCACTGCAGTAGAAGGTGTTGTCCCCAGGGAAGGACTCATATTTACGGCGAACGTCAGGCATTGCTAGGATGCTTTCCTCGGTTCGCTGCGATCATTCAATAACTAGCTGGTCGGCAGTTCTCATGGACGAATATCAGGTGTCAACATGGTGCTAACAAATAATCAACAACAGATACCGCCATCAAGATTGCACACTTCGATGCAGTAATCTGGAATAACATGCGTTTACCACGACAGTCAGACACTTCTCTCATTACAATTCTTCCACCGGCCTGGTGTCAATTGAGATTGAAAGCAATAGTTTCTCACACTCGCTTCAACTCACCATCAATCATTGAAAGTCGCTTCGACTTTTCAACTTCAAGGCTCACTGCTTTTTGTGACACAGCCGAGGTTTTTCGAAATCGTATGACATCACTGCTGGTAAACGGGCGGGCCCGGGCCGGGCTTGCTGCCAGGGAATCCCTGGAAGTAGAGGTGCACTTTTTTTGTTTTGTTGTTGTCGTTGTTTCAAACTTTATTCTCAAATCCAGGGAGTCGTCAAAATACCGGTATTTGAGGACTCCCTGCTCAAATCCTTATTCCCACTTTGTTTCAAATCTTTATCCTCACGTTGTTGTTGTTGTTGTTGTTCTTGTTTTTCAGTTTTTCTAAATTCTTTATTCTCACGATGGCACTTGTTGTTGTTGTTGTTGTTGTTGTTGTTGTTGTTGTTGTTGTTGTTGTTGTTGTTGTGTGTGGCCGTGGGTGCGTGTGTGTTCGGGGGGGGGGGGGGGGGGGGGGGGATTATTAAACCCCACCAGAAAGTGGTCAAAGACCGAAATCCCTTTTCCTACCGGTAAGACAACGAAGTACACAGAACTTCAGAACTGTCAGAATGGTCGGTTGCAACAGCCCAAGTAACAGTTTCACACTGAGCGAGCATCAGGCAGCACAAGGATACAGTACGCACCACAAGTAAGAAAAACTGAAACCTAATACAGCTGCAGAACGACTACGATCATGCAGCACATCAATATCAGCGGCAATACAAAACATACAGGACAACAGAAGACTACAAAACAAACAAGATGGACTAGAACACTTCAAAAGGGTAGTCAGAACAGCAGCAGTATAATGATTATGTCACCAGCTTTGGAATGTGGACAAGTGAAGAATGACTATGTCACCACTTTAAAAGAAAGCAGACAAACGGAGACAACAGAAGACAAAAACAAACATACAGGACAAACGAGATGGACTAGAACACTTCAAAAGGGTAGTCAAGAATGTAATCATCTCAGAAGAGTGCAGACAGTTGAAGAATCTATAAGGCAGCTTTTGCTTTTCTGACAGTTTAAAAAGCAGGAGATGATGACTCAGATATATGGCTGGCAAACGAGGTACACATGCTGGTGGTCTTCCCACATACCGTAATACACCAAACGTATCAAAACAATCATAGGAGCAAAAAGAGTAAAAATTTAAAAACAACCATGCACACAGAAACACAAATTTGCTGTTCGAGCTGGAGCAAAGATGGGACTTGAACAAAAAAGAGCAAAGCTGGAAAAAATGCAGTTGGGAGTATGTTTGAAAGCAATACTTATGGTTGAACACGCAATTGGAGCAGAACGGAGAAAAGGACCATTCGAAGCACAGATTAAAACGGGGCACTAGATCTGTTGGCTCTGGCCTACGCAGGAGCTGCTGTTGCTTCTGTAAAACACTGGCGCATTACATCACGCAATGGTTGAAGTGTTGACCATCTCATTAAGCGCTTCCCTCTACATACAACTCGCACACCGTACAGCCACCAGAACCCACTGGCACAGTGTAATCATGCTGGATCATGATGGCGGGATACTTAACCAATCACTCAGCATGGCACACAGGAAAGCCAGCCAAGTATCCAGCACAGCCCCGGCAGCTCAAGGGCACAGAGCTAGAGGTACGTAGGTAGCCAGACCTTCTATGGCCACCTGCTCAGCAATGTTGATGTTGTCACAGTACAATGCTATGGCCAGTTGTGACGGGCGATTGTCCTGCATCAGCACCAAGAGAATACAGGCAAACATCAATCAAGCACAAAGAACAGTGACACCAAAAACAATGAAATCTGCTGCTCATCGAGGTTTGCTAAATCAGTAGCCAACTGCCATGTTGCATTATCAATATCTGGCATGCCACAAAGTACTGGTTCACAACAAAATATGCAAGCTCAACCGTGGACCTCCACATCTTCAGTCCTAACAACTTCAATGCAAAGATACAGAAACCAGCCAGCAGTAGAAACAGCACAAGCTCGCAGCAGATCCAGGCCCTGCAGCAAATCCTAGCCAAGACGAGCATTGGATGTCTCTAATTTTAAAATGATCATCTTTTAGTACAAGGGCATGCACAACTATCGAACTCAAAGTAACAAAATGAGAGCCAGCTTACAATGACACGTATCGTAAGTGACTGATTGGTGCGCCCAGTGGTGAGTGATCTGAAGCGTTCAAAAGCTTCCACTGTCCATCGGCCATCTGGCATCATCAGTGGTGGAGAGCCAGGCAGAAGTTCTCCGAGCGGTTGAAAGCCCTGAACACGAGCCATTAGCATCCAGCAAGGGACCAGGGTCAGCTTGTCAGGCATATCACAAAGCCTAATGTGGAGACAAAGGAGAAACACACAAACAGGAATGAAGGAGTGACAAGAGACCACAAGATACTCTCCATTTCGTTTGCGAAAACAAAACAAAAACAAAACAAAAACAAAACAGATAAAGTAGGCCCAGCCACAAGAGCAGAATAAGGCAGTGTCGTACAACAACACCTGTGGTATTCACTTAGTCAGAGAAAGAAAAAAGAAAACATTGTCTAGTACATGTACTGTCTACTGTTCGAGTCCTGGTGGTGACAGTCAATTTTTTTGTGCACCGTCCAGGGATGGACCTCGGATGCAGAAAAGATGAAACACTTTCCGTTGTTTCTGTCGGGTGATGTCTTTCTCGTGTATGATGGGACGGAGAAATCAAGTAAACAGAAACCAGACGATGCAAAAGAAAAATTTGAGGAAGCGATCTGTGTGTCCAAATTAGAAGCGTACAGACTATTCGTTCAGCAAAAATTACGAACTGACGAGTCTGCAGACACGTTTGCGGAGGATGTACGTCTTGCCAGGATTGCTGGGAACAGCGGTGACAAGGACGACCCCATGAAAATAGAGCAGTTCATCGCGGGTCTGCCCAGTGACTTCCCAAAGCAAGTACGTCTGTCGTTTGCTGGCGAAGCAGATACGGAGCAATCATTCAAGGACGCTATCAAGCAGTGGATTGACGATGACTGGCTTGTACTGCATGATCCACAGATACACGGCAAACCAGCAGCACTAGACTCTCTGTTGGCACAAGTTCAGGAGCACAGGACCAGCAATGCCCCGCTCGCTACAATGATTACCCATTGACAATGACATGTCATCAGGGGACAGGCGGGTGTAATGAAATAGTTCCCGAAGTGAAGTAACTGACCTTGCTAATCGTGATTGTATTTCACTTCTCTTTGTCAGTGATGTCTTCCTTCTCGATGACTTTGACTTTGTCCTTTCAGTCTTGATATTGTTCATTTACACTGATTATCGTTTCGAATGTACTTTTGATATGTTTTTGCCAGATTAATTATTTCTGTCACTACGTAAGCTGTGACGTCAATGTCGACAGTCATCACTGTGCAGTTTGGTTGTTTGGATGCATGCACGTACGCGCACACAAGTAGCAGTGAAGTCTTTGGTCTCTCTGCCAACTTTTGTGATGGCCCCTTAGTCATTCCCGTAGCTCTAGGCCAGCCTCATGTACTGAAGTATAATTATGAGGTGCACACTTACTGGTTGATGGGTACAGTCAAGGTGCTGGCATAGTCCACAAGTTGCACATGGATCTGACTATCCGGCAACACAGCCAAGACGCATGCCCGGTGCCAGGTCTGATCTTGCTGCGCCAACACCGCACACGCTTGACCTGCAGTGATACAAAGAAACAAAGGGAGAGCTGTCTCAGTGGAGAGAAAAAATTCAGCGGAGAGAAAGTGGACGTGAAAATGAATAGGTCACATTCATTGGTTTGAGGGAAAGATGCAAACGGGAAAAGTCTGAAGAAAAAATTGACTTTCACCACCAGAATTCGAACCAGGTCACAGCACCACCAATCCTTCTCCGTTCTCTCCTCATCCCCTCTTGCCCTGACAGCACTGTTTTGATAAAGGAGAAGGGAACATCTCAAAGCCGCTAATGCCTGCATGGCCCCAGTGCAGTTAGCAACCACCAGAACAACACACACACTTGTTCAGATGTACCTGCAGAGGATAAAGGCTAGCTTTATGCAAGGGTCAACACCAGCACACACACCAGCACAAACTTGATGGAAAGGGCCAGCGCAATAGCTGAACAGTAAAAGGAAGACTGTTGAGAACTGAGTGTGGCAGTCACACGCTATGGTAGCAGGGCTGCTACAGATTGTAATGTGTCTTACAAGGTACAGTGATTTTCGGTCTGCTTCTTCAAGGGCCGGATGTGACTTACCGATAGTAACAGAGGCCAGGCGAGGAGATGTTCGCAGCTCTGACTCAGCCGAGTTCATAAGCTTGATCACATTGCCAACGGTCTCCTGCAGTTTACTAAGGTACTGCATGTTCCTGATTACAGCAGCAGCAGCAACACAAAAGAATTACAGCTCACGTGAGAGTCAGTCGGTTTCACTTTTCAGGCTACGGATGTGAGGGAGCTTTGCTGCTGCTCTGTGGTCACTCGTTCTGCCCGTCAACATCTACGCCCTGCAACATGGGATTGACTGTGAGAATTCAACTTTCAAAATCCACCCACAATTACAGCGGGAACCTCGCTGAAACAAAACATGACTACACAAGTAGGACACATATACATGGGTATAGGTATGGTGCTCGCAACTTTAGTACTTGATTGCACGGCACTAACCTGGCGATATCCTCTCCGACTGCTCTCCCCACACACGCAACTGGTTGCAGGTCCAGAGAGTCTGGCGATACAACGTTGCCAATGGTGACCGTCCATTCGCTGCCAATGGGAAAGATCTTGGGCGAGAGCACACGGTATGATCCTACCGGTGTGCTGCCTGCACTGCGTCGCACAACATGATCCGGACGCATCTGCCAAACGGATCAGGGTAAATAGAGAAAAAGGAACGGGGTAAATACAAGAGCAGCATCGGCACAGCAGCCACACCACCAGGGAAAGAACATCAACATGCATCATGTGTGGGTCAGCCTTACCGTTACGGCAGGCGCGTGCCCCGTATGGGTTCCTGGGTGTCCGGACGCCCCCCCCCCCATTTTTTCGCTCAAAATGCAGGATTTGCTTCATTTTTTGAAAATTTTCCCGGGGGGGGGAGGTCCCCCGGAACCCCCCTTGAAGGGCACCGGCGCACGCGCTCGTACGGTGCCTTGAAACATCACTAGAGTCTAGTACAGGGGCAGGGTAGCACTTAGTCCGGGGGGGGGGGGGGGCAATGCCATAATGATCACTATGGGGTTTTCAGTCCCTCCTGCAAAAGCCACATAACGCTCATCATCAACACTAACGTCTTATCGACGGCTTGCTAATCTGCATGTGGAAGATGAGACCATCTTGTCAGCTAAGGGGACTACGCCATGTTTATGTACACCATCGGAATCCTTCCCCTCATGGAGTCCGTGATCACCAAAGGAGCAACGCAAGATTGGCATGCTGACGACTCTGGTGCAGGTGGTTGATTGAGGAGCGCCCGCTTATGGCAGGACAAGCTGGTTACAAAGGGTCCAGTCTATAGTTACTGCCCCAATACTAGCAGGTCTGTGCCCGAGTTCCATGCGGAAGCAGTCAGGTTGTTCGCAGACACTGGCGTAACTAATTGTACTGATGGTTGTCGGTATCTCGGCGCAGCCACATGTTCCACTGCATTTATCGAGCAGTACGTCACCACAAAGGTGAACGACTGGGTGGCTCAAGTTCAGCGTAT